ACTCAGCAGTCTGTCTGTATGTGTATTCAGCAGACTGTGTGTGTGTATTCATCAGTCTGTATTCAGCAGTCTTGTGTGTGTGTGTGTATTCAGCAGTCTGTGTGTGTATGTATTGCATTTGTTGGAGATACTAATAAATATAAGCTTAATTTTATCTATTTATATCATTATTTAAAATTTGTATCATTGAACTCTCTGTGTTCTTTTAAAACAAAAGTTATTAGTTTGGACAACAGTACGAGTTGTTTTTTTCTAAACTGAAACCTCAGTATTTGGGTTTAATTGCCGTGTTGGCACTTTAAGGAGAAAAAATGTTGGCATGTATTGCGGTTTGGGCACTCGGGCTCAAAAAGGTTCGCCATCACTGGTATAGATCATTCCCCTGCAATTTCACTGCTCAATTCACTGTCATTTAGGAGTTAAATCACTTTGTTTCTGTTTATGGAGCCCTAGCCACACCTCCCCTGGCTATTATTGTTCTATACACCAAAACTGCTTCATTAAGCTAAAGTTGTTCAGGTGACTATAGTGTCCCTTTAAGATCATATGAGAGCCACTCAAGACCTCTAGCTACACCGATCTAACTACAAATGCAGTTTTAATTTTGATTTGTCCCTATAATTATTATACGTAACTTATTACTCTCTACGTTTTCAGCGCAAAGAAACTCTCCTTAAAGAATATCAGCAACGAGGGAAATCCAGTTTATTTACGGATAGGCGATTTGGGGAGTATGACCGTAAACTCACTCCGGAAGAGAAGATGTTGAAGAGATTTGCTTTGGAAAGACAGGTAATATTGTTCATCATAGAAGCTGTTCTGGTATATCAGATGTCTGTCTTTACACTCGTTATTTAATACAGTTCCTGACAGGGCTTTATTGGGGATGGTGGTTGCCATTCAGAACTAACTCGTTATGCATAAAGTGGACTAGCACTCGCTAAACATTTCTGTCCTTGGTTAATCCTGACCACGGTGGACCATTCCCAATGTATCAATAATCATGAAGAAAGTTGGACCATATAGATGGTGTTAAGGCAGATCTTATTGGAGAATGATACAGCATTTTGGCTGTTTTATGGTTTTCCAATAAAATGTGCCTTAATGCCATTATGTGCCTGGTCCAACTTTCTTAATGATTATTATGTCAGAACTAGACCAAACATCCATTATTTATATCACCATGGGGAGAATAAGAAATGGCGTGTATCCACTTGCTGCTGAGTGTTTTGTTGCGTATGTTTAACAACAATATGAACTTCATATTCAAACTAAAATCAAACTTAAACTTTGTTACTGTACTCCTTTTAAATGGCACCTGCAATATTATTAATTACAAATGGATAAAGGTTGTTACTATGTTCTGATGTTAGATGGAATCGTGTACTAAACAAGAAAAGAAAGGAAGGTTAGAAGGTGAAGGGATATTGACTGGACTGGGCACAAATGTGATGTTTTGGACTACGTCTCCCATCATGCTTTGCCATCATTATGGCTGGGCTGTAAGAGCATTATTTATAAAATATTTTACCAGGAAGGATACATTGAGATTTCTCTTGTTTTCAAGTACGTTCTGGGTCCACAAATCATTGCATTGTTACAATAGGGTACAATAAAATACAAAAACAATATTAATACACAATATATACAAAATCTAACATAGAACAGGCAGGAAATAGATAATTATGGGAGACGTAGTTCACAATATCTAGAGTGCCGATGGTTTCCAAACTCTGTTCTTTATCATTGGTCGCTGTTAAGTTTGCAAGTTGTGTAGCGGGCATGTGTGCATTTAGGAAATTATTTTAAAATCTGTTTAAAGGGACACTCCAGTGCCAGGAAAACAAATCGTTTTCCTGGCACTGCAGGTCCCCTCTCCCTCCCACCCCCCATCCCAGGTTGCTGAAGGGGTGAAAACTTATCTGAGACCACCGCCGATGTCCCTCGGCGGTGGTTTTCTAGAATCGCCATGCCTCCCTTAGCGTCAGCCCGAGGGAGGAGAAGGGAGACGTTCTGCATGCGTGGCCGCCGGCGGGATGTGACCTAATGCTTTCAATGCTGACGTTAGCACAGACTATAGGCCAGGAAGTGCCCTCTAGTGGCTGTCTAGCGGAAAAACTGCAAAAATTACAGTTGCAGGGTTAAGGGTAGTGGGAAATGGCATTGGGTGCATTTTACGCAACTTTAAAGTGCAACTGTCCCTTCTCTGGAAGTCACAGCATGTTATTCCCTCATCACAGTAAAACGCTGTTGAAGCTTTTACTAGTGTGGGTAATGCTGCAGAGTTAACTATGAAAACACACCTGTCATGCCCCAAACCACTCATGCGCATAAGATTGAGCATACAATGTTTTTCTCTGTATTTTGCTAGCAGATGTGTAGACTGAGAGAAAATTTACATATAGGTTTTTCTCCCAGCTGTCAGTCAGTGTCTCGGCTTCTAGCGCTGACTAGGGAGTACAGGAACGGAGTGGCTTTACTCCATTCCGACACGGGCACGCTGACACCACTATTACATTGATATCACATTAGAGCTTCAAACTTTCAAACCAGTAAAAAAAAAAAATTCTAAATATTAATTTATATATATATATATTTTTTTTTTTTTGTAGCGCAATGTTGAGAAGCAAAACATGTTTAACCTTAATGAAGAGGAGGAGCTGACCCATTATGGGCAGTCGCTGGCGGCCATTGAGAAACTGGACGATGCTGTGGAGAGTGACAGTGACACAGAAGAACGAGGAGCTTTATCAGGTGAGTGATATTGTTTTGGTATTCGAGGCATTCGCTAGGACTCTGGAAGTTGGAAGGTTTTTGTTTTTTTTGTAAAGGCAACACGTCATACATTATATGTCCTCGAAGAACTGTGAATGTGTGTATTGCTTTTTTATTATTTATTTTCCTATGTATGAATGGAGGCTTTGCAGTTGTTGCTTTTTATAGTATGATGGTTGTTTTGCTCTCCGTCCCTCAGTAGAGAAAAGAGTAGTTGTCGTTTTTTTTGTTTTTTTTATTGCTTACTACCCATGTCCTTGAACTAGCCCGTCAAGGTTAGTCACTAGACCAGGCATTGAACAGGAAGGTTAAAATTTACTGTCTTGGCTGTTTTGCTCGAAAATGTTGAAAGTCACAGTTTAGTTCTCTTACAATTTACTGAATAACCTGTGTATCATATTATTAAAATAGTTCCACTGCTTTGGATTGTTTATGTTGCACGTTTTGCCCTTACATTCTGGTTTATGTTAAGAATTGTTTGTCAGCATAGTATTTGGTTTTACTCTTTGAAACTAGAGCAGGATTGTGAAGCTGGGCAGAGGATAGTGATGGAGGTTTCTTTAGCCTGTAATACTCTGGCTTAGTGAGCTTCAATGCAGGAGTTACCTTTATAACATGGGATGTGTAATTAACTGAATGTTCTTTCTCTACAGCCGAATTGACAGCTGCTCATTTTGGAGGGGGTGGTGGCCTGCTTAGAAAAAAAGCCCCATCTGAGCAGAAAGATGAAGAATTGGAAAAACCAAAGACGCGGAAAGAATTGATTGAAGAGCTAATCGCCAAGTCTAAACTAGAGAAGGTGTGTCTTAATTTTTTTCCGTTATCACTTAAAGCCTTTAGGACTTTGCTTATAACAGTCTGGCCATAACATCTGTATTGCACCATGGAAGGTCCTACTCACTGTGGATCACATGGTGTGTAAGCCAGACATTGCGTGCTGACGTAGAGTCAGATTGTGTTTATAACATAGGATGTCATTGTTCCTTAAGAAATTGAGAAGTTGAGCCAAACAGACAATGTAGACATTCTATGCTTGTGTAGATATTCTATGCTGCTTGTGTGTTTGTAGACCTCCCATGTTTGTTGTGTGCTTTTATCTTGAAATACAGATTTGTTTCCTTTATTTCCCGCTATTTGCTCTTTCATTTCATTATGTAATAATTTTTTTTATTTTTAAAAAAAATTTTTTATTGTCCTTCTGTTGTGTTAAATGAAGTAAACTCACCTGGGCTATTTTGCTAATTTTTTTTAAAGAGAGAAAGACAGAATCAAAAGGAAAAGACGCTGGAGCTTACAGAAAAACTGGACAGCGACTGGAGAAAAATCCAAGCACTTCTAGCTCATAAGACTCCTAAATCTGAACGAAATGCTGAAGTAGAAAAGCCAAAGGTAGCTTTGAAGACTGACCTCTTCTCACTTGATTGAAAAGCTGTAGGACGGTTTTTACTACATCAATCCTAGACAGATAATGTGGGTCAGCGTACTGTGAGCCTAAACATAGGTTAGAGTTCATTGAGCCTGGACCCATGAGCTGACATGGATAAGAGTACCGTGAGTTTACAGATGGTGTGGGAGATGGGTCAAATGTGTCTGGACACGAGAACTGACCCTAGTAAGGGTACCTCCTGTTAAATAATAAAGGTGACATAGGTAAGAGTTTTGTTTTCTGCAAAATAGAGCTTACACTCATGCGAGAACATTGTGTGTATAGACTCGAGAACTGGCGTAAGAGCACTGGGTAAGAGCACAGTCTGTGTCAGGACAGACAGGGAACGCGGGTGGGATCTGTTATCTTCTATACTTGTTTAACATTTGTTTTCTGCCACTTTCTAGCCTGACGAGTATGATAAGATTGTGCGTGAGCTGGGCTTTGAGATGAAGGCTCAGCCATCTGAACGACTGAAGTCTGAAGAGGAACTAGCTAAAGAAGAGCAGGAGCGCCTACAGAATCTGGAGGTAATTATTATTAAATACGTCATCTTGTCCAGCTCAAATTTTAATTGTTTCAAAGCTCCGTGGAATCTCCCTTTATTTATCTCCTATTAAAATGTAAGTTTATGTTCTGTTAATATATAAAAATCTTCACGATTTTCAAAAAGTTTCTCTATTTTTAAAATCCTCTTGCTTCCTCCTGCCTACAGAGCCTCTATCGTAATGTCTGCTTTTACCAATGCAATTTGCTGTTGCTTTTATTTCTGTGACATTGACCTCTGATGTAAAATTATAGGCTGCGCGGCTCAGGCGGATGCGCGGAGGGGATGACGATAAACATATGAAGAGACCAACACATGTTTCTGCAGATGATTTAATGGATGACTTCGTACTGGATAAAGATGATAGATTAATGCTTTCCTACAAGGTATGTGACTCGCATAGTTTCAGAATACATTCGAGTGGGGGAAAATCAGTTCAAATTTAAAGAATTATTATATCTTATTTTATTATATCCCTGAGTAGGATGGTGCCATTAATCTACCAGAGGACAAAGCTGAAACCAGTGAGGAGGAAGACCATGATGGAGAGGAGGAGGAAGACCATGATGGAGAGGACGAAGGGATGGAGGATGGTAGTGACCAGGAGGAAGATGATGGAAGTGGTGAAGGTTCAGAAGAAAGTGATGCATCAGACAATTACTCTGATCTAGAATCTGACGCAGGAAGCGATGGACAGGAAGATCATACTGAAGTAAAAACCAGGGAGAAAAAAAACAAAAGCAAGGAAGAGATAAAGGCTGACGCAGAGGCTGCCAAGTCTGAGCTTCCATTCACATTCGCTGGTATGTTTCTGGACAAGTCATTCTTTTCTTGTGATGTTCTAGAAATATCACTAGAAACAACTATTTTTACATCTCACTTCCCTTACCTCGTCTCCCCACTACCCTCAATCCATCTGAGACTCGACACATTACATCTCACTTCCCTTACCTCGTCTCCCCCCTACCCTCAATCCATCTGAGAATAGACACATAACATCTCACTTTCCATTCCTCATTCCCTCCTACCATGAATCCATCTTCCCCCTACAATTACAATTATTTTATTGCGCCAACATATTCCACAATGCTGTTCTATAAATAAAACAAAAATGTGTTTGACAAATGTGAACTGTAAGTGAGTAAAAGTGGAATATAATAAAATAGAAAATGCACTCACATTGAATGGAGCCCCTACAATGGCTCCTATAATATAGCATGAAGTGGTAAAATCCCCTCTCTAGGATTATTGCTACCTCTCCGTGATGCATATATGCAAGAGAACAGAGGCGCAGAAATATAGTGCACACTGCAGTATGGGTAAACCACATACAGGTGTAGCACAAAATAGGTTGCTCAATCCATACAGCATAGGTGGCATATACCCCACAAGGAAAATGATGTTCAGAGGAGAACTGCATCAAAAGCGGGAGGCTCCAGAAGTCTTGAATTACTAATTTATCGTTATTGTGATGTAATATAAAAACCACTATAGAGTATTAAAATCGGACACAAATAGTTACACTAACGCGTTGCACCATAAATGGTTTCACAAATTGTTAGTTACTGGGACAGATACTCATTTTATAACAAATTGTAAAATTGAAATTCGCTGTCATGTGATGTCGTAATTTCATTCCATTTCACCTCGCTCTTATTTTCTTTCAGTATACTTTTCCTCTTTTCCTTCATTCCATCTCATGCCCATAATTTCCTCCTCCTCCATATTCCTTGATCTCATATCTCCATTCTTTCTATCAACAAGCATTTCTCACACAGCCTGCACACAGACATTTGGAGTGTCAGGTCTGGAGAAGTGCAGGCTGCTTTTTGGACGTCTATTGTCTTTCGGTAAAAACTTTACAGATGGGAACATGTATCATGTCCGGTTTTGGTGATTTTTGGATTTATATGTGAGATTTAGATTTAAAGTGGCAATATGTGCCTGATTTCATCAATGTTTTCTGATTGCCTTTTGTTGACTTTTAATGGAAGATTGTTTCCCAAACTGTGTTAATTTGGTTGACTAACTAAAACTGTTCAGATGACTAAAACTAAAATGGCTTTTTAGTCAAAAGACTAAATCTGAATTTAAATTTGTTGCCAAAATTAACACTGCACAGAGGGTCTGGGAAAAGGGCAAAAGAGACAGACCAGGGCTTGGGAAAGAGAAACATAGAGGAGCTGGGGAAGGGGCAAAAGAGACAGATAAATTAAACCCAATAGATTTTATTCGTGTCGAGTAAAATCTACTGAAGATTTAATCAACTAAAACTATTCAGGTGACTAAAACTAAAATGGCTTTTTTTTTTTTTCCCCAAACGACTACGACTAAAACTAAAACAATTGATGACTAACATACGACTAAAACTAAAAAGGCTTTTTAGTCAAAAGATTACGACTAAAACTAAATTGAAATTTTTTGCCAAAATTAACACTGATCCCAAAGCAGTCCCCTTGTGTTCAGCATGGAGCTTTTGTGATTGTTAGATCTTCAGCAGGATTTACTTCTATCTAGTTTTTATTTTTTTTATTTATTTTTAAATTCTTTATTTTGTGCGAGTGATCGCTTAATGGGAACATGACACATGAAACACGTCAAGACATTTACAATCAAGCATGGTACAGTTGCGGGTTACTCAAGGTCTCATTTCGTTATTCCACTCATTTTTAAGTAATAGCGACTAGGATTCCCTATTATGGGCAGGGTGTGGTATGGCAGTATACTTTTATAGAGGGGTCTGGCCTTAGGTCTCGTAGTGCCTCTTTGGTTTTATCGTGTTGGCGCTGTGAGGAATTGGCTTCACTGAGGCATTCAGTGAGGTTAATAGTTACCCTGCTAGCCTTCGTTTGTGGTGACATTTCGCTTGGCTTACTATTGCTGGAGTGGAAGGCCTAGGGAATGGGCCGTGGGGGTATGGTATGCTTAGTAAAAGTATAATGAACTTTAGGCCATTGCTTGTTGTGTGGGCGGGGGGAGTATAATGTAACAGAGCGGTAGTCCATCAGCTTACTGAGCCATTTTAGACCTTGGGGGTGTATGGGTATAAAATCTGCATTATTGGCAATAGGCAGTCTTATGGTCCAACCAACATGGGTGTCTGTAAGTCCCGCGCTCAGGTGGGTGAGGTGTCCAGGTTCAAAAGGAGTGATTCCAGCGACTGCCCATGTTTGGCTCTCCGTTTGTAGTGCTTTCTCCCCTGGTATACCTAGGTGTTGGAGAAAGGTGGGTGCTTCTGAGAGGCATGTCATTGTGTGCCGCTTGCCAGCTTTATCCGCCATGATTCGGCATGGACCCCATTTGTAGGGGATAGAGTGTTCTTGTAATATTTGGGTGAATTGCTCGAGGGATCTCTGCCAGGTAAGTGTGAATCTTGAAAAGTCTCGAAAGAAAATCAGCTGTGCCCCCTCAAACGACACTGTGGAGGAGCCTCTCACTGTCCCCATTATCGCTCCGCGGTCGGAGTCTCAGGTCAATTTTAGCAGGATGTCCCTGGGCGCTTTTGGAGCGGCGTTGGAAGCCTTGTTGAGGCAGAAACAAGAGTCTACCACTACTTGCTTCGCCTGTTTGGGCATGAACAGTGTGGCGATCAGCCTCCGGCAGTAGTGGAGGAGTTCTGCCCCTGCAATCGTCTCTGGCACTCTCCGGATTCTTAGGTTGCGGACCCTGGCCCTGTCCTCCAAAGTGGCTATTTGCACTTGTTGGTCTACGCACTGTTTCTGGAGCGCCCCTATAGCTGCATCAGTGGCTGATTGGGCCAGTTTGGTGCCCTCCATTCCTTCCTCCAGAGCTTGTACCTTGTCAGTTATTTTTGTGACCACCTTTTGGATCGGGGCCATGTCCGCGTTAAACATTTTTTTTATTTCAGCCATTAGTGCCCTGATGTCTGCTTTGGTAGATGGTGCAGACTCTGCCAGCTTAGTAGCTGTTTGTGGCCCTGAGTGTGGCCAGGAAGAAGATAGAGAGTTGGCAGCAGCGCTGTCATTGTCAGATGGCGTTGGCGTGTAGGCCTCAGCCGGCACCATCTTGGCTCTGTCTGACCGCGTGGTTGTGCGGAGGTAATCTCCAATATCGCGGGTACCCGAGCCCGGGTCCGCTCGATGTTTCTTAGATTTTTTTTTCCCCATTGCTTCGGGAGTCGAGCTGGTGCCTTTGGGGTTGTATAGCAGGGTCTGGGACGGTAAATATCCCCGTTTATTGATCGTGATGCACAGAGCAGTCTCGGTGTGCGTCCGGCTCATACAGGCGCTGGCTCCGCCCCTACTTCGATCTAGTTTTATTGTTGCTGAATACCATCTGCTGATAATTGTACATTGGATTCCCCACAATATTTGGTTTTTACATGGTGTTCGTTAATCCAATTCAGTTTAGTATCGTAATATTTTTATTCTGTCATGTTTAAAATACCCTTTCTTTTCCATTTAAATAAAAAAGAAATCGCTCTCCTTTCCCATATAATTATTTCAACGTATATATTTTTCCTCATTTTCACTGTTTATTTTTTTTCATGTTCGTGGGTTATTGTGTTTGTTTTTGTCAACAAAGACGTATGTTTTTCAAGTCTTATTTTGCCATTTTTCTTCCCTCGCCAGTTCCAGAGTCTTATGAGAGTTTCCTGTCCCTTCTGGTTGGGAAGTCAGCAGAGCAGCAGCTGGTTGTGCTGGAGAGGGTTCAGAAGTGCAATCACCCCAGCCTTGCAGAAGGAAACAAAGCCAAGTTAGAGGTTTGTCACCTTCTCCAGATATGCGTAACATAAACACCATGTTTATGTACATTGTGACAGAGACGTCAGGTTGCTGAACTTCTAAACATAAAATCTGCAATATAATTTACTCTATTAGCTCTGTACTGTAGTGAGATCTTCCTGTCATCCTGCATCTCTGATTACGAAGTAAAAAAGGGCATGCTGTGAGACCTCGTCAGTCTTTCTAGTGGCAGACTTGGAATCACAGCAGCCGAGTGTGATTTCTTTTAGCTGTTTAAATCCTTTTAAATTGCATGGCTATGTGCAGGGCTCACTTTGAGCACACCTGTAATCTTTGGGTCTCGTACCACTAATTGTGGTCCCAGTTGACAAAGGGGACTCTCGGTATATTAAAGCGCACTGGCATGCCGAATTTACCTTTCCCCAATCGATTCCTCTTCTCTCCCTCTGTCAGGATCTGTTCTTCATTTCTTCCTGTCTGCTCTAGTTTTCTTTAAAACATAGGACTTATGGGTGGGGGCCCAGGGGGAGGGGGGGTGACAATAAGCATGTTTAGTAGACATTCCCCTACTAACGAGTAGGGGCATTTGAGATATTTTAATCCCCCTTAAGCTATTATGGGGGTGATATTGACCCCCATATAGTGAGGGAAGACATTGGGGGCTTAGGAAGTGGCGGGGAGCACTGCTCTCTAGCATTTCTATTTTTACATATTACAAGGAGGGGGCTGCACACCGGTAGCTTCCTCCTTGTAATAAAACAAACGCACAAAGAGATCTTCATTAATTCGTTTGAAATTTCTATTAATTTATTTGTGTTTCTGATGAATGAATAGATGAAATTCCCGTTCGAATGCCCAAGTGTTTAACTGGGCATGTGCGGGAATCTCACAGTGCTATCTAGTGTGGGCAGATGACTTGTCCCACAGGGACTTTATCTACCCACACAAAGATTGCGGCGCCCGGGACCTAGGTCCGGGCACAAAATAAAGTTTACAACAGAGGTAAGATGGGGGGAGTAGGGTCATTTGGGCGTGACTAGGGAGACAATTCGATGTTGTGGAGTCGGGAGGGGGGTGAAAAAAAAGGGGGGGGGACTGGGGGAATTTGGCCATGACAGTGCCACTTTAAGATAGTTGTGGTAGGCTCCCTGGTACCAGCAGAGATTTAACGCTGCTGGTGATTTTAATGTATGACAGTCTGTGCCGTCAGCAGGTGTTAAAGCCCTGCACAACATGACGGCATAGATAGTAACAATTTTTTCCTGCCACGGAGGAAACCGTACATTTCTTCATCTTATTTTATTTTTATTTTCTATCTGACTTTGCAGAAGCTGTTTGGCTTTCTTCTGGAATACATAACTGATTTGGCCAAAAAAGACTCTCCTGATTTGCCGATGATTGACAAGCTAGTGCTGTAAGTTATACAGAGGGGGGGTTTTATAAATACTGGTGTAAACTAAAGGAAAAGGATGGATACGGTTTTTGTGTTCTTTTGTCTTTTAAAGTGCAAAGATGCAGATATTTCTGTTACGTGCTCTTTGAATGATATATTGCTGCACCCTAATGTGCATTATCACCCGTTATAGGGTATCAAAGTTACAAAAACAATGTTTAAATAAACTGCTGTTGCTTCTTCATTTTATTTTAAAACCATTCCTTGTGCTGGAATGAAGTCCGCTTTACAGCATGAGTTTATTCTGTGCTATCTGTTTGTTTGTGTTTATAAAGCAGAGCTGACCCTTTACTAGAGTACTTTTAATATCGCACAGACGTGTAATTGTTATGACAGTATGGGTGACATATCAGATTTGTTGCTACTGCTTTTTTTTTATCTTGGACATTTAACAGAATCCGGTTGTAATTAACCCATTCTATGCTGGAGCTTCTGTATGTTCTTTTATATAGAAAAACGGCAAAGAAAAAGGCATGTGGGAAATCCACAGAAATACATGTATGTAGCATTAGTTAAAGGGGTAAAATCTATTCCTGTAAATGGTGCTGCGTCCTCTCTCTTTATTATGTCCTTTATATGGTTTGGATGGACAGGGATCTATAGTGTCCATGTAAACGTACTTAATTATATTAGTTCTACTTCTAAAAGCAGCTCTCTGAAGTACTTGGGATAAACTGTTAATATTGATATCTTTTTGCTCAAATAATCCTTTTTTTTTTTTTTTTTTTTCTATTTGGTTTCAGCCCCCTGTACAATCTGTGCCAGACGTTTCCTGAAGCAGCGGCAGCCTGTGTCCGAGACGCCCTGCAGGACGCAACGGAAAGCATGAATGAAATGCTGAAAATCAGAAGTCGCAGCGCTCACCCTGAGTTACACGTGGTATGTACTCAAATCGGTAATCTTTGATGGTGATATTATCCACCGTCTTGTTGGCTGAAGCTAAATGACACAGATGGCTATTTCTTTATAGCTTTTGTACAAGAAAGGGATGAAGTCAACTGTTGCATCTCATAGATTAAAATGACCAGTTTAGATACCCTTTCAATCCTCTCTCTCAGAATCTCAGAATGCGTGGGTCACTCAGTGAGATTGGAGAGATCTATAGAATGTGTGTCAATGTGTAAACTCTCTGGATAATATATCTTTATAAACGTGGTCACTTATGCTGATATTTTGCTTTCCAGCTAGTATACCTAAAGATTACCGGATTATTATTCCCCACATCGGACTTTTGGCATCCTGTGGTCACGCCGGCAATGATCTTAATGAGTCAGATATTGACGCAGGTAAGTTTCTATGATTCCTATAGTAGACTGTTGTCGGATGGCTAATAAAGAAGCAGGATTAATGGAGGACGTAACGATCTGCAAATTGTACATTTTACACTCAGTGCATCCAGCGCATAACTAAGCCATCAACTTATGTTTGACATTACAAATACTACCTAAACGTGGCAGACATGGAGAGTTACTCTAACAATCTCACTCGTATGAAGTCTGATACAGTCTTATCAAAAACCCAAAAATGCATCTTCTAAAACATTACACTCCGGTGTTTAGGGTTAAAAGGATAATTTACTTCCTTTTTCCCTTTGCTGCACAGGTCTCCTCTCTCACCCCTAGTACTGATTTATCCCACTAAAAACTTCCCACACTGTACGTTTTAAAAACTATTCGCTATGTGCAATGATTGAATCTCTACTGACTGAGCAGGGTTAAGATGGTTTGTGTCTAGATCAGACTAGACATGAATTTCTATTAGTCTCCGTGCCTGTGTTCCCTCTAAAGTGACCATTGCTGTCTGTATTCCAGTGTCCAGTCTCCTCGTTACAAGGCATTGCTGCCGGCCTTTTTGTATGCTGTATGTTTATGGAGTACGTGTCCCTGTCTCGGAGGTTTATACCGGAACTGATTAACTACCTCTTGGGGATTCTTCACCTGGCTGTTCCAAACAAACAGACACCGAGTAAGTCTCTAATTTACTACTCCTCTCTAAAGCATTTATATTTTCCAAACCAGTATTTTACATGTGTATTTTTTCATACTTTCCTTCCTCTATATGCATAAATATGTAGAATCTGCAGTATCATATACACATATATCTGTAAAATAATAATTCTACTTATTTGTAAAGTGCCATCACGTTCTGCAGGACTGTCAATTGGTACAAGTAACACGGCACATCTAAGAGACAGTACAAAATTTGACAAACACATGAGGAGTTGACAGCCTGATTCCTGCCTAGATGGATAAGGGGAACAGAAGGTGGGGACTGCAAAGGTGAGAATGAGGTTAAAGGACCACTATAGGCACCCAGACCACTTCAGCTCAATGAAGTGGTCTGGGTGCCAGGTCCCCCAGGTTTTAACCCTGTAGCTGTAAACATAGCAGTTTCAGAGAAACTGCTATGTTTACACTAGGATTAATCCAGCCTCTATTGGCTGTCTCACTGACAGCCGCTAGAGGCGCTTTTCACTGTGAAGATCACAGTGAAAAGACAGCGGATGGCCATAGTAAAGCATTGAGAAACGCTTTCCTATGGACTGTTCTGAATGCGCACTCTTCTCTTGCTGCGCATTCAGCACTAACGGGAGGAGGGGGAGAGTTCCCTGGCGCCGGAGAAAGGTAAGTGTTTAACCCCTTTCTGCCTCATTGAGCCCAGTGGGAGTGGGACCCTGAGGGTGGGGGAACCTAAAGATCCTATTGTTTTCCTGGCACTATAGTGGTCCTTTAATGCCAAGTGAGATGAGGGCATTTATTGGGTAAGTGGAATGCATTTGTTACGGAGTTGAATGGTTGAACCTTTTTAGTTGTTTGTGTTGTCACCATTTTTGAGTTTGTTTAGTTTAGCAGTATATATCAGCCCAATGTTCAATACCGTGGTAATCGCAATTAAAACAGATTTTCCCTGCTGTGTAGAGATTGTTTCAATGCCATACGAAGTGTTAAATGTTTCCATTTTCAGATGATGCTTAGAAAGTCACGTTATTTAATGGTTTAATTCTTACAGATTACACACTGATTCCCCCATTTAAACCCCATGGGAAACACACTGAGTTGCTAGTAATTCAGAGCAAGGAGGACACAGACACCTGGGTGAAGAGCAAGCTGTCGTTATCAGATCTGCGTTGTCTGGGAAATAAAACTGAAACCATCCATTTCAAGTGAGTATCAGCATTTGGTCTACGATGCAATCTGGCTAAAGATCCATCACTTGATAACGTCCTGGAGGTCGTATCCTTCTTCAGATAATTTTGTAGGATTCAAGAACGTATAAAATCTCCAGTCATGATTCTCATTCATATTTTTTTTTCTCTCTCTCTTCTTTTTTACTTTAAAAACTTTTTATACTTGTATTATACGTATTAGTGGAAAAACTGAAGCGGATAGTTTTTGTTTCACAACTTTCTGTAGGGTGTGTTGTTTTTTTATTATTATAACCTGATACTGTTGTGCTTTATCGTGAGAAATCCTATGTTTAACCCCTTAAGGACACTAGACGGAAATTTTCCGTCATTGCAGCACTCCCCTTAAGGACGCCCGGTGGAAAATTTCCATCCAAAATGAAAATTAACCCCTGTTTGCCACAATCGTGGGGTAAATCTTCCTGTCGTGTGTCTCCATGTCGGAGGCACACTACCATGTGCAGTTTTACTGATTCAGCTCATGTGATCGTTCTGACCGGGAGTCAGAGCGATCACACGTGCTGCAGTGAAACCCGATCTGTTTCCCTGCAGCTCCGTGTGAGCTGTGAACTGCAGAGAGAGAGATCATTGCTGATCTGTCTCTCCCTGTAAAAAAAAAAAAAAAAAGTTTGTTACAAAATCACACACCCCCCTCACTTCTTTCAAATAAAATGTAACCCCTTCCCTGCCCTTTGATCACTGCCTGCATATATGTATATGTCACATCAAATTAAAGCCCTTTTTGTTGTCTAAAAAACGGTACATAATATGTGTTGGTACAATAAATGAGAGAGATGCAAATTGCATTTGAACACAAACAGCAAAAATTGCTTGTGTTTTTAACCCCTTAAGGACACATGACATGTCATGATTCCCTTTATTCCAGAAGTTTGGTCCTTAAGGGGTTAAGGGTATGTCCAGCTCCTGCAGCTGTGTCATTAAGGGGTTAATTACAGTGAAAGATTGAGCTGGTTGCTTAGATGGGCTATCTCTAATCTATAGTTGATTTTTCTATCCTAATTATTATTACATTCTAATAAATAGTGGGTGTGTGTGTGTATTAGTGTTTTAGATATCGATCAGAATTCTATCCAGATGTGTTCTACCATCTCTGAATAGAGACACAGTATTTTGAAATGTTGTCGGGTCTAAATTTGCAGATGGTGGAATAGATTGGTGCAAGGTTTGACTGAAACAATCTCTAGTGTTTGCTAATTGTACTTTATATGATCAGGGAATCCAAAAAGGTCCTTTTTTTTTTTTATTTTATTTTTTTTATTTTTTTGGGTCATTCACTCTTTGTTACCGGTCCCATTGAGTCATGTAGCTGAGCTTAGTATTGCTGTCTTGCAGATTGAACTGTGTGGCCGTGTGTTTGGATCTGCTACAAAAGTGTGTTAAGATGTATGGGCCTCTGCCGGCCTTCCGAGAGATTATACAGCCCATTGCATTGCTCCTCCGTGAACATCTTCCGATCGCAGATTATCCAGAGAAGCTCCAGGTCAGTATGATCAAACCACAGACTATAATTAGAATGGTTTTCTTTGCCAATAATTCTTATTACTGTAAGATGTTCTGGTTCTGAGACTGGATGCTCGTTTGAGCAGGGCCTTCCTCACCTCGTCTCTGTTAATATTTGGTATGTCAACTACCTGTCGATTATCCCCATTATATTATAGAAAAGCATTATAGTATTATTTGTTTGTTTTTTGCCCTATTGTCACATGATACAGCTCTGCAAAATGTTACCACGCTATAAATAATAATAGAATGCTTGCATATTTATATATAGAGTACACTTTCTAATTAGAAGTCCAGAGATTTTATGACATGTTAAAGGTGTTTTCCTTATACCTGTTTGGTAGCGGTAAAGAATGCTAATAGGGCTTAGCCAATGAAGTCAATCCAAAGATGCCTGGAATCGATCTGCTAATAATGCAGGAGGGAATGTTCTGCTTTAGTAGTTTTGATTCTGCCGTCTGGAAGGAGATAACCTTGCATTGCATGTGCTGAGATGTCCTTTCTTTTAGGCTTTGCATTCAGACATTCTGAAAGAGATTGAGACATACACGAAGAAGCTGTACACACCCCTGGTGTTTGAAAAACAGGCGCCAGTCCCCATGAAAATGTTCACCCCAAAAATAATGCCTGTGTAAGTATTTTTTGCTGGTGTGTTCCTTATGTGATATAGTTATACAAAGCCGGGATATAATTGGCACATATTCATATTTGTAGTGTTCCCTTTAGTAATTATTGAGGGAGGTATTCTTTGAGACTACTCAATGCCTTCCCTGTCCCATCATAAACCAAACATGGATGCTATACATCTCCCTCCCAGCTAACTATAATGTGCATGTGCAGAGGAACTAGCTGTGACTATATAGCCTTAGATGACCGGGTTAGATCTTGCATACAGAGAAGCATAGACCGTGATCCTGCATGCAGAGAAGTATAGGCCGTGATCTTGCATACAGAGAAGCATAGACCCTGATCCTGCATGCAGAGAAGTATAGACCGTGATCCTGCATGCAGAAAAGCATAGGCCGTGATGTTGCATGCATAGGCCGCAATCTAGCAAGCAGAGAAGCATAGGCCGTGATCTAGCAAGCAGAGAAGCATAGGCCGTGATCTTGCAGGCAAAGAAATATAGACCGTGATCCTGCATGCAGAGAAGCATAGACCGTGATCCTGCATGCAGAGAAGTATAGACCGTGATCCTGCATGCAGAGAAGCATAGACCGTGATCTTGCATGCAGAGAAGCATAGGGATCAAATAAGAACCGTTTCCCTTTTATAAATGCTGCACTGGTCCTCATACTGAAACTTCAGTCATTGAGCCCCTGGGTAAGAGAAGCCAGCTTCTTGGTTAGTCTACATTTGCATCAAGCGTGGATGTCACTGTTCTCTACCAGCCTTGCCTGGTTTGGTCTCATAACTGGATTGGTTCTGTTTCAGACTTGAATATGGGAAAAGACAAGGGTGCAACAAAGTGGAGCGGGAGAGAAAAAGACTGATTCATAAACACAAACGAGAGTATAAAGGAGCCGTTCGTGAAATACGCCGAGACAACCAGTTCCTGGCGAGAGTGCAGCTCTCAGAGGCCGTGGACAGGTACGTAATTCTCTTTCTGTTCACACAACGATAATAACATGCACTGGGTGGCCATGAACGCAGACATTCTTTTATTTAATAACAAACAAACGTCAGAGCTAAAGCATAGACTGCAGCATTCACACACTTACACATTTAACCATCAGAGCTCTGAAGCATTCATTGTTTGCACCCTGATTGAAATCATAATGTGAAAGACCTATTCAAGGTTGTAGCATGAAATACCCTGCGTTACAGTACTTTAAGCTGAAATTTATCTTGTGTACATTAGTTGCAGACTGTCGGGGTGCCTGTAGGCATCCAGCTATATTTCAAAGACGTTCACCTTCATTTTGAGGCAAGTCAAGGTGATTCAAAACATCTTTGTAATCAAGCATGTTCTCAGGGTAAATACAGCGACTTTGTTCAGAGGCTGGTCAAGGTGATACAGTGCTATTTCACAATGAGAAACTTGCTATAGTAAATTTAAAGTGCGTACTGATAGCTGCGTGTGATGGGTCACAAGGCCACGAATGAGCTGTTTGCCATGCCAGACACAGCAGCTATGCACTGTGGTAGCTGAAGGTGATTCATTTTATATGTTTAATGTTGACAGTACTTCCAGCTTAATCGCAGTTAGAGAGACTCACAACTTAAAATCAAAATTGCAGTTCAGTGTCCCTCTCCCATACTTTATGGAATCTTATAATTTTTTTCATCTTAATCCAGGGATGTGGAGAGGAAACGGAAAGTCAAGGAGCTTTTCAACAGTCTGTCAACGCAGGAGGGTGAGTGGAAGGCCCTGAAGAAGAGGAAGCTGAAGGGAAAGTAACGCACACATAATGGAACATCCGGGAGACTAAATACCTCTTCAGTAATTGTGGAGAACTAAGAACTGGTATATTTTCCACTTTTTTGTGGAAATATTTCGGGACTATTGCATTTAATTGCATCACTTGATTAGCCTGAGGACCTCCATGTCACAATATGTAAATAGTGGCTAACGTTTTAACAACTGTGGCACAGCCGTGCCGAGAAATGCGACCAGGTTCGTGCCAGCTCAAATGGTGGAGGAAAAGAAATATCGAAAATGCCATTTAATTTCCACTTTTATTAGTGGAATCTTTTGTATTTTTAAATGCTAGAAATGTGATTCACCTTGTGTTTACCTGAACTGTCTATGTAACACAACGTGTTATGGGATATTGGGTAGCATTTGTATGCTGTGGCTTTAAAAAAATAAATTATAATATCCCGTTCTGTATTAAATATCATGTGATCAGTGTGCTATCGGAGTAACTAAACCGTAACTAACTAAAAATTCTAATATGCCATTTTATATTCCTTTATCGTTTTCCACAGTAGGGAGGAGGCAGGGCAGCCAAATATAAGGAACTCTGTTAATTATGTTGGATTTAAGCTGCTGTGCTTTTAAAAGTGGGATTTATGTAAATGGGGGAAATCCTCTCTCCTGTCCTGTCTGTACACAGATTAACATCCTGCTGCTCTTAACCTGATTGCCCCCATATTGTGTGTTGTTTTTTTTCTCTCCTTGGAATATTAAGAGGAAACAGGTGCATAATGAATATTACAGCAATAGTAGTGGAAAAAGAAATAGGAATAAAATACCATAATACCATGACCTCATGTGTCAACAGGAAGCCCGATCACAGTGATATACAGGATGAGTCCTGATACATTGACCGGTATTATCTGTATCCTGCTCGGGGCTTTCTTGCTACATCATCTTCACCAGTGATATTACAGTGAACCTGCCTGTTACCCAGATCTCACATGTTACAAAGTGGAGTCCGTGCACATCTACACAGAACATGTTAGATATACTTTTAAAAACTCCTTCCAAAGATGATCAGTATAGAGATGTAAAAAAAAAAAAGTTTTTCTGTAATGTTCGAACAATATGTTTATGGAAACTTGCAGGCCGCATGCAGCCCACAATGGATATATTTGCAGCCCACCTGCCCTGGGGCCACTTTGTGTTGTGGATGTGACCAGCCTCAAGACAGGAAAGATATTTCCTGTTTGATTCTTGTCTTCCCTCCCACGGCCAATTGCGTGTTCCTGCAGGCCAGCTTGTCGCTCTTGTCTCCTGCTCGCAGTGCCAGAGGAGCGTCAGGCCTGCTTGAACAGAAAAGAGCAGTGCTGGAACCAGATGACGGGCGGCTCATCTTAAAGGAACTCTCCAGTGACAGGAAAACACATTAGTTTTCCTGGCACTGCAGGACCCTCTAGTTCCCCTCTACCTCCCACCCCTCATCCCAAGTTGTTGAAGGCGTTTAAAACCCCTTCAGTGACTTACCGGAGTCCAGCGCTGATGTCCCTCAGCGCTGAGTCAGGCTCTGCCTACTCTCTTCAATGGCCGCACAAGCACATTAGACCTCCCTATAGGAAAGCATTACACAATGCTTTCCTATGGGGATTTCGGCGACGCTGGAGGTCCCCACATAGTGTGAGGACGTCCAGAGCCGTTTTAAAACACTTTTCGTGTTCTATGAACACGTAAGTCTCCTCTAGTGGCTGTCTAGTAGAGGAGGACTAAACCCAAGCAATGTAAATATTAATAATACAATAATTACACTTGCAGGGTTATGGGTAGTGGGAGTTGACACCCAGACCACTCCAATGTGCAGAAGTGGTCTGGGTGCCTGGAGTCTCCCTTTAAAGGTAGGGGAAGAGGGGCTTGGGGGACCGGGGGATGTGTATTAATTTTAGGGAGGGTGGAGATATTAATTTGAGCAAGGGAGGGGGTCAATGTATTAAATTGGGGGAGGGAGTAGAGCAGTTTAATAGTGTGGTGGCAGGGGGGCAGTGTATTAAATTAGAGTGGAGGGGGCAGGATATTAGATTGGGTCTGCAGGGAGGTGCTGAATGTTTGCATGGAGATGCTGATTGGCCGCGCAGCTTTTTGCTACACATGCACAATAGCCTCCCAATGCTTTCCTATGGGAAAGCGTTGGATTGGCTGAGATCATCAAGTTTGACGATTTCAGCCAAAGTGAAGAATTCTCTCATAGGACTTCAAAATCCACAAGTTAACGTCATTTGTCTTTTACTACTGTGCAACAGCATTCATTCACCATTTCAGTCCTATTACCAAACTTTTCTTAATATGTCAAGCTAGTTGGACTGAAACATATGTTAGGCAACTTTTTTTTATACTGTACTTTTCAAAATAAACCTACGTTTCTATGGAAACTAAAGGTTTGTTTTGTTTTTTCACGGCCCACATAAATTAAACCTTGTTTACTTGGCCTGTGTTAGCCTTTGAGTTTGACATGGTCCCTGTAATCAATTTTTTTAACCCTGGTTACTCTTTCCAACTTTTACATGCATGTTTATCACTTGCTTTGTTAATTCTGGTACACAGCCATCAGAGCACCCAGCTGTCACGGCTCCCTGCGATTCTGGCTGTACGGAAACATAGCGGCTATGCCGACAGAAAAATCAAATCCTTACCTTGATCATGGCAAACCACTGCCGAACCTCCTCCTATCCCGGTCCCCAACGAGTATGGCGTTTCTAGAGACGCCGGCCGCTGCGGTTCCAGTTTTAATAGACTTACTTCCACCCACATCAAAGATGGTGCCAACGTGCGTGCAACATCACGTCATAGACGCGCTCGCACGTTTTGGGGTCAGATGTCAGAAACATCCAATTACAGCCTAAGGAGGGTTATTTAAACCCAAATTACCTTTTTGTCAGTGCCCTGTCGTGGTTTCCACTAGCTGGTTATCTAAGAGTGTGTTCCTGATTGCGTTTTTCTGTTATTTAACTTTGGCTTCAATTTGACTTCCCTGATTTCTGGTATTCTGGCTTTCCTCATCGCTGTGTCTCGTTATGTGTCCCCGACCCCTGCAAGTATTTTGACTATTCTCCGGTACGTTAAGTCCGGCCGTTTTAAGGTCCGGTTAGACGTTATCCTTAGTCCTAGGTGTGATACTAATACTGTGTGTTGGATCAACTATAATCCTGACACCATCAACCTTGCACTTGAAAACTGTACCATTTGTGAGAAATGAAACCGGTTTCTTTTTTCTTTCTTTTGTCGCAATTTTCCCGGTACTAGTGTCCGTCATTCAAACAGCCATCTGAGGCTTCGGACCGAAATAGATACAATTAATTCAAATTGCATGTCTGATGTCAGCATTGCCCTGTTTGCGGATGCTGGCTGTGCTTATAATGCTTCTCTGTGGAGATTGCCATACACGTACTGTGTGCGCACAATGCTTCTGCATGAGAAACATCTGATTTGGACTAAAGTCATCATGCTTTATGACTTTGCAGCTGGAGGTTTGGGCTGCCATGAGCAGTCTGTCTCAGAGCTGAATTGCATTCAAGTGTTAATATGGTATATTATTGTGGTTTGGGGCTAATCGAAATACTTTACTTTTAACTGTTAAGTTAAATATTGATCACTAAAATGTTAACTGTCATGCATTTAAAGTGTACAGTATTTAAAACTTGGGCAAAAATAGTAAAATTAATATTAAAAAAAAATCTCACTCAGCAATGTTTTCAGTCCAGCTAGTTTGGTTTAATGTTGGTGAATAACATAGAATGTCTGCTTATTTAACCCCTTAAGGACGGAGCCAAATGTACACGTTGTGAACGAAACAAAATGTAAACAAAACCTGGCATTTGCGCTACATGTCTGTCCAACCGTAATACACCTCTTTCATAGTTAATGCACCCACCCTTATTATATATCATTTTATTCAGGGGAAACAGGGCTTTCATTTAATATCAAATATTTAGCTATGAAACATAATTTAATATGAAAAGAATGGGAGAAAATAAGATTTATTTTTTATTTTTTTAGTTCTACATGACATTTTAACTGTCAATGTCATAATACTGTTTGCTTTTACTGCAAAAAAAATACACATATTTGTATTAGGCAAAGTCTCACGTGTGAAACAGTACCCCCTATGTACAGGTTTTATGGCATTTTGGGAAGTTACAGGGTCAAATATAGCACGTTACATTTGAAATTGAAATTCGCCAGATTGGTTACGTTGCATTTGGGACTTTATAGTAGCCAGGAATGAAATTTACACCCATAATGGCATACCATTTGCAATAGTAGACAACCCAAGGTATTGCAAATGGGGTATGTCCAGTCTTTTTTAGTAGCCATTTGGTCACAAACACTGGCCAAAGTTAGCGTTAGTATTTGTTTGTGTGTGAAAATGCAAAAAATGCCAATTTTGGCCAGTGTTTGTGACTAAGTGGCTACTAAAAAAGACTGGACATACCCTGTTTGCAATACCTTGGGTTGTCTACTATTGCAAATGGTATGCCATCATAGGGGTAATTTTCATTCTTGGGTTACCATAGGGTCTCAAAGGCAACGTAACCAATCTGGCGAATTTTAATGTGAAAAAAATGAAACGCAAGCCTTATATTTGACGCTGTAACTTGAAAACACCATAAAACCTGTACATAAGGGGTACTGTTGTACTCGGGAGACTTCGCTGAACACAAATATTTGTGTTTCAAAACCGTAAAAAAGTATCGCAGCAATAATATCGTCCGTGTAAGTGCTGCTTGTGCGTGAAAAATGCAAAATAGGTCACCTTTACTGGCGATATCATCGTTGTAATACATTTTACTGTTTTAAAACACTAATATTTGTGATCAGCAAAGTCTCCTGAGTAGAACAGTACCCCCCCATGTACAGGTTTTATGGAGTCTTGGAAAGTTATAGGGCTAAATATAGTGCTAGCAAATTAAATTCCCTTTACTTTCGGCATGGGTTGTCAGGCAGGTCCCGCTAATTGTAATTAATTGATACCTAATTATGTAAAAATATTACATAAATATATATGTAGAATTAATATAAATATATATATCAATAAGGGGAGCACACCAGGACTTCAGTATAGTGAAAAAAAGTATTTACTGTATCAAAAACATGGTACAAATTCTGTGCAAAAGAAATCGTTTCGACCCTGCTGGGGTCTTTATCAAGATCACGCATATATATACGCATGTGTGTGTGTGTATATATATATATATATAATTTTTTATTTTTTTTTTAAATATTTTTATTTATATGTAAGTGTGTGTGTATATATATATATATATATATATATATATATATATATATTTCGTTCTACGTGTATTTTGATATAAATATATATATTACTATCACAATACAGTTAGAACGAAATAACACACATCTATATATTTTAATTATTTTTTAACGTATTTAAATATTTAATTTTTTTTATATTATATATAAATATATATATTACAATAATTATATATATATTTAATCAATATCAGTCTGTGTAATTTGATATTAATATATAATTATATATATTAATAGTAAAATACATCTAGACAGTGTGTGTGTGTGTGTGTGTGTGTATATATATATGTATTAATATGTATTAAGGCCTTTTGGCCTGTAATTGTGGGAGGGGCGTATGACTCACCTTCTCCCTACTTAAGGGACACCCCTTACCTGGCTCCATACCGTTCGAGGTCAGCGCTGCATCGAGAATCCACTTCCGGTTCACGTACGGCGCCATCTTGCTTTTCAAAACCCGCGGTTTTCGTTTGGTGTAGCTGTGTCCAGGAATCCTTACAGGTTTTCCGCCCGTTCAGCCACGCACATACCCGGTGTTTTCGTCGCAGATTAAGTCCACAGGACTTCAAAATCGTAAGTCCGTCGCCCGGATCATTTCCCACGGCGTCGCGATTTAAAACGGCCTTACTTTACGGCCACACGCTTTACGGCCAAGTCACAGGCATATTAACCCCTTTGCTGCCGGCAGGCATATCGGTTTCGGTTTTTCTTGTATTAAGCAAACTTGTTCTGCATATCAGCAGCTATAGTTGGTTTCATGTTATTACTGTTATTTATTTTATGCAAATTACGAAATCCTTGCATATGACTGGGGCAATACCCCTGTTAACTACTTATAAATAAGTATTTATTTAGGTTATGGTTCAATCTTTTAGCAGATATGGCATTATTAAAGTTAAAATTCTTCATGTTATATACATATATTTATGGAGTTAAGCTTAGACAAGCTTTTACATTTTACAGATATCTCTTGTAGGATTTACGTTATAAATTATGTTTAGAAATTACGTTTCTATCATACCATGTACTCACGTTTCTTACATGGCACTTATATATTCTGACTTTTTCTTTGTGTACTCAAACGACATACCAAGTACACAAGAACACGGTCTCATAAAATCTCACAAACTTTCGGGTTGAATCACACGTCTTGATTCAACCACTCATACGTCAAGTTGTTTCCTAATTTGGGATAATTTCTCAAATATTTCTGTACCTCGTACTTACCTCTTTTCATGGCTTACGTTTACGGCCTAACATATACGGTATTGTTTTAAATCCTGCACCTTATTATACTACAAACACTAGCATTACTATATCATACACATTAATCTTGTCACCATAAGAGACATATCATACACACCCCCAAGCATGATTACCATACCACATACAGGGCCAGTCGGGCCAATATCATTCATGTATTCCCCTTCCATATGTACTACTAGAACTCATCACAACTAACTAGTCTAAATTGGTATCATAGGATCCAATTCTCACACTATCATATTTGGTTTTTCTATCCCTTTAGGTTTTTTCCAGTTTTCTCTACCTATCGCTTATCAAACGCATACATACTACCAGGTACGTTAAGCCTGCTCACGCCATACATCACATATGGCTCCTCCTCTACTTAGGACATAGAGTACTGGCAATTTTAGGGGTTATAGGCCCAAATAGGTATCCCCCCTCCGGGCATTCTGCCTATCGTTTAGTGGTCCGCGAGGCCAACACCCCGCCTCAACGTTTCGGAGGTAATGCCCCCCGGGCCACACGTGAGTTAGCCGCCTCGCATTATAGAGAGGGTGCCACCTGTCACTCCCTTCCCCTGTTTTCTTGTATTGTCACCGAGAGGCCTACGAATTCCTGCCACTACGTCGGGTGGCCTCAATAACCCCTCGCGCCAACGCATAGATAGAGCCTCTCATAGCCACTTGGCAACTAGCAGGGCCTCACCTGTCACCAAAGAACAAGTTAAATTTTTCGCCTCATCCGGCATAATTAGCCTGCCAGTACATCCCCTCGGGGTTTTTTTACGCTAACCATATACTTTGTAATCTAGTATGTCTCAAGAGGGGGTAGAGGATTTCTCCATCCCAAGGACTCCGGCTAGAACAAACACCCCATCACAGGAGGAAGATACGGCTAGTCCAGCATCTTTCAGATCATGGACTATCCCTCGTATCACTAGCGAACTCAGGAGACGACAAATCCCTTTTCCAGCAACAGCAAGGAAAGCGGAACTTTACAAATTATTACACACCTCAACCGATAACATGGACGCTGGGGAAGGGTCGAGCCAGTCCCACCCAGGAAACATACATGACATGCTCACGTCCCTCATGACATCCATGAGCAAGGTCAATTCTAGGCTGGAGAAACTTGAATCGGTCACTACAGCCCTCACTATGGCTGGACCGGCCACGGCAATTCCCCCATCAGTGGTGGAGTCGCAATCAGTTTCTCCAGCTATCACCTCGGATGACCAAGAAGTTTACCCTGCCCACATGATTCCTGAGCACCTCAGGAGAGATATCCTGGAAGGTAAAGATGTCAATCTGGCCTCACTACTAATTGCCTCCCAGGATATAGTGGAACATAAGACCTACGCTTATGACGATATTTCTGTGGTGGTCAAATCCAGGGATGCACGATTAAATAGGAAGCTAACCATTCCAGAATTTGTATTAGCTTTTGGTATTTATCGGGATGTGGTCTGTACGGTATATCCACACAGACGTGAGGAGTTTGACTTATATATGCACAGGCTGGTTGATCTGGGCAACAAATATGGTGGGTCAGCTTTCTATGACTACCATAGATCCTTTTCTGCCAAAGTGTCTGGCGCCTTCTCACAGTACGGGACAAGGTCCAACTGGAGTAAGATTGATACGATCATATTTTGCAGGCACTTTGCAGGTCTAAGAGCACCGGCCTGTGCACACTGCTCCTCCATGGCTCATACCGCCAATTTTTGTCCGACCACTGCGAACGAACCTACCACCTCGCAGGGCACTAGCTCCGCTGTGTCAGCAGAGAGAACACCCAAAGACAAACTGGGTCGACCTATCAAGTTTTTGGGGAAGTCCCAAATATGTAATAATTTCAATGTCGGTGCATATATGTTCAAAATGTTTTAGGGCACATGCGAAAACCATGTGTCCAAATAAAATGTACCCTAAGCAATACTTAACTGAGATAAATATTTCTGTACTCACGGCATTACTGTCACGACATCCATCTAGACATTTGGTAGACTTCATCATCACTGGTCTATCACAAGGATTCCATACTGGTCTCATACACATGCCTTCAGGAATCCTTGAATGTCCTAATTTACAATCTGCACAACAAAACCCTACAGCGGTTAGCACACTCATAGCCAAAGAAGTGGCAGAGGGCTTCCTATTGGGACCCTTTCAGTCCCCTCCTTTTTCCACATGGCGGACAAACCCCATCGGTATTGTCACAGGGAAATCTTCCCACAAACAAAGACTTATCATCGATCTGTCTGCACCTCACACCTCTGCCTCACCTAGTCTGAACTCCCTTATCCCCTCTGAGGAATTTTCACTTCAATACTCCACCATAGATCACGCCATTACAGCTATCATGCAGGCAGGGGTCGGAGCATGGCTCAGCAAGACTGACATTACAAATGCCTTCAAATTATTGCCTATCCACCCTACACTATGGCACCTGCATGGCATTAAGTGGGCCGGGCACTACTACTTTTTCTCACGCCTAACGTTTGGTTCAAAAAGTAGTCCGGCCATTTTCGACGTATTCGCCGAAACATTATGCTGGTTATTATTAAATGTAGCCAGATGCCCTACAGTTATACACTACCTGGATGATTTCTTACTGATCGAAGAGAACACTTCCCCTCCCAGTAGCCTCATAGAAACCATCAGTCTTTTTAAACAGGTGGGTGTTCCAGTCTCCCCCACCAAAACTGAAGGACCAGATACAGTCATCACCTTTCTGGGAATCATGCTAGACTCAGCCACCATGCAAGCCAGCCTGCCACGCACCAAGATAGAGAACATTCTCACCAACATTAACCTCTACATACACCTCGGTACTTGCAATCGCAAAGAATTGCAGTCTCTACTTGGGTCACTGAACTTTGCCATGCGCATTATACCTCAAGGCCGGGCTTTCATCTCACGGCTCCTAACCATGTTCCCACTGTTTAGACATGATGCACACAGGTTACCACTGGATACCCAAGCCACGGCAGACCTACTTATGTGGAGAAACTTTTTGACCACCTGGAATGGGAAAAGCATGTTTCTCCCTAAATTGTCTGACTCCTCACCTACCATCTGGTCAGACGCGGCGTCTACCACAGGTTTTGCAGCAATTTACGGGAATGAATGGCTTTGGGGTAGCTGGCCTCCAGAGGTACAGGACCTGGAAGGGTTTTCCACTACCTCAGCTCTATTTGAGATGTATCCCATTGTAGCAGCTGCCGTGACATGGGGGCATCTATGGGCAGGTTCGTCAGTACGTTGCCACTCAGACAACCAAGCTACCTGCCACATCATAAACAAAGGCCGATCCAAGTCACTGACCATTATGAGGTTCTTGAGGAAACTCACCTGGCTGGCTGCATGCCATAATTTCTTCTTGTTTTGTGTCCATGTCCCAGGTGTTTGTAACACGGCTGCTGACAATTTGTCTCGTTTCAATTTTCAGGCTTTTCGGCAAATACTTCCGTCAGCCGCACGTACAGCCACGACCACTCCACCTTTCCACCAGCTAGTCATGGACTAGAAGCTATTATGCAACATAGCAGGACATTGGCACAATTAGCACTGTCCACCAATACCCGGAGAACATATGACAGGGCTTTCCTTCTATTTAAAAGATTCCTGTCACTGCACAACGTCACACAACCTTTCATCATGACATCTTTGTTAGGCTTTGCTTCTTTTTGCCACCTCAAACTTAAATTATCTTACAACACAATCAAGCTATATCTGACAGGCATACAACATCACATGCTAACATTACAACCAAACAACACAAGTTTCATGTCCTCCTACCAGATAAAAACATCCTTAGAGGTATCCAGAGATCCGAACCCCCACGTACCGCGCAAAGGCTACCTATAGACTTCAATATCTTCAAGGATTTATCCAGCCTACTAGATTCAAAACCCTTTGCGAACAACACAAACCTTGTTATAAAAACCGCCATATACGTAGCTTTTTATGGTTTCTTGAGACCAAGAGAATTTACCGCCATCAACACATCCCAGTCCACTCACATTCTGCTTCATTCACACTTAACGAAACACATGGATTACTATATTTTAGCTCTGCATCACTCCAAAACCAATCAACACGCACCCCCGGTAGAGGTTAGATACTATCCTACCCACAACGTGTGGTGCCCCGCCACATTACTGGACACCTATACTCAGCATTTCAAAGCATCACCATCTCAACCACTTTTCTGTCTACAAGGTTCGGTACTCACTACCACCACCTTCATGACCCACGTCAGGTCCCTACTTACACAACTAGGCCTAAAATCAGCTAACTATTCGGGCCACTCCTTCCGCATAGGGGCGGCCTCCACAGCGTCCAGTGCAAACATTCCAGTACATGTTATCAAGTCACTAGGGCGCTGGAAGTCTTCTGCATACTCTAGATACATACCTAACCCGGTACAAGAAGTTAGAAATGCCTTTCAAGATATGTCTGGTTGAAGTATGTATACTGCTCGTTTCGTAATAAAGTATATTTTCTACTTTTGCCCTCTTTATTTGCAGGCCTACCTCATCGTCGGTTCCGGCACACCACAACCGACTTGCTCTTTCACACTATCCCACACTTATCAGTGTTTGTATCTTCTGTACTATCATGAGCCCTTAACACAAGTATTAAGGCCTTTTGGCCTGTAATTGTGGGAGGGGCGTATGACTCACCTTCTCCCTACTTAAGGGACACCCCTTACCTGGCTCCATACCGTTCGAGGTCAGCGCTGCATCACCCTCCCACCCACTCCTCTTTTATTAACTCCTTTTTCTCATACATTTCTTATTGGTGGGCCCTCTTTATTTGCAGGCCTACCTCATCGTCGGTTCCGGCACACCACAACCGACTTGCTCTTTCACACTATCCCACACTTATCAGTGTTTGTATCTTCTGTACTATCATGAGCCCTTAACACAAATATATATATATATATTTTATTTTTTTTTTACACTTTTTAACTTTTATTTATTTTATTTCCAGCCTGCAGGGGGGCTACCTGTCTTTACAGGCAGCCCCCCTGCTGGCAATACAGAAGGCAGCTATCCCGGCCATGTGATTGTGAGGTCCTCGCAAGGACCTCACTCTCACATGGCCGGGGGGGGGGGCTCCCTGGCGGCCGACCGGGTAAGTAATGAAAGACCGGTGGGCGTACTATTACGCCCGGCGGTGTTTAGAGCCACCTAAAATAGGGCATAATAGTACGCCCTCCGGTCTGAAGGGGTTAAAGGATCACTGATCCTGTAGTGTTAACACCACCATCTGGGCCACTCATGCCTCCATAAATATAGTAAAAATCTTACTGTATTCAAGCCAGAAGCTATAAATCTGCATGCTGTTAGACTCAGAAAAACAAGCAGTCTGCTGACATGTGGTAGCCTGATCCAATCACAGTGCTTCCCCATATGATTGGCTGAGACTGACAAAGAGGCAGATCAGGGGCAGAGCCAGCATGATTCAAACACAGCCCTGGCCAATAAACATCTCCTCATAGAGATGAATTGAATCAATGAATCTCTATGAGGAAAGTTCAGGGTCTGCACGCAGAGGGAGGAGATACTGAATCACAGGATGCTGTGCACAGTGCTGACAGCAGATCTGAGTGGATGGAGGCATATTATGCCTCCATGAACTCCGAAGTCCATCTGGTCCACTCTGAGTGACTGCAACTGGAGGTGTTCCTAGCTTTCAATGTAAACACTGTATTTTCTCACCTTCTCAGAAAATACAGTGTTTACATGAGAGGCTGCAGGGAGCTATAGTTCTCACCTGAACAACCTCATTAGCTGAAGTTGTTCGCGTGACTATAGTGTCCCTTTAAGTTTTGTATATTTATAGGATTGTACAAACAGGCTGGGCCATCTTATGATCTGAGCAAGATATCATTCCCGTAGTGTAGAAATTAAACAAGCCAGGCCTTAGACTTTGATATGTGTTTATTAATTTCAAATGTACCAGGACAATGAAAATATAATTACATTCATACCTAACCATGGAGTGCCAGACGTTATGGATTCCCCTAAGACCTAGTAGAGGGATTGGCATCATTGAGACCATTTAGTTAAGGCTCCTAAAATGCACCCGGGGGGATCTTCATTGGATTGCCCATTTCTGTAACATTATTCTCATTTAATATGTATTGATGGGCAAGCAAACTAAACCATAACGTGTCAAATTAGTATAGCATAAAATACATTTTTATTTAGCAAATAATCGCTTTTAATTCTGAAGAACTGATCAAACCTTGTGTTTCCATTAGTTGAGCAGAGCATTAAATCCTTTTCGATGTAAATAAAGCACGAACGGGGTTATTTATTCACTAAACTGGAGACTTCTAATGGAATTTCAAGTTTTATGTAAAATAGCTGAGATGTAAAAAAAATCAGTGCGTCAGAGCGTTTTTCCAAATAATCTATTTCACCAGCTTTAGCAGATCCCTCTTTGGTTCCCAGTTCCCAGTTTAGTGAATAATCGACTGAAAATTAAAATCTGCCCTCCTTTGCTGCCTGACACGATAATATGATAGAAACACAGTTAGTATTTGAGAGTAAATAAACATATTATGAAGCCGCTATGTAGGACTTTTAATGGATGCGATGGAGAAGAGATTGTGAAGTCATGATCATCAGACTCTCACGGTACGTGAACCGGACCCTCAAGACTTTGCTTTCTGGGTTTCAGTTTTTGTTTTGTTCTCTGAGCTATCACCACGGGCTGAAAGATGTAAAAACACAGCAATTAAGATTATGAAAACTACTTAAATACTTTATCTCTACGTTGTCTTGTGTTAGTTCTGTTAAAAAAGTTCTAGAACACTGAAATATCTTCAGCTGATTAGTTCTCTTGAACCACCAACTTGCATGGGTTGTAGCATTATTCCTGGTTTGCTGGCGGTTCCGTAGGAATGGTTTGAGAATTTCACGTTTCTGCTGAGCTTGTTTATGGAACTATAGAGCAGTAATGTGAATAACAGGCCTAGTTCTGCATGACTTGGTTTTGTAACAAGGGGAATTTGTGTTGTCATTCATAGACAAACGAGGGCAGTGCGGCTGTTGGAAGGCTCTATAGAAATGTTTCTGTTCCTTTAAGAATATGGATGACCCTCCATCGTTCTGTATAGAGGTGAGGTCTGGACAAGTTAATTTCCTCAATGATTATCCTGTTCAGATCAATACAATAGTGATTACATAGAATAGGCTTCCCACCCTGTTTCACCATGGGCTTAGTGAAGTAGCCTTAGTAGCGCAGCGATGTTTCATTTGTGTCTGTTTCTGGGGGAGGGGGTAAACTTAACAATTATGGAGCAAACCTGTCACTCAAAAAATAAAATGAAGCAATGTCCTAAATATGTAACAAAATACTGATTAAGAAACCGCTTACTAAAGAGAAATATAGTTTAAAGTTTTTTATAGGGTTACTCCAACCACCATGGTCACTTCATTGATTTCAAGTGGTCGGCATGCGTATGTGCCTTGTTTCTGCTTGAAATACAACGCATACTGTGTTTTTGGCACTTGTGTGCAGGAGGCCTAGTTGCACCCCTGGCACGTGAATTAGGCACACAAGAACTCTGTTCTGGGCTGCCTAATGTGCATAAAGAAAGGTCTGTCATGCGCAAACTCTGAAAGGGGAAGCTCATTCTCCCCTCCAATGATTTAATAAGCCCTTTCCGTTTCCCCACATTTTGTTTATTATTTATTTTTCTCCTCTGTCCACCTCCCATTCCTTTCCTCGCTGGCCCAGAGCACATGTATGCACTCTGAGCCGGCGAAACCGTCCAATCACAGAGCTCTCTATGAGAAGACTGTGGAGGCTGATGACAGGGAAGACAGTGGGACCTTTGCCAGGTGCTGCATGTCAGCTAAGTTTTTTTTTTGTTTTTTTTTTTATAGCATTTTACAATAGGCCATTTTAACTTAAGCATATTTGTTCAAGAAGGTTTAAAATATCATATGTCAGCAAAATAATATGGGGAATTAATTACACCATATGGCCATGTTTTGGTAAGCCCCCCACTACATCACAGTAACCCAATATCGGTGGGTCATACACTTATTTTAACGTGGGAGCCTTACATGCTAACTGCAATATCCAATGCTTAAACTGTTTCCAGAGTCTCTACTTAAATGTTTCCTGTGTTCACGTCCAGAGACACGTATACCGTAAATAAAATATATAAGAAGGCATGGTACCAAATGGGTCTAGGCATCTAAACCTCAATAGAAAATGTATCAACTACTAAAAGGCTGTCTCAGTATACTCAGGTGTTTTGCGAAGTGGAAATTTCGCTTGCAAAGCAATTCACCCACAATCTATTTGTAAAATCAGTCCTACAAAAGGGGCAAATTACGTCAACTCTGACAGTTCGAATTTAACAGGTTTTATTCTATTTCCTTGTTAACACTACTTGCAATTTCCCCTAGCCATTTATAAGTACAGGAAATGATAAAAAAAAAAAACAATAATTAAACCATTCACTAATTGCTAGGCAACCAGACGTACGCAACAATAATGAGAGACACTCCAGGCACCATAGCATTCTATATAAAATGTTCCTTGTTTCACTACAGTGCTGCAGCTAAATCACACCTTATCTTTATTCAGTCACTGGAGGAAACTGTGTGCCCTGCTTAAGATAGCATAGCAAATAAATCCAAAGTCATTTATATAGGGCTCTATTGTACCTTTCTATTTGATACATTTCTTTTCATGAATGAAACTATCTGGGACCTGTTACCTACTTTTTCTTTAAACGCCTGCTAATCAGGGGTTTATGAAAATATGCAGAACAAGAGGCGGACCGGGTCTGGTCGAGAAATCGCAGAAGCAGAAAATATAAGCTTCAAAGCAATTAAATTAAAATTTCATTTTCTCTCCTGTTGTTTTTTTCCTTGTATTATTTTAGATTCTCCATAATTTATGCCTGGAATCTCTGCTGTCAGGAAACCTACTTACATTCCTCAGCCAATGCTCTCAGGTTTCGCTTTATTGTAATGATGTCTTGGTGGCCAGACAAGCAATGTGAATGGAAGAGGCCAACGCTAGAGGGAAAATAAAAACTGACTGCGGAACCAACGCTGGTGTACTGGAGTTTCAGGGGTTTACCGTTTCAGATTATGGCAAAAATAAAAATCTCAGTAATGATTATCCCCAAATGTTTTCTCTTTAAAGCAGCTCTGTCACGACACACGTATCTTTCCTCAATTGATTCTTCTTTTTTCCGGTCTCAAATCTTTCCTTCCATCCTAATTAATTTTTCTTAAAATACATAAGGCATTATCCATTTTCCTCAGCTTGAAAAAAGTTGACAAAGAATGACGCTTAAGGCAACCACCACTTCCTTTGTCTAGTAAAATCTTCCCAGCATACTTACCTCTGCTCCAATCTTGAGAGTTTCATCTGTCTTTCATCCTTTGTCGTGCATGCCTAGTACAATCTACCTGAGTCTCGTTCTTGGGCATGCAGTAATTAGAGGGAGTTGCTGGGCATGGGCCAAATCGGAATCGCAGGGTTAGGATTGCATTGGTTAGGAAGAATATCCTGTGCCATAAACAGAGAGCATTTAAAAATAAAAAAAATGTGGGCTAGGAGGCAAACAAATGTCGGGGGGGAGGGGGGGAGGAAAAAAAAAAATATGGACATATACCCATGATAGGGCCGCTTTAACTAAAATGGGACAACCAATTAAGTACAACCATCATATTATTCTATCAGATTGCAGTCTTCACTCAAAGCCTATTTTTGTTACTCTTTACTCGTATTCTGTGCTACAGAATTTGCTGGCTCCATATAGAGATTGAGTGATTGTCCTATAGTTGTTTCTAACTATGACTATACTTGTTCTCCATTTTGGTAAAAGCACGTTTCACCAAACAAACAAAAACAAACAAATTTTGAATTGGAGGTGGTTTCATTTTGCAGTGATATTTAAATGAGTTCGTATTGGTATTAGCTTGTCTTTCACCTTGCTCTTGAGCACTAACCTTTGTTTTCTCCATTGATCCCCAGTCTCTCCTCTTCTGCTTCCAGCAGCTTCCGGTAGACAGCTATTTCAGCATCCAGCCTGAGCTTGATGTTGAGCAGATCTTGATAATCTTTAAGGTATCTGCCTAAATCTGATTGTGTCGCTAACAGGCGCCATTCTAGTTTATTCAGGGTCTCATGGAGGACATCACTTTCTTCCAGGTGTTTGGCTTTCATGTCCTCTAACTGGTTTTCAAGGGCTTCATTACGGGCTCTCAACGCATCAATTTGGGACTGTAGGTCAGACACCTGGTTGGTGTACCTACTAATATCTTCTTTGAGGATATGGATCTTTTCTTCATTCTTGTAGACGTGGTCCTTCAGTGAACACAACTTGGTCTTGTACCACGTTTCAGCATCTTGAAAGATTTTCTTGGATGCCTGTTCAATTTGACCACGTAAGGCCCGAAGTGCTGCAGCCAGGTCAGGGCGACTACTTTCGAGGTCCACATTTACCTTTGAATCTTCAATCTGCTTCAGTAAATCAGCAACCTCTTCATCGTGAAGCTTCTTTAGGAACTCAAGTTCGTCCACCAGCTGTTCAACTCTCTTCTCCAGTTCCAGCTTCTGCAAGGTGGCATCGTCCACATCCTGACGGAATTCTCTGAGCGTTCTCTCTGCCTCTTCTGTCAAAATAAAACAAAAACATGCTACTTGTAGATGGCAGTTTGTGATGTTTTCTTATTCATTAGAAGATAATTTAAACTTAAACTATCGAGTAGGTAAATGTATTGTATTTAACAGAATACCATGAGGCTGAGAAAAGTGTATTTTTTACATTTGTTAAACACCTCTTGGAAAAGAAAGTTATTAAGGGAACAATTAGTGCCAACAGATTTAGTTAAAGGAAAACCTAATCAACCGACGACTTTGCTGTAATATTCCATTCATTCTAAAGTTTTTTGGGTTTTAGTGCTTCATCTAATTAAAGTGGTTATAGTACCCAGTGCCCCCTGGATTCATTCTTCCATTATTTGTTAGACTGTATTTAATGTTTTAATGCTAAGCAAGAGTCCCCAGCAGCCCATCCCCTCTGTACTTTTTGAGCTAATGAGGAAGTATTAGCCTGAGCAGCAATAATTGGCCGAGAGTGTCAGTTGACCGCTTTCAGCCTATCACAACCGTCACTACATGTACGAATTTGTGTCTCTAGAACATACCTCTCAACATTGGAAGATATGAGATTAAGAAGCGTGGGTGCTCCACGAAGGGTAGGTAAGCCTGGCGTGAAGCACACTAGGTACAGATAGCCTAGTGCAGGCATAGGCAACCTTCTGCACTCCTGATGTTTTGGACTACACCTCCCATGATGCTTTGCCAGCATTATGGGTGTAAGAGCATTATGGAGGATGTAGTTCAGAACCTATGGAATGCCAAAGGTTGCCCATCCCTGGCCTTAAGATGTCCTTGTGCTGTGCTGTGCTGTCCTGAGAACAGCTCACGAGGGAACAAAATCGGAATGGCAGGACAGGACCCTAAAATCATGGATGTAATACCAAAATTGGGACTGTTAGAAGGTGGTATAATCTCTGTCTAAGCAACCTGGCTTTCTACAGTCCAGTATTGGCTGGGCTCTGGGAAGCCAGGTGCCCTCTTAGATACCCACAAACAAAGCATACAAAAACAAAATACACAAAGCATACAGTAACAAAATACATGCATGTTTTCTTGTTACATCTACTAAATTGCTATAAAATTAATTCAATGGAGTGTTCCTTCAAACTACATTTCCCATGATGCTCGCTTTGCCCTTCGTACCTTTGAGAGATAGTTCTACCTCACACTTGTCGTTCCAAATGTTGATCTCTTCCTCTAAGTTCCCCCTCTCGATATCTGCCGCGTCTTTCTCTTTGTTTAAACTCTCAATCAGATCTTTTAGCTCTTTGAATTGCTTCTCATATTCCTCCGATATTCCAGGTCCTCTCTTCTTCAAGAGAGCAGCTAGTGCGACAAGCTCTGCATTCAAGGCCTTGTTCTTTTCTTCAAGTGATCGGACCTTTTCGATGTAACCAGCAAATCGTGTGTTCAACTGCTGGAGCTCTTCCTTCTCATTGGGGCGAGGAACATGGGCTTTCTTGGTAGACAGTTCCCCCTCAAATTCTGTGTTGGACACATCACCCTGAAATCCTTCCTGGACTTTGCTTGAGGAATAAGCGGAGCCACCAATGCCTTTCCTGGACTCATTCACCGTTGTCGTTTTTTGAGAGTATGAAATGTTCCTCATTGTGTCTACCAAGAGTCTACAAGGCTTTCAGAAACAGAAAGGTTAGCAGCGAATCCCTAACTTTTATATAGAAGAGTGGAATGTGACAGATAGCTGTAGCTGTTCATGTTTTAATGTATGATTCAATTAGGCTGATTCTCAATAGCCAATCGAAGTCTATTGTAGCGAAACTTGCCATCATGTCAACATTCTTGAAGTGTCTCACTTCAGTGCAACATATCTTGAGCTTTATGCCTACTGACAGAAAATTCAATTCAGAAAAAAATAAACAGGGAGTGGTACTATATTAGCCATTGAAATAAAGGAAACATATACATTAAGTGGTGATGTATTTTATTATCAAACTAGGTTGATTTTGAGCGCAAGCTCTGAAACCTAATCCAGATTTCCTTTTTCATATTAGTATTTCCTAAAAATGTTATCTTTATAAAAGCCAGAAATTATCTGTTTGTGGCAGAACAGTCAGTTATATATTTTCATGCATTGGGATTTTCAAGGGTTACACCATGACCACTTCAATTATTTGAAGTGGCCATGGTGCCTGGAGTCTGTATGTTCAGCTTTTTGCTTTGAAACGAGCACAAACAGAAATTAACCCTTTAGAGGCCATAAGTGTAATAACCTCATTGGTTATCCCAAAACAAAAGTTCCAAGCTGGCTGATGTCAATTCTGTGTTAGTATGCACAGCTTGCTGGCGCCAGGCAGACAGTGGTGGCATGGCCCCCACACCATGATGCCCATGTCCTCCCTCATTCTCTGGCAAGAGGGGGTATCAATAGGCAAGGATGACTGGACTGCAGGGGGAACTTGGTCTTAATGGAATGGAGGTAAGTTTAGCATTTCTTTAATTTAGTTTTAGGCGGGTGGACCAAACACTGCCCAAAATTAAATAAATAAAATGCTAAATTGGAATAACCTTTAGGATGAGCCATCAGGTAACAGATTCCTGAATTAAGACCTCAGAACTCAATATAACTAGTCTATTACCCAGCTAAACTGAAATAAAAAAGGGGTTAAATACAACATATATATATATATATCCCAATCATATTAACCCCTTAAGGACCAAACTTCTGGAATAAAAGTGAATCATGACATGTCACACATGTCATGTGTCCTTAAGGGGTTAAAGGAGAAATATGTACAATTCCCCTGTATAGTGTAAGCTCATGGGGGAGGAGGTTCTCTTCTCCTTGTGTTCCAGTGTGCCTACATATTTCTCCCTGTTTGTATAAAACCAGTTATTTTTGTATAAATTGCAAAGCGATCTGGATAAGAGCTCCATGCTATATAAGAACTGATGATACATAATAATAATAATAAATTTTCCTGCAATAACCACTTCACAGTTCCCTTTCTCTCTCTCTCTCTCTCTACTGACAGGCAAGAGCAGCCAATCGTTCCAACAACCTGCTCCCATCATGCTCAGGCACACTAAGCTGCTGGCTGCGTGCTGTGGGAGTTGCAGTTGCCAGCTGTGGTGGCAGGTATGGAGGCTGTTTGTGCCCTGTGGCTTGTAAAGTGATAGCATTGAGTGAGTCAGATGAGGAAGAAGTTGCCAGGGTTGAGAAGTTAGTGATGCACATTGAAGGAGGAGGAGGACGGGGAGGGATCTGAGAGTGTGAGTTCAGCCCAGCCATAGAGACTGCAGGAAGCTGGGTAAGTAGGTAATTGTTGCACTATGTAACAATTAGATGTATCATGGCACCCAGCCTGGCATGGACTGCCCCTCCTGGCTGGGGAGAGAGGGGGATGGGAGGAGGATAAAGTATTAGCTCCTAGAGTTGAAAGGGGTACAGAAAGGGGGGTAGTGGAGTAAGAGGGGTGTGAGAGGTAAGAGCAGGGCAGAGCTGGAGGGAGGGGTGAGAAGGGGTTAATACAGGTAGGTGGGCAGACAGGTAGTATGTGAGAGCAGAGTGCCAGGTTTAACCCTTTGAGTGCCAGGGCTGAATGATTACATTTTAATTTTTTTTTTAATTTTGTTCCTCTTGATTATAGTCATAAAGTACACATGTATGTATATATGTAATAAATGCATTTTTTTTATATATGCATCACAATGCATTTTGGAAATTATCCCTAAGATAAGATAGATATATTCTGGGAAAATCTCCGAAATGCATTGTGAGTAACAGTGATCAGTAAGTATGGGACGTGTGCCATACATTTTATTTTGTTTTTGTGGTGTTAAATGTATTTATTTATATTTTTCATGCTGATAGGAGTATCAAACAGCCTGGTAAATAAAGGATGCTGTGAGACTGGAACAGCAGGACCAGCGGACAACTTGGTACATTGTGGATTCGGCTGTGAAGAAAATTGAGGTTTGTCACCTGAAATATCAGTTATATAAATTTTATGTGCATTGTATGAAAAGCGCTTCCACGTATTGTGTAGAACCGAAAAGTTGCAGGTAGGAAATTGAGTGATTAATCAATCTGCAATCTTGCACTACACAATTTTTACATACTACGATGTAGCACTTTTCATTCACTGTCCATTAACAAAAACATAATGTGTACAGGAAAACATGAGGGATAGGGCTACCTTATGAGATTAATCATTAAACTCTGAATTGTAGAAAAGTAAAATCCAAATGGAAAACTTGGGATAAAATACCCAAAAATTCCCAGTATTTGCAAGTTTTTTTCAAAATCAGCTAAGTTTGTATAGATTTTGCCATATTGATTTTAATTTGCTACAATTCAGAGTTTTTAGATCAAGATTAATGTTAAATCTCATACTTTTTTTTTTACTTTTTGGTTATTTTCCTTCTAGATTTGGCCTATTTTTGTGAGGCACAGATTGGGAGCCATTTGAGGCCCTGTGTAAGAGTTTTAGTGCTGAGCAAAATGGATTCTAAGGGGTGTATCCACTAAATGGAGACGTGACAACAACACCAAGTCAAATAGGAAAAATCATCTAGCTTTGCTCTTAGGCCAAAAATGTGCAATTCTCTAAAATTAACACTTTACAGGGTTATTCATGCAATTTGTGTGTAAATTGTCAGGAATTCAAAGTGAATTTCAGTTTCTTGTCCAAAAGTCTGAAAATGTAGCTGATTAGGGAAATTTTCCAAATTTTGGCCTAAAATTTTAAATTCACCATGATTGCCTGATAATTCACACTTTAGTCATGGAGTAGCCCTGATAGTAAATGACCTGTCTGTTTTAACCCCTCCCTTACCCCTTTAGTACAGTCCCATCCCAACCAACTCTGAGGAGAACCTGCCCTGGTACTTATAGTCGGTAATAAAATCATTTGCTGGAGTATTGGCCATTTTACCATTATCACATGTCTGTTGGGCTGCCCAACAGTAAGTATTGGTATTCTGATAAACAGAAACAAAGTGATTTAACTCCTAAATGACAGTGAATTGAGCAGTGAAATTGCAAGGGAATGATCTATACACTAAAACTGCTTTATTTAGCTAAAGTAATTTAGGTGACTATAGTGTTCCTTTAATATAATCCGGCTAGCTGCAGGCCATGGTTTAAGGAAATGCTCATTTTACCTAAGGAATGTAAATTGTTGTTATTATTGTGAAATATTTATTCTATTTGTCTTTGGAAAATATATTTGGACTAATAATTATAAAGTAAAAAAATGGAAAGAGATTGGGTGGTTTATTCACTAAAAAGTCAAATGTGGTAAATTGTCAGTCAAATCGCCCAATTTATGCCAACCTGGAAAAATGTGAATTTTGAGAATTTCTCAAATTTTTGGGCTTAGTTTCATAATGCTGTGTGAGTTAGCCAGGTTCTCAGTGAATACACCCCAATGGAAAGGGAATGCATGTAGCTGCAGGGATGGGCTGTTGGTAATTGAACGCCTGAAGGTCAAGGGAGGAGAGTTTATCAATTTGCTGTAAAATCTGGAGACAGCCTGCTAATGGCATTGCTAAAGGTTCCCTTGAAGGGAGACTCCAGGCACCAACACAACTTTTATGCATTTTATTGCTTTTGCCCTAAATAATTTTCTGCATTCTATTGTATATTAAAGGGACACTATAGTCACCAGAACAATTACAGCTTAATGTAGTTGTTCTGTTGAGTATAATAGTTCCCTTCAGGCTTTTTTTCATGCAAACACTGCCTTTTCAGAGAAAAGGCAGTGTTTACATTGCCTATAGGGACACCTCCAACTGGCCACTCCTTAGATGGCCACTGGAGGTGCTTCCTGGGTCAGTGCTGCCAAAAAAGCAGCCCTGACGTTCAGCGTCCCTGCGCTGTGCATGGAGACGCTGAATTTTCCTTATATAGATGCACTGATTCAATGCATCTCTATGAGGAGGTCCTGATTGGCCAAAACTGCATTTGCCCCACCCCATACCGATTTTTAGCCAATCCAATGCTTTCCCTATGGGGTGATGTCACAAAGGGGGCGTAGCCAGCACTGGCGGACCCGTGCAGTGCTGGAAATAAGGAGAGTTTTAAACTTGTATACGGGGGCTAAGGGGGGGGGCAAGCCACCTAAATGGTGGGTTAAACACTATAGGGTCAGGAATACATGTTTGTGTTCCTGACCCTATAGTGTCCCTTTAACCCCTTAAGGACCAAACTTCTGGAATAAAAGGGAATCATGACATGTCACACATGTCATGTGTCCTTAAGGGGTTAAATAAAATAAAGGAACACTGTAAGTAACATCTGCCTGTAGTAGTTATGTTGCCTCGAATGTCCAGTTTAATGTCAGTTTAACTATTTAGAAATGTTTTGAGCCCTTTGGGTCGCCCCCTCCCTAGACACACTTAGACTGCAGGATTATCTTTTGCCAGTTTTAACCATCCTAGATGGTGATGATTTGCTGAGTAATAAAAATTAGTCAGTGGTTTTAGTCAATCTATGTATATATATATTCCTAAAAGCATTAACTATACCGTGCATTACAAAAAAATGTCTCAATCCCAGCATGGAGTGCTCCTTCAAACCATTAACTGCACCAAATAAATCCATGCGCAGAGTGACGCATGTTAAGGTTAAGATCCATTGTTTTTATGGACACACAACAGTTGTTTTTTTTTTTAAATTTTTTATTTTAAATGTGTAGTTTTGTCAAGGAAACACAAACAATAGGTAAGACAATATAAATGGAAAAAGTACACTCAAGCACAGGACTCCGCTCCTTGGTTACAATAACAATGAAAAGCCAGGGACAGCAGCGTTTCATGCGTAACTGTCAGGTTTATGATCACGCTCATTTGTATAGGTGCAATCAGGCTATGTCTGAGGTCGATGCCCCACAATCCCACCCCGCACACAAAGCGGCTAGTAGCTATCCAATCTACCATGAATAATAGCAAGTCCAGCCCTGCTATTGGGGCAACCAGGCTATCCACCCATAATGCTATCCGCTAGAGCAGAAGTTGTAAGCAAAGTTAATGCGGTTTTAGCATACTGCCATCTCGCCTAGAACCCTGGTGTGCAAGAGCGAGTGGTGAAACTGAAAATAATAGAAAAAGAGGCAGAGAGCAGCCAACCCCACCGCACGCCCACAACCCATCCCGCCCCCCCAGAACCCTCCACATCAGTAACCTCCGCTCCCCTAATCTAAAGATGCTGCACTGCTCTTTCACCCCATCTCCCGTCGGGACATAAACGCATCTTATGGATACCACTGTCCAGAGTAATGGAGGCCAACTTCTCTCTTGGGCACATTCTCTTTAATATTTTTTATTAGTGATATTGCAGAAGGTCTTGATGGTATGGTATGTCTTTTTGCTGATGATACTAAGATATGTAACAGGGTTGATGTTCCAGGAGGGATAAGCCAAATGACAAATGATTTAGGTAAACTAGAAAAATGGTCAGAATTGTGGCAACTGACATTTAATGTGGATAAGTGCAAGATAATGCATCTTGGACGTAAAAACCCAAGGGCAGAGTACAGAATATTTGATAGAGTCCTAACCTCAACATATGAGGAAAGGGATTTAGGGGTGATTATTTCTGATGACTTAAAGGTAGGCAGACAATGTAATAGAGCAGCAGGAAATGCTAGCAGAATGCTTGGGTGTATAGGGAGAGGTATTAGCAGTAGAAAGAGGGAAGTGCTCATGCCATTGTACAGAACACTGGTGAGACCTCACTTGGAGTATTGAATGCATCTTAAATTAGAGGGGCAAAGGTTTAAAAATAATATCAGGAAGTGTTACTTTACTGAGAGGGTAGTGGATGCATGGAATAGCCTTCCAGCTGAAGTGGTAGAGGTTAACACAGTAAAGGAGTTTAAGCATGCGTGGGATAGGCATAAGGCTATCCTAACTATAAGATAAGGCCAGGGATTAATGAAAGTATTTAGAAAATTGGGCAGACTAGATGGACCGAATGGTTCTTATCTGCCGTCATATTCTGTTTCTATCAAACCCTGAATGAGAAAGGTGCGCTTGTGTGTAATTTCCAAATGCCAGTTTCTGTCTGCAATGCGTCCTCCATGATGTTTAAATTAAAGAGGGGGAAGGTGGGACGACAATAATTTGGAGTTGAGAATGGCAAAAAGAAGTGAAATATTGTACCAGACCCTTTTTCAAATACTCACTTTATGGGGGAATCCATTTAATAGAATTTGCATAATTATTTTGTATTTGTGACTGTTTACATTGAAATGCTATCAGTTAAAGAATTTAATACCCAAGTTGTGACTATAGAAGAGATGGAGAATTTTACCATATCAGCTGTTTGTTTGTTTTTTTTTCTAAATTTTGCAATTCCATTTTTAATTAACTGCGGTTTGGTATTTAGGAAATAAACCCAGTTTGTCTGCAGCTCTGCCTTAAACAGTAGCAATTTTACGGTTCTGCTTCCTGTTGCAAGCAGTGTTAACAGTTACTGTTTGTATTGCAAAAGTTGAGCGAAATTGGTGTTTCATGACTGAGTGTTTTTTAAGTAGTCCCCAACCATCATGTGTTGCTCAATAAACTACAAGTAGCAGAGCAGCAGGAGTGAGTCAGCGGTAGTTACCCTGTGTGGGATTAGCAGTAAGGTGCTCAGGACTCTCTCTCTACTTTATAGAAATTATCTGAGTGACAATTAAAGGAGTGATGGAGAAAAGAAGCACAGGGACCCAACCGGCCCCCGGTCCGTCCTCTACTAGAGTCATTACTGTGGTGTTCTTGGCTCTGCTCATAGACCTTCTGGGCTTCACACTGATCCTGCCGCTCTTTCCCACCATATTGGATCACTACAGCAAGTCAGATGTAAGTATGGACATTACTGTGCCAAGTTGTACGTGTCTTGATTGTGCTCAGAAATTGTTAATGTTATCCGTGAGCAGCAAGGAGCAACCTGTGTGCTGGTCAACCAAGGGTTAAATGTCAGAGCCTGCAAAGAGGCAAGCCATCCTTACTGAGATAGAATGTCAAGTATCGTAGTAAGAGACGGGATTCTATTTGTTGCCCCTTCTATCGCGCTCAGAGGGTCTGTGGCTGAAAGCATAATGGGAATGGTAGTCTGCAACAGCTGCAGTGCCAGCTGACAATAGTTGTATTTTTGTACATACAAGAGTGCCAAAAATGAATTAAAATTGTCATGTGTTTCCATGGAAACTTAGCGTTTGTATCTAGCAGTTGTGCCTGACAGCCCCTTGGCTTGTCCATAACAAAAAATGGCTATAAGTGGCAGCCAGGGATTGCGGTATTCCCATTAATGATTAGTTATTTAATGTAAGATAAAGTCCTTCTGCTTTTTGATCAATCAGGCACATTAGCCTTCAATGTGTGCCTGTTGGATTACGATCCTCGTTATTCTGAGCCAGCTGAGGACAATTAAAATGGTTGTTCAGTGCCATCTCCATGGGCTGACATGTTCTGGCTTGGTAGAAAGCTGTAGGTGATAAAATTGAAATAATAATTGTGTTTTCTGTACAATTTAGGATAATCTTTACCAGAAGTTACAGAACGCTGTGGACTGGTTCGCGTCATCTGTTGGGGTTCCCCAAGAAAGAAAATACAACAGTGTCTTGTTTGGAGGTATGTTGGATGATAACAAGAATAGACTATTATTCTTTTTAAATCTCTGTAATTTGCCTGTTAATCTGTCATTCCTTTCCTAACTAATGGCTACACAGACTATGTTGGTGCTCTGTAAAGATCTCACAGAGCCCTAGGCAGGTTACCAGTTTGTCCCCCTCCCCCTTCATTTGTCATTGGGATGGTTAATGAGGCAAAGCAAATTCATGTTTCCGGGCCCATGCCTAATCCCTGGGCCCTAGGCGGCTGCTTAGGGTCAGTTTATGGTTTATCCTGCTCTGTTTGTAAATAATAATCTCTTTGCACACTGTTTGACGCTTGCAGTGTTCATTGCAGAATGCACAATTTGTATCCAATATTGCTAAGATTGATTGATCCAAGAAGCCGTATCATTGGTGGATGGAGCTACATAAGTGATAAGCACAGTGACGTTCTTACTGCTGTATAGAAATTCGGAATTCTCGAGAAATACATTTTTATATTAATTAATTTGTGAATTATCTGAGATTGAAAGTGGAAGCACAGCTGGCTTGTTTCCAGTCCACCTTTTGTTATGTATTATTATTATTATTATTATTGCCATTTATATAGCGCCAACAGATTCTGTAGCGCTTTACAATATTATGAGAGGAGGGATTTAACTATAAATAGGACAATTTCAAATAAACTTACAGGAACAATAGTGTACAATGTGAAGTTCACTATAAATTTCTGATCTGTATACGCTGGTGAATAACCACGGGCACTCTTTGGGTATGCCTACATTGTCGCAGACTTGTACTGTTCTCAGTCTGACTAACTGCATCATGGGAGTTGTAGTACAAGGGAGGCCCGGTGCCAGGTATTTTTTGTATTTTTATTCTCTGTGTATTGTTTTCATTTTATTGTGTTTGCTTAAGGATCAGAGCTGGGCAAACCCTTTGTTAATATAAATGATCTGACATGTCATCTGTCCCGAAGGGGTTAAGGAGGAGGAAGAAGGAAATAGCATGTGATTTCACATAATTAAGGATCGTTTACATAAGAACAAGTAATGTGACAATCTGTGAAACACATTGCTGTAGCTTCTGCTCCTTTGCATATTAGTTTCCTTGTGTTAGTAAGTTAGCTCTTTTTTTAGAATATGTAAAGAAAAAACAATATGCACAACCAGTTCACAATATACATAAAGATATATTGTGAGTTTAGTCCAAAGCATTATAAGAGGGGTCTAATCGCTGAACACTGACATGACTGTCACTAAAGTAAGAATTATTGTCAATCCCAAGTTAAAACTGCTTTGGATTCCTATGCAGTCACAATAATTCTCACATTAGTGAATAACTAAGTTGTGATGAGTTGCGAACCAACGTACAAAGTCTATCCTGCGATAACTGGCTTGGGAAGAAAAACACAATTTGGCACAACTATTATAAATTATTATTATTTTTTTTTTCTCTAATTCTTCTATTTTAACCCTGTCATAACTACATCTGCTTACTGTTTAGTGAATACATCCCAGAGAGTAAGCATCCACAAAAAGACATGTACCTCACTTATCCAGCATTCTGAAAGAGAAGAAAATTAGAGTAAACGTCTTTATTTTTCTTGTGAAAATTGCATTAGTGTGTGTGTGCCCAGCTATGAATAGTATCCTGCCACTTAATCATAAACAAAGCAAATCAATGTCACACTTTGGACATGTGACAAACAGCGAGCCCATCTGGAGGATGGATCCTAACTATATAACTCAATAGAAATTATCTGAAAGAACTGAATTTCAGTAATCGTCCCGGCAATGTTAAAGGCAATAACATTATAAATATGAGCAACATTTGTTATATTTCTCTGACTTAAAGGTACAATCTAAGCACCGAAGCAACTTTAGCTTAATAAAGCCATTTTGGTGTATAGATCATACCCCTGCAGTCTCACTGCTTAATTGTCTTCCATTTAGGAGGTAAATCACTTTTTTGTATTTCCAGCCCTTGCCACACCTCTCTGCATGTGGCCTACACACTTCCCATACAATTTCTAAACTTCCTTTACTACACATTGTGTAGATTTTCTAAACACCTACTCGTTTTAATTTTTTTTGCAGTAGCCTCATCTGTGACTAAAGTTCAGTTAACAGAGAAGGAGATAAAAACTTTGAAAGTAAACACACTGTGCTGTAATCTCTAAATAAAAATTAAACCATTGTTTTTCATGAAGCTCTGTGAGCCACGGTCTGGGGAGGTATAGCTAGGGCTGCATAAACAAAATGATTAAACTCCAAAAAAAGGAAAGAATAGAGCAGTGAGACTGTAGGGGCATGAACTGTACATCAAAGCTACCGCTGGGGTCTGTACTTTTTACGTCCTCAGTCTTGTCTCTAGTGGTCCCTCAGTTGCATTTCTCTTATTCGATGCTTCTGAATAGTGACATGTGCTCTGTTCTTGATTATCACTACTGAATGTCTGGCTCTGTACTTCTGTCAATACCTTGTTATGAACGCTATACAAAGACTGTAAATGATCGCATCCACTGTTATTTTTCAGGTCTTATTGGCTCCCTCTTCTCCCTCCTGCAGTTTATCTGCTCGCCACTGACAGGTGCTGTGTCTGATTACATGGGAAGAAGGAAAGCTCTGCTCATAACCGCGGTACGTTTTTATCTTTTCCTTTAATTTTATGAATTCTATTTATTAGTATACGTTTTGTATGAATGAAGCATATTTGCATTGAAATATCATAGCACTGATTCCCAATATAGATTTTCTGTTTCCCACCTGTATAAACACATACCTGTACGAGGTGCAGGTGACATTATCAGAAAGGGCATAAATCATTTTGTCGGGTTTTTTTGTATAACCATATATTTATTTTTATCCTCCAACGATTTTTCACCATCCAGTGCACACATAACGTGGAAAGACTCACATCTAAGATTAATACCACAAGCCAAACTGCTCACGACACCTGACAAAACCCCCTGACTCTGTACATTGGCATGGTTAGACATTGCGCAGATCTGTGGTCAGTATTCTTATCTGTGGACAAGAAACCTTTTACTCTGCTACAGTTAGGGCCTTTGCAATGTTATTGTGCACTTACCTATATGTTTAGTATTCTCTCCACATCCATTTAACTACACCCAATCATGGTAGTACACAAACCTGCACTTACCCTGGCACCAGCCGAAACCACTTCAACTATACGACTTGTTACAAATCCTGCACAGATTAAGTGCAGCCTGCGGTTCTAATCTTGTTTTTCCTGAGATTAGTGGGAGTTACACTTTTAAACAGCACCTGTCTTTATTTTTATAACTGTAGCTGAAATAGCAGTCTCTGAGGACTGTAACTCCCATTAATCTCAGGCATCGCTGAAAGCTATCTTAGGGAGGGAAATTTTTCCCCTAGGTTATATAAATCTAAATTTGCCACGGCCGGGTCAGGCAGTGTTCTGTTACGTACTCATGGCGGAAGTGAAACTTTGGTTACAGATTTAGAAATCTTTTTCAAGAATGTAATAAAGTCAGTTATCTCAGGAATGCAGGGAGGAACAGAGGGAAACGTATTGCTGATTTCTTCACCCGTTACACCATTGTGGGAAAAGGAAATCATGATGGTTTCTGCATTAAACTTTCACAGTCTTTAATCTACCTGAACCCTGTGTCGACTGTATCCCCTATCCACGTATATTGGTACATTTTCTGTTACCCTTCTAGTGGAAAAAGTGGCAGATTGCAAGGTGTTTAAAGTTAGTCAGCTGGATGTGAATAAGGCTTGAAATACATTTTCTGCCTTTTATTAATATACTAATACTTTCCTAAAGGTCTTGCATTCACTTGTGCTTTTTCTTGAATAACCATGTCAGATTTTGTTCTTTATTTTTTTTGCATCTTTGTAAACACATTGCTCCCTAGGAACACCTCCAGTGGCTACTCCTCAGATGGCCACTGGAGGTGCTTCCTGTGACATTGGTGCACAGTGTGCTGCACTGACATTCTCTGCATGGAGACGCTGAACTTTCCACATAGAGATACATTGATTCATTGCATCTCTACGAGGAAGTGCTGATTGGCCAAGCCGATGTTAGGCCCTGACCCCGTCCCGCCTCCTTGCCGATTTCAACCAATCCAAAGCTTTCCCTATGGGAAAGAATTGGATTGGCCGAAATCATTTAATTCTGATGTCAGCAAGGGGCTAGGGTGGGGCCAGCGCCGGCGACACGGGCAGCACTGGAAATAAGGTAAGCTTTATTATGTTAAGGGGGGGGGAGGGGGCAAGCCACCTAAATGGTGGATTTAACGCTATAGGGTCAGGAATATGTGTTTGTGTTCCTGACCCTATAGTGTTCCTTTAACCTGCACCCATTTAAGTTCCCTGTCAATTATTGTTATAAGCTCTGTCCTTCGCTCCTGTCAATCAGCATAGAACGAGCACCGAAAGAGGAGCAGAAACAAAGCATGTTTGATTCTCCCCCTCATTTGCAATGTGTGCCCTGACTGTGCCTGGCCTGATCTGGTTTTTGGTGTCGTTTGCTACATTTTAAATTTACGATGTAAAAAAAGAAAACCTAGCTTCCCATGGGGGGAAAATGGTCAACCCAAGTTACCAGTGATGTTCAATGTTTTATTTGATTGTGTAATTTCCAGAGAAGTGACTGTTTCCTATATAATATCATGTCTAGATATCCCTTGTATATTGAACAAATATGTGTTTGTGAAGTTGGGAAATAAAATGAATGTAGACATCCACACCGCTGTACTTGCCTTTTATCCTGAAATGGCGTACCTCCATCTTGGCTAACTACTGTCAGTCTTTGTTATTCTGTCTTTCTCTGTTGTGTGTTTTTTGTTTTGTTTTAACCTGTCAGTCAGCATAGAAACCTCCAACAAATACATGCCTGCAGGAAGAGATAATGGGCAGTAATTTCCACAGAAGTGACAGGTCCACAGTTTACCAATTTGTACCAAAACTCTGCAGAATATTTGTTTACTATTACATTTAATATTGAGAATCCCATATCCATGTGTAGAAATTGTGACGTCATGAATCCACATATTTCTACCTGTTTTACAGGTGGGGCTGATTGCATCCTACGCGTTATGGGCAATCTCAAGAAGTTTTGGGGTCTTCCTTTTGTCTCGTGTGGTTGGAGGACTAAGCAAAGGAAATGTCAGCCTGTGTACTGCCATTATTGCTGATCTTCCCTCCTTGCACAGCCGTAGCAAAGGAATGGTAAGTTGCACAATCAGTTATAGGAAGATGCCATATGGGGGAAGTGAGAGGAAATAGCACAATGTACCAGTTGGTTCAGTAAAAATGCAAACTCAGCCATATCTTATGATGTAATGTAATTTAACCACCTCGTTGTATGTGTGTGTACAGTGCTATGGAAGGAGTGCTTGGGGACATGGGTGTTCTTTTAGAATTTCCAAGCAGTTTCCAATGTATCGTAGTGACACTGCCCACAAATAAATGTGCTACTGCAGAGGTACGTGTGGTTTTGTTTTTTGTTTTTTATACTCTTCTCTGCTGTAGTCCTCACCCTAGTAAATACCCGTATATACTCGAGTATAAGTCGACCCTAATATAAGCCGAGGCCCCTAATTTTACCCCCAAAAACTGGAAAAACTTATTGACTCGAGTATAAGCCTAGGGTGGGAAATGCAGCAGCTACCGGTAAATTTCTAAATAAAATTAGATCCCAATAAAATTATATTAATTGAATATTTATTTACAGTGTGTGTATATAATGAAGGCAGCATGTGTGTGTGTGTATTTGTGTAGTGTGTATATAATGAATACAGTGTGTGTTTGTGTTGTGTGTGTATATAATGAATGCAGAGTGTGTGTATATAATGAGGTGTGTGTGTGTGTGTGTGTGTGTGTATATATGATGCAGAGTGTGTGTATATGATGCAGAGTGTATGTGTGTGTATGTTTGTGCAGTGTGTGTAAACTGGGTGGGGGGAGGGCATTTTTATTTTAATATTGTTAATATTTTATTATATATAATAATTATTATTTTTTTAATATATTTTTTTTGTCCCCCCCTCCCTGCTTGACACCTGGCCAGGGAGGGGGGCTATATTATTCCCTGGTGGTCCAGTGGCATGGGCTGTGCAGGAGGGAGGCTGGGCATCCTAAGAGTGAGAGTCCACAGAAACTAGAATATGGAGGTGTGCTACTGAACTAGTATTCCACACAGCATGACCTCTTTAAATACAGCCAGAATAGCTCGGACAACTATTGCCGATTGCTGAGTTAATCTGCTATAAATAATATTACTAAACTAATTAATACTACTAGTTGTATTTAGTTTGAGTGAAGATAAAACACACTGTGAGCTGGAAGTGGCAGGAGGGGGGCTGGGAGCAAGCTGTTACATACCTTTGCAGCTGCTCCTTTCAGCTCCCTTCTCCTACATTCTGGTCAGGTCACTGTGTAAATCTCGCTGTCTGCGTGCCGCACGGAGCGTTGCCATGGTAACCCGTGGCAACGCTCTGACTGCCGCGGGTCTCGCAAGATTTACACAGTGAGCTGACTGGAACGGAGGAAAAGGGAGCTGAAAGGAGCGACTGCAAATGTATGTAACAGCTTGCTCCCGGTCCCCAACAGGACTGCCGGGCTTGTATTGAGCCCGGCGGTCCTGGTCTGTATTATGGCAATGTAAGTTGCCATAATACAGACAGTGACTAGAGTATAAGCCGAGGGGGACTTTTTAAGCACAAAAAATGTGCCGAAAAACTCTGCTTATACTCGAGTATATACGGTACTTCAATACGATTAAACAAGAAGAAGAAATGAGGAACTGTCAACATCAGAGAAGTTACAAGACCTACAAAAAAGGACCCCAGCACATGAAACAGACTTTGGCTCCGCAACCATTCCATGCAAAATCCAAAAAGGAAATATTTTTAGCACACATCAATAGATAAACAGGACTCTACATTTATTGAGGCCCTTTCAGTAAGCTGGCCATTTCGACCTAACAATAGGTCTTTTTCAAGAAAACTCAGGGAAATACAATTTCCCTGGATTCATTATATTATGCAAACTTATTCCTTACATGTCAAAAATAACTAATTGTACACCTCGTACGTCCACACCTACATCTTAGCTCCTTGTCAATCATTGTTATAAGCTCGGTCCTTTGTAACGGACAGAGAAAACGTGCAGAGAAGACGAGGAACGAAACAAGCTTTATACTTCTCTTTCTCATTTGCACTGAGTGCCTTGGCAGTACCTTGTCTGAACTGCGATGTTATTTACTAAATATTTAATGTACATTTGAAAGAAATGTCACACAAACAAAGTTAACCCAAATGACAGGTGAATTTTCAGTCTATGGTGTCATTCTTAGTGTGGTGACTTTTTTTTATATTAAGATTTTTCTTATATTCCGTATGTTGTGGGATTTTCAGACATTCAGTTCAATATAGAGAATAGAGTCAGCGCTAATATATTGGAGAGAGATACAAGAGGCAGCAATCCCAAACAAGGACTCCCTCAAGTGACCTTGGGATAAATACAAAAAACAATCAAATAGAAGGATGGGACTGCGCCAATAGACGGAAATGAAAAGTCCTTATTAAAATATGGAAATAAAGTCCAAATGTAATAAAAAACTTGGTATTATGTTCGTCTCTGTAGTTTTGTTCCTTCCTGGTATATGAAGGAGGGTGATGAATGATGAGGTGGTGTGGAGTGATCCAACGGGTATCCAAATGAAAAAGAAGAGGTAATACTCACTTTTAGTAGAGCTTAATCCAGCTCTGGTGTGGATGGCTTGCAGCGGTATTATCCCCGCTTATAGGATATATGGTGAGCTTCCTCTTCAGTATGATGACCGGCAACCAGGTAGAAGATGAAACGAAAAAGCAATAATAGTGCAATATGTCCCAAAAAGTAGATAAAAGGTATAAAAATATAAAAGATACACTCACATTTAATAGAGCTTATACTAGCTCTAGTGTAGTAGGCATGCAACGGTATGATCCCCCGTATCTGGGATATGCGGTGAGCGTTCGTTGGTACAGTTCTTTAGGGTGGTAGCAGGAGCTCAGGAAGAAGATAATAAAACAGCAATAGTGCTCTCAGTAAAATAATGCTGATTAATAAAATAAAATAAAATATACTCACAGTATATAGGGCAGACTAACTGCTCTATGGTATAGGCGCGGGTGGTATGATCCCCACCTCAGGATGTGTTGAAGTATTGACGACAATAAATAAAAAAGCCAGGTATTTTAAAATAAAAAATAAAAATAAATAAAAGATAGTGGTACAAGAGAATAAAGTGACCAAAATCTATTTATTGACAATAATTTAAAAAATATATTAGTATAATATCCATTATATTCAATATCCAATATGGATATTATACTAATATATTTTTTAAATTATTGTCAATAAATAGATTTTGGTCACTTTATTCTCTTGTACCACTATCTTTTATTTATTTTTATTTTTTATTTTAAAATACCTGGCTTTTTTATTTATTGTCGTCAATACTCAAATACATCCTGAGGTGGGGATCATACCACCCGCGCCTATACCATAGAGCAGTTAGTCTGCCCTATATACTGTGAGTATATTTTATTTTATTTTATTAATCAGCATTATTTTACTGAGAGCACTATTGCTGTTTTATTATCTTCTTCCTGAGCTCCTGCTACCACCCTAAAGAACTGTACCAACGAATGCTCACCGCATATCCCAGATACGGGGGATCATACCGTTGCACGCCTACTACACTAGAGCTAGTATAAGCTCTATTAAATGTGAGTGTATCTTTTATATTTTTTATACCTTTTATCTACTTTTTGGGACATATTGCACTATTATTGCTTTTTCGTTTCATCTTCTACCTGGTTGCCGGTCATCATACTGAAGAGGAAGCTCACCATATATCCTATAAGCGGGGATAATACCGCTGCAAGCCATCCACACCAGAGCTGGATTAAGCTCTACTAAAAGTGAGTATTACCTCTTCTTTTTCATTTGGATACCCGTTGGATCACTCCACACCACCTCATCATTCATCACCCTCCTTCATATACCAGGAAGGAACAAAACTACAGAGACGAACATAATACCAAGTTTTTTATTACATTTGGACTTTATTTCCATATTTTAATAAGGACTTTTCATTTCCGTCTATTGGCGCAGTCCCATCCTTCTATTTGATTGTATTCAGTTCAATATGGTTACAAGGCAAGGATACACCTTTTAACATGTGCAAAACAAATAACACATTAATCACATTAATTACTGGCATGGAGGTACAGAAAGGATTTAAAATATTTATTATTTTTCTTTCTTTATTGAGAGGTGAAGAATATCACAATGAGAGAATGCGTAATACAAACGTCTATGTAATATAAACAGAATTGAAAACAGCTAGACATACAACAGACGGTCCAGTATGTAAAACAATGCTGTTGAACCTTTTGAGGCTTTTTTTTCTTCCATTGAACATGTTTGTGTTATGTCGAGTTTAATCAGTCAAGTTCAGCCATCTTTTAACTGTTTACATAGAAATGAACGAGTGATTAAAGCTTGAATATTTATGAATGTCGTGTTTAGTGGATTTCATTCCCCTTAAAAATAATGTTGCTTATTATCTAACAATGAATATATTTGCTTTAGGCAATGATTGGAGTAGCTTTCTCGTTGGGATTCACAGTAGGCCCCATGGTCGGAGCTTACTTTGCAATGAATGCTGCTACAGGAGAGCTTTTTTATGTCCGGCCGGCCATTCTCGCCCTACTTCTTTCGGTTGCCGATTTGATATTCATCTTTTTGCTTCTTCCTGAGACCCTTCGCAAGGAGAACCGGGTAAATTATTCTCTTTAAACATGATTGTAACTAGGCCAGGCCGCTGTTCAGATTTTCAGACACTCCGTAGAAAGTACTAGTGACATAAAATTGATTGTGTGTCACTGAAACAATTGGATCTTTGTATATATTACTGTGGTGACTTTTGTTATACATTTAGAACGTAGAAAATTTTCTATTATTGGCTACCAGAACATTAAATTATTAAATAAGCTTCTTTGTGGCTCCCCAACACAGGGGAAACTGCTAGCATTATACAGAAAGTCCAAGTTTATTTTATACAATAAGTAAATAGGTGAGGGCACACTCCAAACAACACTTATAATTACCCTTAGTTGAAAGATATACTCCGTATTTAATTAATTCCTGTATAAAATATGTAAGAACAGGAAGAAAACACACAAAGGGTAATAACGTAAAAAACCTTAAAATTTATAAGACAAATAAGGTTTCACTCACATGGTCATGAGCCACTTAAAATAAGCTGGCTCAGACTAAAAGCGTAGAAAATATCCGTTTGTGGTACTTCACACACCAGGCTGTTTCCCCTTTGTGGTCTCTATTTATAATTAAAATATTCCAGGATGCATGGAATAAAATAAAACTTTATTGGACACACTATCATAAGGGGTAAAAACAAAACACTGGGTAAAATAAATTAAAAGTCCACTAAATAAAAACAAACTTAACGCGTTTCGGCTAGAGCCTTTATCAAAAGTCTGTTTTCCTCAGTATGCTTCAGTCTTTAAATATTCGTTTTGGCGCCCTTTTTTTGGCGCCTTTTTGCACGTTTTTGTGTCCTCCTTTGATCTTCTTCCGGGTCTGGATGGCATCCTACACCTTAGTCCTTCACTTCCGGTTCGTGTTCTGACGCAACTTCCGGTTTCAGCGGCATGACGGAACTTCCGGTGACATCACTTCCGGTTTTCGATCTTCCGGTTTCGGAAGAAATTGCCAATACTTGTAATGTCTTTTTTTCAACAAATTATTGGCAAAAACAAACTCTTAACTCCATTAAGAACACATTTACAATACTTTACATATAAAATAAAAAGAAAAACTATCTTTGTACTCATCATTTATAGCGATATTAGACCATTAAAAATATAAACCATTAATATAATTTTTATAATTTTTCTTCTTGAAGAGGGGGAGAGAAAAAGATATATAAATTAATTTATATACAGGTACAAATTATTGGAAGAAAGAGAGATATTCAAAACTATGAGATCAACCCTATATAATCGAGAAAGGAGTTAAAAAATTCTCCTATATTTGATAAAGGCTCTAGCCGAAACGCGTTAAGTTTGTTTTTATTTAGTGGTTTGATAAAGGCTCTAGCCGAAACGCGTTAAGTTTGTTTTTATTTAGTGGACTTTTAATTTATTTTACCCAGTGTTTTTACCCCTTATGATAGTGTGTCCAATAAAGTTTTATTTTATTCCATGCATCCTGGAATATTTTAATTACAAATAGAGACCACAAAGGGGAAACAGCCTGGTGTGTGAAGTACCACAAACGGATATTTTCTACGCTTTTAGTCTGAGCCAGCTTATTTTAAGTGGCTCATGACCATGTGAGTGAAACCTTATTTGTCTTATACATTTTAAGGTTTTTTACGTTATTACCCTATGTGTGTTTTTTTCCTGTTCTTACATATTTTATACAGGAATTAATTAAATACGGAGTATATCTTTCAACTAAGGGTAATTATAAGTGTTGTTTGGAGTGTGCCCTCACCTATTTACTTATTGTATACTGTTTATTTGTATGTGTTTTGAGTGACACACATATGGTGATAGGAGCACCTCTCTTTGTTCTGGATATTTTATTATTTTAGCCTTACACTTTTATTCACTCAAGTTTATTTTATGTATGTATAATGCTGATAAACTTGTATCAATACACTGAACCCACATACACCAAGTGTTGGGAGTGCAAAGTAATAAAATAGCAACATTCTTGTAGCTTAAACGGGAGAGAATAATTTTGCAGCTGTAATTCTCTCCCTATTTTAATAAAGTTTTATATTTTGAAGTAAATTAACTAGACGAGTATATCAGCTGATGACTGAACAGCAGAGATCTCACTTGGTCTGGTTACAGAAGGAGGGTGTGTTGGGTAATTCCTCTACCCACATGTTGAATGTTACACTATGAGCTGATCTCACATCGAAAAATTTAAAAGGGGAGAATCCCTGTTTAATTTCTCCACCCATAAACCTTACCACTCCGTTTGGGTTTTGCTGATTTCATAATTAAATTACAAAGCCGTAAACTATATAAATATTATAAGTTGCCACCTTCAATAGAACTCCGGCGCGGCATCCTGGGAGAAGTGATATGACGTCACATATTTCTATTCTGGCTGCGGGAATACAAAGTGATCTGTCAGTCTGGTCTGGTACGGGGGACCTCTGTGTTCCTGATTTTCAGTGTGATCCAATTGAGAGACTGGATAGCATTGCTTTACACTGTCCAGATGGAGCCCTTTACCAGATTAATGCCTGACCCCTATCTGTTGGCCCTGTCAGACTGTATATGTCTTTTTATATTTGTGCCTATCTTTCTGTGTCACTTTCTGTATGTCTGTATTTCTCTATATTAACATGTCTGTCTGTTGTTGTGTCTTTTGTACATCTGTGTCTATGTATGTGTTTTGCTGTTTTTTCTATACCTTTGATTATTTATCTAATTTTGAGCAATAACGGTTATTTTGGGGATCTGTGTCTCCAGAAATAGGGCACTTGAGAAAACTGGGGATATAGATACAGGGGTCTGATATTATGACTGTCTTTGGACAAATGTTATGTATTTTGTTTTCTTATGTAAACATAAATGTTTTCCATAAATAAAACGATCCTAGGGGAATGTAATCCGTCTCCTAAATACCACGTTTCTTAAGTGAGTCTCTTATAAAAGAAGCATTCCATACACACATAATAATGTTTATAGAAATGATTCATTGTATGTTTCGTTCTCCTTCGCCCCCTTTCATAGATGATGTTACTTGATCATATCTTTAAATCCAGCTGAGCCTGTCTATTGTATTGTGTTCATTAATCAGAATACCGAGTACGTGTTATGCACTGGGAATTTGGGGGTGGGGGGGAAGCTCTTGCGTTTTTTGTAAAGACATGTAGAAAGTCTGTGCCTGATTTATCTGCATGTTATAATTGTTTTAGAATGGTTTTGTGGGACACTCCCTGCAAATGGAATGTCAGTCATGAGATCAATGTTGGGTTTGTGGATCTAAATAATAACCCTCCCCCTACTCGTGTTTTCCACAGGTTATTCTACTTCTGATTTAAACGGGTTTATAGAAAAACATAAAATGTATCTTCTGCATTACTGTATACCACTGGATGGAAGCTTATTTATGGTTATTCACTACAGCAGATATTTACCAACAATATTGGAACGTAAGTGGGCTTCCATGCAGCAGTGTCCCCATTCAATGTGCTGCAAGTTGGGGAGGTATATATGTATAAACCTACCAAAGGAGTTATGATGAGACTTCGCACAGGTTGACAATCTTGCAAAAGTTATTAAACGTTTAATGCCTGACAATTCTCCTTTATATATCCTTCATTATTATCAGGGGACATGACACAGTAATATGGTCTATTGATATGTTTTGTTTAAATGTGTTGCGGTGGTCTCACCTTTCCATGTTTTGGTCCATTCTGTGTGCTCTCTTGTAGGTGTCGTCGGTGATTGAGGGAATTCAGGGAGCGTCGGACCTTGTCAGTCCCATGGCCTTGTTTAACTTCTCCGCTGTCACAAGAAGAAAGGACTCTCCTTCTACTGAAAGTATGTTTCGTCTTTGATAGCATTTGTGTAGTTGTTGTATGAAAAAGGAAGAAAACTATGTAACAATTTGTATTTAAGATCCTCTTTTCTATACAAACATGTCTTATTCAAATTGGAAACCCTTCTGGTTGAAAGCAATCCCTCCTGATCATCTGTGTAATATTGTATACTACCAAGCTTCAATGTATGATCTTTCTGTGGCTGGGTGGTAATTACAATAGTGATTCATCTAGTATTCCCTATGGAGACCAGGAAGTAACAGGATCAGCCATGGGGTGTAATCAGTATAATTTATAAAAGTGTCACTTTTTGCAAAATGAGAAAAGAGGACACACTCTTCACACATCAAACTTTTTCAGGAAGCTAAAGTGCTTCAGGGGTCTGGAGTGTCCCTTTAACATTTGTTTGTTTTTAGTGCAAGACAAAATGAAGTCTATAAAGCCTCACTTACACTCTTCTTTGCACCAACTAGTTTCTCTACGGTCTTGAAATCCCAGAAATACTTTCAGGTTTCCACAAGCAGGCAACTTTTGGCCAATTTTAGTTATCTAATTTAAATGTTATGCTTTTTGTTTTAACGACAATTAGATCTGCATGGCTTTAGATATACAATACAGAAGGATAGCAGATCAGATGTGTGATGTATACAGCATACTAAATACAGACTCTACAGCAATCTTATACACACAATAGATAACACACTAAATCTAAAATACTCATATTTCTAAATATTGGTCTGAGCCTGATTTGCAATAAATTTTGGCATTTGTATTCGGATGTGTGATTTGAATCTAAATCTGTACATTACCCCTTGGAAGAATATCATTCTTGTATAATACACAATACATTTTTTTTTTTTTTTTTTAATTCTTAATTTTTGTTGTGCATATTATAGGTAACAACCAACATGTCGCTCCGCTGCGGGGTTTGACCAGCATAAAGCATTAGCATGGTTAGAACAGTTATAACAGTAATTCTCTTGCACAGTTTTTTTAAATTGTTGAACGTGTGTGTTGTAGTGTATCAAGGATGGTTTGTAGAGGTGGCTGCGAGCGTGTAGTTTAGGACTGCGTGGTATTAGATCTAGATCAGTGTTAGGGATGTGTCGGTTCGGGCTGTTCAGTTTAGAGCTATCCTGTGATAGTGTGTAGTGTGGTTGTGGAGGGTGGGTGAACTGGCACCCCTTACCTAGAGGGTGGCGGGGGGAGAGCTGGCCGGTGTGGAGCTGAACACCTGCCATGTAGTGCCCATTTTCCAGGTGCTGTTAGTCGTGGGTTGGTGGATCCTCCATGGGGGACTCTCGTGTGTGTAGTATAACATATATTTAAACATATATTTAAATATTACTAGTTATGATCAACTTGTAACAGTTTCTGGCATTATACTTTGCAAGTGGGAATACAGTCTCTCAGGAGTTCAGGTCCCTGGGTGGGCGGCCGCACCGTCAGCCGGCACGAACGGGTCCACTCGGGAGGGCTTCCAGGTATGAGTGTTCGCCCGTCTGTCGTCGGTCCTTTCGTGGGGCAGTAGACCCAGTGCTGTGAGGAGAGTCGGGGCTTCTGACAGCGATGAGAGTTTGTGTACTGTCCCTTTGTGGTTTACTACTAGTAGCCTGGGGGATATCCAATGGTATTTAATGCCTGCTGATCTTAACTTGGTTGTGAGAGGTTGTAGGGATCTCCACCACTGCAGGGTGGACCTTGTGAGGTCCTGGTAGAAGGTGAGGTAAGCGCCTTCGAAGATGAGTGGCATCTTGTGAGTGTCGCACTATGGCGTCTTGTACTGCCGTCGCTGGGGCCCTGCTGGACTTAGGCAGGCGGTAGGTTCCTTCCAGAGTCACTTTTTTGGCCTGTGCGGCCGGCAAGATGGTGTCCACCAGTCGCCTCACATAGTGGGTGAGTTCTTCTGGGGTTACTGAATCCGGTATGCCCCTTATGTTAAGATGATTTCTCCTTGATCTGTCATTCAGTGTGGCTAGATGTATGGAGAGTGATTGTTGCATGGTTTGTAGGTGGTGGATGGTTTCTTGTGCAGTGTGCATACCTTGTTTGAGGTCGGCAATGTCACCCTCTGCTGTGTTCACTCTGTCATTGACTATCTGCATATCTGCCTTGATGGCTGCCACGTTAGCTGCCACGTTAGCTGCCAGTAGGTTTTTGATTTCTCCCACCAAGTTTTGGAAGTCCCTCTGAGTGACTGGAGTTGATCCGTCCCCTGCTGCCAGTGTGGTGGGCCCTGTGTGAGGCTGGAAGGGCTGTGTATGAGTCTCGGTCTGTGGGGGGTTCTCTGTTGTTCCCAGGCGGCGCCATTTTAGGAGGTGGCTGCCGCTGGAGCATATGTTCAATGTTCTGTGCCCCTGATGGTGTGTGTGTGGGGGAGATTTTTGGGATCTGCGTCCCATATCGGCGGTTGTTGTAGCCTGCTGTGCCGGCCCCTGCTCTCCAGATGTACCCGGTGTTGTGAAGGCGGCGAACAGAGCCGCCAAGCCCAGGCTTTGAGTAGCGTGGTAGGCCCCGGCCTTCCGCTTTTTCTTTGGCGCTTTGGCCGCTTGGAAAAACGGCATATGGTGTGTTGGGCTCGTGTCCTCGGTGCTTTCGGGTAAGTCGCTGTTTTGTGTGGGTATTTTGGAAGTATTTTTGGGGATTTTTATGCTCGTTTGCATCGGAGCTGATGCGACTTACGTTCGTTCAGGCGCAGGCTCCGCCCCCACACAATACATTTCTACTTGTATTATGGGTGTTACAATCTTAAAAACCCGAGTACCTTCTTTAGGGGAGCTTTTGAAAGGAGATTATATGCAGCATAACCACTAAAGCTTTGTTTAATGATTAGGACGCCTGAACCCCATTTTCTGTTAAAGCCATTTTGGAGGACAGTGACAGAAAATGGGTAACTTCCCATTATCCACAGGCAGGCCCCTCTGCAACTGCTCAGATAATGTGCAAATGAATCATCACATTATCTTTCCAGAATGGTCCTACCTTGGATGGCAATGATGGGGTGTGAGTTCTGATGATAAGTTAGCACCCAAAACCTCAAATCACCGTAACAGCTACAATGCACTGTAGGGATTATGTTACTTAGAGTTTCTATTTAAATCTATAACAAAGATAAAAAAAAAAAATCAAGTTGAAATAAAACCATCTTGACATTATAAAACATGTGTCTAGTATTTCCCTATTTGACTCAGTAAATGAATCTAGCTTTTCTGTAATAATATAGAATGCATTCACTAAACAATGAATGACCAGTGAATTGAAAAACAAATTACATAATCCAGGTAAAAAAAAAAAAAGCCAAACTGTATCAGTAGTGGAATTGGCGAATTATCCGACTCTGCTATTTCAGCCTAAAACTTGCAATTTGTTTTTCAATCCACCACAATTCAGTAGTTTGTGAATAAATGTGTGCTCTCTGTAGAAATTGCATTGCTGTTTATGTCTGCCAGAGGGCGCCAGAATCCTTAGACTTTCCCTGGGTGGAGAAAAAAATGCAATACGAATTCTACACTCTCTCCAACAACCCTGACTTTTATCTACAGGAATACAATGGGACAATTAACTGTTTGTTAAAGGAATGTTTGCAGCTTTTCAAGCTTGTAATCTGTAAAAAAAAAAAAAATAAAAAAAAAAAATTTAAATGTTAAAATGTTGCTAATTAAAATGAGGGTTTCTTGTACGTACAGCTCCATCCAGTCCGTTATATGTTTGGCGGCTCGACTATTGACTGTATCTTTATTTGTAGAACTTCAGAACCTGCGAGTTCTGGGTCTGGTTTACTTCCTGTACCTTTTCCTGTTTTCTGGTCTGGAGTACACCATAAGCTTCCTGACCCACCAGCGGTTCCAGTTTACCAGGTAAGGCCCGACTTGTTTATACGTGCCATCAACAGGAATTTGTAGTTTGTGGGGTTTTTTTCTTTCAATTATTCTTATTATTTATATGGCGATTATCATCATGGATTGAATCTGACTCTCAATCTGATAAATGACATGAATTCGTTGATAATCCATTAGTGCCTTATACAATTTTTAACAGTGATTCTGGCAATAAAGTCGTTTCTATTTTGCTTTAAGTGTAACTTTAAAGTTTTATTTTTTTATTTTTAATGAAATGTAATTCTGGCGAGTTGTGTATGACTTGGCTATGCAATAAATACCTACTATCACAATACCCAGGTTATCCTTCCTCTAATGCACCTAGCTGCTATTAATAAATTCACCAATTATTTCTGGTATGTTCGAAGCGTTGAAGATGTCTTGTAGCTGTTGTTTGACTGATTGGATTAGCACTTCTAAATGGCAGGTACAGTTATTTGCTGCTAATTCTCAAACAAGTCTTTTATGGAGAGCAGGCCTACTTATCCTGATAAGCATGGCAGCACCCTAGCTTGTCACTCTGTCTGACACTATCCCTGCTGACAGTCTGTGCGACACTGTGCTCTGATACCGAGCTGTCACAGTCAGCTGTGCTATTCCCATTCATAGCAGACTCCTGAATCAATAAAGGCTTCTTTTAGCCTCTTCATGGTTTAGGAACTTTGCCTTCAATCTTTGTTTTCCATGGCAGCATCTTTGGTGAGGAAAGAGTTTTTTTTCATAGCTGCCCAGTTTTGTTATCATTTTTTTTTTTTTGTCTGAATTTGACAAGCTTTCAGTTCTTTATAACCATAGCATACAGCATAGAATTTGTTTCTGTAATATGCCGTCCTGCACTTTTACATAGGGACTCCTGTACCATTTTTCTTTCTCTCTGTGAATGCAACAGCACTTAACGTGTGCACAGGTAATACCGTATTATAAAACAAATGCAGTTCTAGTTTACAATCCGCAAGAGCACAGTATATGATAGTTGGATGAGTTTTATAAATAATAATATTGTGCCAGAAGGCCATATGATGATAAATGGGGTATGCCCTTTAATTTCCTTTTAAGGGAAGGAGAGGAAGGGGCAGAGGAGATGAGATTAGGGCTGTATAAGCAAAGTGATTTAAAAATGACAGAGAATTGACCAGTTAGAACGCGTGGAAATAATCTGTACACCAAAACAAACCCCATTGGCTAAACGTGTTTTGGTGCTACTAGTGTCCATTTTTAGTTTCATCGTTTTTAAATAATAGTTATTTGGCACAGCGGATACAGTGGGTACTAAAATGGAGTTGGGTTAATGCTGTGCTGTGTTTGGGGCAAGTTGTGTTTATACATTTGCTCTGTTTGATACAGATTAAGGCAGGTGAAATCCATATCTTTATGTAATGAAGCTGAAATATGAGTGAAATGCTTACTGAATTCCAAATATGGCTGACATTTATTCACACGAGTGTCCCAAGATTTATAAATGTCCACACTAATTTGGGACAAATAAAAAAACAAAACAGTAATTTAATCACATTTGATGGACACTGATAAAGTAAAGCATTTTGACCGGCCAGTTCTGTACTTTACGTATATATGAGATGTTTTCTTAGGTGTAATGTCATCCGCAGTGTAAGCTGGGGGAAGGGTTCTGTAAAAGTTTTCTTGAGAAGTGAATACAAAGTGCTTTATTAATATTTAAAGGCCGGGCACCTTGACTTTATTGATTTCCTGTGTGTTCAATGGCCAGCTCTCCTTACTTATTAATATTACAATAAATGAGATTTGCGCTGTTTCTGTTTTTATTTTTTATTTCAATTGACTGTCAACTCTGTAGTTAAAAACTGAAAATGATTACTTTGCTGAGAATATTATAAATACTGTCATTTGCACACCACCATCTGGTGCTAGTTAACATTTAGATGGGATCAGCCCAAATCGAAGAGTAAACAGACCACTGACACTACAATTCGCTATGTAAATGGTCCCAGCTGTGAAACCTGCCCGCATCCTGACATTTCTCGTTTCTGTTGGCAGCATGCAGCAAGGAAAGATGTTTTTCTTCATCGGAATAACGATGGCGTTGATCCAAGGGGGGTATGCTCGAAGAATCAAACCAGGAAATGAAATCAAAGCTGTGAAAAGGGTACTTAAAGCATGTGTGTGTGAATGGACAGCATAGTGTAGGGTTCTAGTAATAACATAGTTACATAGCTGAAAAGAGACTTGCGTCCATCAAGTTCAGCCTTCCTCACATATGTTTTTGCTGTTGATCCAAAAGAAGGCAAAATACCTAGTCTGAAGCGCTTCCAATTTTGCAACAAACTAGGAAAAAAATTCATTCTTGACCCCAAAATAGCAGTCAGATGGCTCCTTGGATCAAGACCCCACCAATTAGAAATTATATCCCTGTATGTTATGTTTTTGCAAGTATTTATCCAATTTCAATTTAAACATCTGTATGGACTCTGACAAAACCAACTCTTCAGGTAGAGAATTCCATATCCTTATTGCTCTTACTATAAAAAAAAATTTCTTTGCCTTAGATGAAATCTCCTTTCTTCCAGCCTAAATGTGTGACCTCATGTCCTATGTATAGCCCTGTTTATGAATAGATTTCCAGATAAAGGTTTGCACTGGCCCCGAATATATTTGTATAATGTTATCATATCCCCTCTCAGGCGCAGTTTTTCCAAACTAAAGAGATTTAATTTTTTTTAACTTTTCTTCATAACTAAAATGCTCCATTCCTTTTATCAATTTTGTAGCTCATCTCTGCACTTTTTCTAGTGCCATGATATCTTTCTTTAGAACAGGTGCCCAAAATTGCACAGCATATCCAAGGTGTGGTCTTACCATCGATTTATAAAGAGGCAAAATTATATTTTCATCTCAAGAATTTATGCCCCTATTTATACATGACAAAACCTAACTGGCCTTAGCAACTGCAGATTGAGATTGCATATTACTGCCTAATTTGTTGTCCATAACAATTCCCAAATCCTTCTGGTGTGTGGTTATCCCTAGTTCACTACCATTTAGGGTGTAAGTTGCTTGTGCATTCTTAACCCCCAAGTGCATAACTTTGCATTTCTCTACATTAAATTTCATCTGCCATTTTAGTGCCCAGTCCCTCAATCTATCCAAATCCCTCTGCAGCAAGGCAATATCCTGCTCACATTTTATTACTTTACAAAGTGTTGTGTCATCTGCAAACACTGATACATGGCTTTCAATTCCCATTTCAAGATCATTTATAAATATGTTAAATAGAAGCGGTCCCAAAACAGAACCCTGAGGGACACCACTTACCACTTTTGTCCAGCTTTAAAATGTACCATTAATGACAACTCGTTGTACTCTATGCTTAAGCCAATGTTCTACCCTAGAACAAGAATATTCTTGGGTGTAGGGTTATAGTAATAACTACTCCAGGTGCATGTGTATGGTAATAACTACACCGGGGGGTGTTTGGTTCTAGTAATAACTACTCCCGGTGTAGGGTTCTAGTAATAACTACTTCGGCTGTATAGTAATAACTACTCCGGGTGTAGGGTTCTAGTAATAACCACTTCGGGTGTAGGGTTCTAGTCATAACTACTCCGGGTGTAGGGTTATAATAACTACTTTGGGTGTAAGGTTATAGTAATAACTACTCCGGGTGTAGGGTTCTAGTAATAACTACTCCGGGTGTATGGTTATATTAACTACTTCGGGTGTAGGGCTATAGTAATAAATACTCCGGGTGTAGGGTTCTAGTAATAACCACTTCGGGTGTAGGGTTCTAGTAATAACTACTCCGGGTGTAGGGCTATAGTAATAACTACTCCGGGTGTAGGTGTATAGTAATAACTACTTCGGCTGTATAGTAATAACTACTTTGTGTGTAGAGTTCAAGTAATAACTACTTTGGACGTAGGGTTATAGTAATAACTACTCTAGATGTATAGTAACTCCTCCAGTTTAGGGTTTCTAGTACAAAGCTATTGTATTTATTGTTTATTCACAGAATCGAAAGACAACTGGGAGTATTGAAAGTACCACATGTCAGTTTTAAAAAGATACCTCAAAAATATTTAGCAAATTTCTAGAATGATACAAAGTGCAGTACATGCATGGTGGTGGATTTCCTGCTAGCTGAGCTATTTGAGAGAGTTGTCTGAGCAAGTTGTATATTTAGAGGATAGCTTGGAATTGGCATCTCTGAATTAGTAACAGATATATCTGATATTTATTGCTAATATAACCTTGGTCTAGGTTTTGTTTTTATGTGGCATTCAATGAATTTTCGTACACACATTATACATTGATATCTTCTGCAGGCCATCATTCTCCTGATTCCAGCATTCATTCTGATAGGATGGTCAAACAACATGGGCGTCCTGGCCGCTGGACTCATACTTTACTCCCTCGGTAAGTTAGTCCTGTTGCAATGGAGGTGATATGGACTTTCAGACAGAGGGATTTATGGGAAATAGAGCAGAGTGTTGGACTAATGATTTAGATATCCATTGCAGTCTGGTTTAGACACCCTTGTTCTGGAACGAAAGTGTAATACAAAAAGAAACCACAGGATTCATTAAAATAATGTCTGTTAATGAGAACTACTAATCTGTGACTAACCAACTGCCCATTAGCTACAAGTCCCACTTTGTTTCGTTGCTGAGGGTACTGATGGTTTCATTCCAATAGTTTCTGGATTTATGCCAGCTTTGGCCCTATCCCACCGTTCTGCTTTATCAAATGAAGGGTTGGATCTGTCCATTTTTGCTGAGCGTTTTCGTTTGTATTATCTCTGCCTGGAAGAACTTTTTTGTAAATGCACGTTGACCTTCAGTAATTAATGTCTGCCTCCCTGATTTCTGGGCCCCGCTATTGTAGCAATTGTTTTGCTGACATAGTGACTAGTGTTTGGAACAGAGCCATCTCACGCCCTGCTAGGCGAATATGAAACACATGCTAAAAGCTGAATTCTCCGTTCTGTATTCTTGGTCTATATCACTTGAAATCCTTTTGTTTATTGTATTCAGTTGTTCAAATTGCGGATGCTCAGAGTGCATCATCAGACCGATGTATCAGTTCGAACCCTTATCAAAGTGGAATTGTAACTCACTCTGTGGGGGTTATGTAGGAGTAATATTGCTTTTATCAACACTGGAAACTTTATTCACTGAACAGCATTGAAAACCTATATCTAAATGTCATGCTAAATTAGCCAGTAGGTGCTTTAATTTTGCCCAGGCTTTCATTTCACTAGAATTGGTTGTTTAATGGATAAACCCATTTTTTGCATTTCTGTTTTTATAAAAGGGTCTAAACGTGGCTTACACCCAAGAACACTTGCAGCTTTTTATTCTCATTTTGCACCTTTCGTCCAGCGCATACAGCACCAGTCACAGGATGCTGGGAATTGTAGTGCAATGACGTAAGAAAGAAATTCTGCACGTTGACCCTTATTTTTTACCTATTGTGCGACAAATTAGAATATAGATTTTTATTTTAATGCAGCCGGCTCCCTTATTTTAGACTGCAAGGCAGATACTTGCTGGCTTGAAATGTGTCTTAGAAAATCAGTTTGTCCTTAATGGATGCAGCACTACTGAGATGGGACGCTTCCATCAAAAGATGTGACTTTTAGGAATTATTATTTCACTGTAAACCTTAGATCTTTGCTTTACACCTTTATAAGTTACTGTGAAATTGGGACATGTTCATTAAATGACACGTAAGCCGTGGTTAATAATGAAATTGTAGATTTGGCTTTATCGCATCTGCCAGTAGAATGGTTTCATGTTTTGAAGAGTAACATGTCATGTATTTTGTATTCCAGCTGCAGCTATTGTTGTGCCCTGTTTATCCTCCGTGGTGTCAACCTACGGTATGTATAACAAAGATACATTGAGTCTCCAATTGTGTTTTTATTTCTTTAAATCGTTTAGATATAAAACCAAAGTGTAAGTGCATGGGTTTTAAGGAAGCTTCTGTGGTGTCTGAAACCTGTGAATTATACCCCTGTTTGTCCATCATATGAGGACATGTTGCTCACTGCCTATAATAATGATAAATGATAACTATAAGGGATGATCACTTCATGCTTTCTGCTGGTGCCACCTTCCAGCAGTTATACAGTGTGCGCACCTACAAGCGAGGCTCTCCCTCTTTTCTTGTAACTTTCCTGTATTTGTTTCACATTAATTGCTATTTTTGGGTGGAGCGGTTGCATTCAGTCGCTAGACTGACCAGTGTGGGACTCCCCTGACCTGGAAAAGAGGATACTCTTTTGCCTTAGATACCAACACCACATCGCGGCAGCATAGAGCTCTCTATAGACCACCTTCAGCACCCCAGATGTTGTGGAATACACTACTTTCAGTGCTCGTATGGCCATAATGCTGGCAAAGCATCAGGGGCGATGTAGTCCACAACATCTGGAGTGCAAGGGTTACTCCAAGCATCAGAAGCAATACAGCCCGCTTTAGTGGTTATGTAGTGAGAAGTACACTGGCCCCGTTCCACATTAATGGGGCAAACGTATTAGAAACTACTTCTCTAACGGCCCTCTAACCTGGGACCCAACTGGCTTCTGCTCATCCTACTGCTCATTCATTGGTTGAGAGAGTCAGCTGGGCATGCTCAGCCAATAAATGACATGCACAGAATCTACATTGGCCAGCACAGAACTCTCGTTCTTGGTTGGGTAATGGCAAAGGGGCTTAACCCAGTATGTGCCGCGTTTCATAGCAAAACATGCATATACAGACTCAAAGCAACATGAACACTTCAAATCCCTAAAGTGGTCATGGTGCTTGCAGTAACCCTTTAACACTCTGTATAGTTGGATCTGAATGTACAAAGTGTTAGAACTGCAATAGGCCCTAATCTCAGCAGTAATGGGCTTTTGTCCTCTCCATTTTGTTCATAATGCAGAATTAATGCATAGATCGGTACAGTTTATTATGCTGGCATGACATTAGAGTGGAAAAGATAGTGCCCAGTGTTATGAGTACTACAGGTGATGCGGAGAAAACCATGCATCAATGAAAGACAATTAAATAATTTCTATATTGTTTATATGCAGATGTGTGTAATACATTTTCAGTGAATTGCAATTCTCCAATCTCTACAATGACAAGGAAGGTCATCAAATATGGCACACATATTAACACACTATCAATATCATGCCTTTAAGTGATTAACAAAAAAAAAAATCCTATTAGCATGCTGGAATGTTAAGAGACTTTGTTTTCCTGCACCGTCCTCTACATGTGACATTGAATACTGTAGGCACTAGAACAAATTCATCTTATTGAAGTGGATATAGTTCCTTAAAGGAACACTATAGCATTAGGAAAACACACGTGTTCTGAACGCTATAGTGATCTGGTCACTATTTAGGTTACACCCCCTCCTTTGTGAAGTGAAAAGGTACTCAACATTTCTCCCTCGCCCCGATCCTCTGAAGTGGTCTGGGTGCCTTTAGTGTCCCTTTAAGTAGGTGTCTTAGCCTCCAATAGTTTATATTGTAGGCTTGGACGCATTGGCTACAGTGTACACAAGTGGGGACCTAAATCTAACTATAGTATTAGAAATACAAATTTGTATTCCTAACCCTATCATGTCTTTTTAAGGTGTTCGATTTAAAGTAAATTAAAGATGGCCTGTTTTTGCAGTACTTCTCTGGACCTGCTTGATGTCTTTCCCTCCTATGTTCATGTCTTTAGTTTTTTTTACATTTTCTTTTATAGGGTCGGCTAGCCAGAAAGGGACCGTCATGGGTATTCTCCGAAGCCTGGGGGCTTTGGCTAGAGCTGTGGGACCTGTTTTATCAGCAACATGTGAGTACTGTCTAACTACAGGCTGAGCCTCCTTGCACCCACTTAACAGAAGCTCCATTTTTAACAGCAGAATGCTACTATAGAGGACTTATATCTGTTAGAATTTCTGGGCACCCACCAAAGATATTCAAAATTGATGGAAAAAGTGAAAAAAAAATGCACTTTCTCACCCTTGCTTTAAAAAATAATAATAAGAGAATTCTCAAACATGAAATGTCCTGCATGCACACTATCCTTACCTAAGCACCCCTTTAAATAAATAGCCCTCCCCATTATAACTGAACCTAAAAGTGAAACTTTGTGCTGCCTGGGTCCAAGGATGAAATGCTATGGACGAGCCACCATGCTTGAGTCTTACATAATAACTTAGGTTCTGAATCGAAGGAACAAGAATGTGCGAAATGTTTATGTATGTACATGTAATTTGTAATGGGCTCTAGAGATGAGTTTTTAGTCCAAGGAACTAGGACCACCCTACGCAGAGATACTGCAGTTTCTGTAAATATCTGTATAACCAAAATTTGTTGTGCGCCTTGGCATAAAGATGGCTGCCACGGTTCAACCAAGTTAAATTAAAAAAAAAAATTTTTTTAATTTTTAATTTTTTTACAAAATTGGGTTTTGCAATACCAATACATGAAGGTAATCATTTAATTAAAAAAAAAAAAAGGAAAATTAAAAAAGGTCAAGCAATTTATGCTGGACCACTTATGATGGCTTAATCAATATGCTCTAATGTGAACTTTTCATCTATCCCTTTTAAAGGGACACTGAGCACCAAACCAACTTTAGCTTAATGGTGTATGCCCCTGCAGTCCTACTACTTAATTCTATGCCTTTTAGGGGTTAAATCAATTTGTTTGTGTAGCCCCTGTCACAACCTCCCTCTCCACTTCCTGAACAAGAGGTTTTATGTAAAAAAATAAATTAAAACAATGTGAATTTTATTTTTAAGTCTCCTGCTCTGTGAATTGCCTGCTGGAGCCTCCAGCAGCCTCCTGTGTGTAATCAAAGTTCAATAAACAGAGTAGAGGATAGGAACTTCTAAAGTAAACACAATGTACTGTACAAATTAAAACCTTTTTCATTTTGTGGGGGCTGTATGAGTCACAGCCAGGGGTATATGTGACTACGTCTTCATAAACAATGTGATTTCATTGCTAGTAGGCATATTAAGGAGCAGTAAGGCTGCAGTGGAATGATCTATATGTGGAAACTGCTTAATTTTAATAAATAGATTAAAGCTAAAGATGTTTTGGTGCTTAGAGTATATGTTTAATACGAGCATGTACTGCATGAGATTACGTTTTTATGAGTACTACATTGCGGGATTCCCTGTCAGTTTGTTTTCTTGTCATTTGACTGGAACACAAACTGCGAAGGGTTTACAAAGCTGGCTGCAAATATCCAGCAATATAGCTCAATCTCTGAATCCTTGACCATTAGTGGCTGTTAAGAATTGATCTATTGGGTGCTGGGCTTCTGTTTACCGTTTACAGACATGGCCTGGTGATGGCTGCTTGACTTGCATGGTCACTGTAAAATAATCCTGATACTCAATCCTTATGTTACACATAAATAAACCTTTTCCTTTGTTAAATCTAGCCAATTTGTTTTACTTATGACAATTCAGCTGGAAGTAAGAAATAAACTCCTGTATGTCACAGGGTTCTCACTAGCGAGATTAAATCAGCAGTTGATAGTGGCTGGGCACATTACCTGGGTCAGTTTCTGGGTGGAGCTGTTTTACGGAAGGGGAGGACATACAGTGTTAGCAGTTACAGTGAATGGAACATAGTGCATTATTTTCCCAGCTACTCAGAGCTCACAGGTCCGATCTCATTGCCAGGTGCTCACAGCCTGATAAGTCTCCTATATAACACATTCTCCCTTCTCTCTTGCAGTGTACTGGCTCATCGGGGCCGAACTTTGCTTCAGCATTTGTGCAGTATGTTTCCTGATTCCAGTTTTCTGTCTTCGACGAGTGAAAGTACAACTTAAACAGGACACAAAATAACGAATAACAGAAGAGACTGTTACAACTGGCAAACGATGTGTGACGCTAAAAGGATCGGACGTGCATCTTGCTGGAATTATGGGGAAGATGTTCTCTGTGGGTGTTAAATGGTTTTTAATGAAGGACAATTTTTCTCTTTTAATATTGCTCACCCATCCATCCACAGTAACATTTTGTGATGTGTTTTCTCATAGTGATTTTAGCCCTAGCTGGTGCTATTTGGGTAACTCAGTATTATGAGTATTATCGTGCTTAACATTATGAGAAACATCGCTCCAGCCGCTCTAATCTCAACCCTCTAAACCACGGTTCTCCAGACTCTGGCCCTCCAGATGTTTCTGAACTACAACTCGTATGATTATCTGGCTATCTCATTTAAAGAATAGTGGGAGTTGTACTTCAGCAACATCTGAAGGGCCAGAGTTCACTGTATTTGTAAAAAGGTTCAGTAGCTGTATTGGAGAAAACTGAAAACAGCTGATTTGGAGAATTCTTCCAATTTGATTATTATGGACTAAAATGTTAAATTTTTTTAAATTCCTGATGAATTCCTGATAAAATATAACTTAAGTGAATACCCCCTGTTATAGTAACCGTGAGTAGGGGGTAGGGGAATCATCAACCCAATATTCCACAAACCTGCCATTTGTGACCAAAATCTTGAACATTTGATTTACTGCATAAAACCCAATATCACCGTAACCCCTTAAGGACCAAACTTCTGGAACAAAAGGGAATCATGACATGTCACACATGTCATGTGTCCTTAAGGGGTAAATATTGAAAATGGAGGTGCATAGAGCACTCCTTTCTTGGCTGATACATGTGTGACTTCATAAAATATGTTTGTTCCTCAATTACATTTTTACTGTTACCCTGATTGACAATTCCTGCCCTAGGAGCTTATTTGATGTTCTAGCGTATTATACCATACTAGTTATTGAACACTAATTGTAAATGGTCGGTTTCTAACTTAAAGCTGACAAAGCACCATAAAGACTGTAGTTGTGCAGAAGCTGCCCATATCACATTGCGGAGGCGTTTTAGCAAAAAGAATTGAGAGGAAATTGCGACTCACAAACCACTGGCCAAAGAACCATCTATTTTGTAAATTGACAGCTATAAGTTAAATACAGGTACAAGGGCAGATTTCTTGAAATGTGTAAAAATAAAAACCAGAATGATTGCCCGATAATAAATCTCCTGGGATATCATAAATCAATTCAGTAATTATCCCTTAGCTTTGTTGTAAAGATACCATATCAAGGAAGGCTAATGATGTGGCTAGACCATAAGTACAGCAGGATATTACCGTGTAATAAAGATATGAGACGTAGCGAGAAAAGTGCAATAGAAATGGTTAGAAAAAACATAGTGACTTTCAGGATGAACAGCTCAATACATTACCAGTCTCATACTATACACTTGGGATTGTGTATTAAGATTTTTTTAATTATTCTGCTCCCTGCCAACTATACCTTATTGTGAGTCAGCGTGACTTCCTATTTAAATATAGCACATTATGTGAACTGCACTTGAAAACAACTTACACAGATCAATGACATTCCAGGAAATGCAATATATTATTTTACTAGGTGTGTGTGTGTATATCATTTTGATATATTTTTTTATTTTTTTTACAATGTTTATAAGGTTAGGCTATGGAACTGTTGTATGATTTTAGCTCTGGCTTTACGATACATAATTTGGTGTAGCTTGCTTTGGGCTTGTGTAACCAGGCAACGAGAGTGGCCTGACCCTTACAATAAGATAAGGGCAACTACCAATCTCTCTGCAATTCGCTGGTATGGCACAGTGTGTCTTCCAAATGGTGGCATTTATGATATGAATAAAAGGTTTTGTTTTTATAGCATTGGCGAACAGATTTGTTTCAGCTTCCTTCAGAGTACCAAAGATTCCATGTTTTAGCTTTATTTCTATTACAGACATATATATTTAATATTGTTCTATAGAGAAGGAGGAAAATATACCCTTTGTAATAATAATGGTGTTTATGGTGCCTTCTGAGATAGACCTCTCTTTAGCTTTGAACAATGATGGTTAAGGGTTGGGGTATTTCATTGATGTGAATAATACTTTTGTTATGTTTGTTCCAATTTTGTTTACAGCATCACTAATCCTAGTCACGTTTCTAAAATACTTAATTTAAAAATAGAATAGAACATTTTTATGCAGTGACAGGATTTGTTGTTTTGTTTTTTAAGGTTATATTTAAAGTAACAAATTCAAACATTGAGTTTAAACTGTGGCATCCCAGATATTTGGGGAAAGGCCTCGATGATTCTCAGTGATGCTGTTTTGCAATCGTCACGGGAACTGTAGTTTCAATTTGTTTTAGATTCCAAATCTAAAACTCTCACCCAAAGTATTGTAGAAATGCTTTTAGATTAAACTTTCAATTTCAGTTATCTATGCAGACTGCTTGGAATTCATACTCTTTCCCTCTACTCCTTCATATTGTATCAGCTGGTAGTTCACTTATCATTAAAGTGGCTCTGTCACCTCAAACTTACCTTTACCATACCTTATTACATTCCTTTAATCTTTCAGAATCTGTTCTTTTTTTCATCTATTTCTCTTTAAAGAAATATACATAAGACAAAGTAGTCCCTACTGTTTGTCTTTTTTTTCCCCAAGAGAAATCAAGCGGAAAAGAAGAACAGATTCTGAAAGAGGAGGCGAGAAGGAAACAATATGGGAAAGGTACATTTAAGGTGACAGAGTAACAAGGGATTATGTAGCAATACACTATTTCCTTAATACCTTTTATAGAAGAGCTCTACACAATAAAAGCCATTGAAAGGATACTGTAGGCTGTCATTGATACATGCCATAATACAGTAGTCTATAAATCAATTTAGATAAGATACATAAGCGCGTGTTTTTACTGCAAATTCTAAACTTTCCAACTTCTGCAGGGAGCTCTGCCCAGATGAGGAAGTGACTCTACCACTCATAGTACTTGTTTATTTATCTATAGTACACATCTGAGCTTGTCCCATAAACAGTGCATTTAACAGTGTAAAAAATAATTAATAGCTAAAATACAACTCCCAGAAGTCTCATCATACTGAGATGAAGCAGATCATTTTAATGTCTCTGATAACTTTACTTTCTGTATGTGCACTGTCTAGTAACTGGTGTTTGACCTTTAGATAAGTGTTTTGTTATGTGCTGTATCCTGTTGAAAGAGCACAAGGTCTGCTTCCCCACCCAGTAATTAAATAAGCAATGTGTTTTACTCTAATATATTTTAGAAGCATATTTGGGCTGAGAGTCTCTAAGTGAACATTTGGAAGGCCGCCGGTTTAAAATTGAAAATATTCTGTACAGTTTCCATTACCTGATCACTGAAGTGTTCTCAGCAACTAACAATGATTGTTATTGAAAAAAATAGCTTGCCATGCCATACTATAAAAAACACAAAAGGTGACGCACCAGCTAAGTCAGATAATTAGTAACCTTTTTGTTACAGCCGCTTTACAGAGTATGGTGGCATTTTAAACCCCTACCCCTTCTTTTCAGGCTGCCCCTGTCATCATAGCACTGTAATCGAATGCCAGGTACTACATGGTATAGGTGGTGACATGTGGACCTGTAACTGGCTATATTGCTGGGTGACTCAAGACATTCTGCAGTAGCTGTAGAGAGCCAGCCTGACGTAGAAGCACTGTGACAACCCATGCACTGTATCGGCCGCGATCAGTGTTTACTGGGCTATTGCTGGCTTGATTATAATGCTGTCTGTGAAGACATAGACATGCTATTACCATGATCACACACCCTGGGGTCCAGTCCACTAAACAGTGTATTGTTAGGGTTAGATAACGTTAGAAATAAACATAGTTTATTTGGAAATCAAAAGTCAAAATGTGTGCTGCAGGTCATGGCACCGGGCGCTAGGGTGTACTTACATAGCTACAGACTTGTGCCTGATGCCATCAACCTCAGCCCGCAAAGATCAGAGAGTCCACCCCTCATTTGCTGGCAGCGCACGGAGGAGGGGAGAGAGAGAGTGTGTGTATGTATATATATATATATTTCTGTCCTGATGAAAGCTCCAAACGGGAGCATTGGGAACCTGATGTGCATCAGTGGCAAGCACTATGCACTTCCAATGCTTCTCGTACTTAAATATGGCAATGTAGCAGAGGCACCTCTAGTGACGGTCAGTGTGACAGCTACTAGAGGCTTGTTTAACCCTTCAGGGTAAGGCAATGTTTTATCCTGTGGGGTTAAACCTACAGGACCCCTGTGTAGCAAATGGGGTGGCAAAAATCCTTGCACCGGCCCGGATTGTCAGCAGATCATATTTTGTAAGATGTAGGTTTAATAATGGAATTCCCACTTTGCAATTTTTGTCCTATAAATTCCACAAATTAATAGAAATCCTAGACAACATTTTAAGAGATCGGGACTATTTTGAGCTATTTTAATTGCACTAGTTGTATAGAAGTTATTGTAAGCAAAACTATGAAAATGGTGGTGGAACAAACATATAGTAAAAGTATGGGGGGGAAGCTTTGGTTATGAATGGGTTTAATCTCAAAAGTCTTTTACGAAGGCATTAATATGCTGCTTAGCAATTTTTCATTTAATATGTTAACAAAGGAGTTATGAAAAACGGCCAGTCACAGATGTAGGCTATATACTTTTCAGTATTAACATTTCAAGTATATAAAAAGTTTTAATACTTTGGGGTTTATTGTTCTTTTGATGTATTTTTTGTAAGGTGTAACAAATTTTAGTACAATCTCTCTATTTTCTCAAGTGCTTTTTGTACCAATAAATCATCATCTTTTTTTTTTTTTTTAAACAGAGAACAGTGTTTTGGGTTTTTGTACATATATATATTGCACCCCTCAGTGTCACAGGTGCCTCAGTCCAGGGTCCTATTTAACCTTGACCTGCAGAGAGTCTCATAAGAGCAAGCATTAGGCTGCTAGAGTAGGACCTGCCAAGAATGGGGTACATTGGCGTTGTAGCAGGCATATGCAACATTTGATCATATACTGTAACAAAACCTCATTATTTTTGTCTAGTTTGTAATAGTTTTTATAAAAACCACATTCTGTGAGATTTGAAATTGCTATTTAGTGAATGTGCTCTAGATCATGTATAAATTGTCCCCAACAGCACCCTTACAATGTATGAATGTTCAGGTGAGGGCAGCCTCTTGGCTTTATAAAATATGTACAGTACTAATATATGAAAATAGCATCAGTGGAAATTGTCTAGACCCCATGTTGTGAGTTCCAGATCCAGGTTAAAAAAAAAAAGTATTGTTATTAGGACTACTCCCAGAATATATATTTCCTGGCTAATCATGGCACATATACACATGGGTTAGCTCCGCCCCTTACAGCTGATAGGCCAGGAAAAACACCAGAGGCTTTAAAAGGAAGCTCCATTGCTAAGGTCCTCAGTCCTTTTCCTGTCCTATAGCCCTTAGGATGTGAGCAATTTGCTCCCTTTACTTACGGACATGTACGTTTTTTCTTCATTACTTTATTTGTTTTTTGTTATTTTAGGATGCATTTAATCTATGAGGAATTTAGACTGTGATGCATTTAAGCTTTGATGTCTTTAACCCCTTAAGGACACACGACATGTGTGACATGTCATGATTCCCTTTTATTCCAGAAGTTTGGTCCTTAAGGGGTTAAACTAGTGCATTATACAGCTGTACCTTGTGCTATAATATCTTTACATTGTGTTACATTATGCATTTGTGCTTTTATACTGGGAAGCATTTAAACGGAGACATTTAAACTGTTACATTTAAAACTTGCATGTAAAACTGCAGTACATTTGATACTGCAGTGCTTTTAAATCTGCGGTGCATTTGAGACTGAAGTGCTTTACGATCTGCGGTGCTTTTAAAACTGCAGTGCATTTTGCAGCTGTGCCTCAAGGCTACAAAGCCTCTTAGAATATGAGGCCTTTTTTCCTAGCTTGCAGGCACTTTTACATTCTCTTTTTTGCTTCCCCTCTGATTTTTTTTTTTTCCCTGGCTCCCTGGGTACGCTTTAGACCGAGTTCTTCCTGGTCTCTAAACAGCACACACACTTGGAAAGGGCCCACACATGTGCAGTTTGTGCCTTAAAGGGCCTAATAGAGATGACTTGCATTGTGGAAATACAAGTTGTGGCAGCCATCTTGGATAAGGGCAATTGCCAGAAAGTGCCTAAAATGAAGGGAGAATTACAGTAAACATCTCAAACTTATTTGGTAAGTATTTGAGGGTGTCCAGACAGGGATAGGTGCTGTCTTCAGCCAGTTTTTAATCTGTTTCACTGGTTTCTTAATAAAACCTTAACAGCACACTTTTTTACTTTAGTGCTTTGCCACAGGTAAGATTTATTTTCTATTTATTATTTATCTGATGTCTGAATCTACATCAGGTTCTGGTTATGAGGGGAAGACAGTGGAAGGAAAACGGCTATGCACTTACTGCCTCCAGAAGGTAGCCGTTTCAGCATAACCTATCACTGGGCTGCCACATGACATGTCAGCCAGGGCTTACAAAGGTTCTAAGGTATTTTAGAGGCCTTAGGGGTATAAAAAAAGATCAGACCTTATCCTGTGGAGGAAGGTATTTCCAACCCCTGAACTACACCACCTAAGTTGCAAACTTATGGATGAAAAGTAGACACAGACCGTCCAAATTTATACGCCTGCCAATGCAGGATGTCAGCCAGCTGTAGCTTTCGCTGCTGTTTCTTCAACCATGAAAAATATGATTAAGCATCTGAAGGCTACTATGAAGAGAAATATTAAGAGCCAAGATTGAAGAAGCAGTCTGAAGTCTTCAGGTTACAACGGACCTCTTCACAGAAGCTCCCCTAGAGGTAACTGGGATATTCTCTTGCTCAAATGGTTTTATCTGTAGCATCTAGGAAAGCATTATGGTTGACTCATCCTTCAAGTCTGCCCTCTACACCATTCTTTTGAAGGGGAGGTGCTGTTTGGGAAAGCTTTGGATGAATCCATTGGAAAGGCGATTTAAGGCTACAGGGTACTTGTACCTCAAGACTGAAGTTCCAAGAATCCCAGCTTCTCCTAGTCAGACCGGAGAACCTCCAGTGACCAGCATTTCTGAGATACATGGAGCTACTGCCCTTGCAGGGAATACTCCAGAGATAACTCAGTGCAGTTGGTAAACCTGCCTTTCATGGTTCTAATGGCGCTATGAAGCAGTCATTTTGCTCTTCGGCAATGAACGTGTCTCCTCCAGTACTAGGAGCCTCCTTTTCATATCAGACAGACCTGGGCCCGTCAAATTCTGGAGACGTGGGTGGTATCCATAGTCCAGATTGATATAAACTGGAGTTTTTTCTTCTGGCACAGGAGTCTCTATACCAACAAGAGACTTAAGACAGGTGAATCAAGAGGTAAGCACTGAAGGAATATGTAAGAAGCCTTCTGGACGAAGAGGTGATTTCTTCGGTCCTATAACGAGCAGTTCCCGGGACAATATTCTCCTGTCTTCTAGTGCTAAAAGAAAAAGCACAGGGAAGCCTATGCTAAACCTAAGAAGGGTAAACAAAAGGCTGAATGTCAGAGTCTTCAAGATGGAGTCACTCAGATCCATATTTCAAGCAATTTGGAAGGATAGTTTCCTTATCCCTATATATATCTCAAGGATGCTTACTATCATTCCATTCGACCTAGATCTTCAGCATTATCTCTGAAGAGAACTTTCAATTTAGTGCCCTACCATTTGGCCTCACTGCAGCCAGAAGAACATTTTATGTGCTTATATTGAGAGTCCAGAGCACCACCTGGTTCCATTATCTGGATGATCTACTTCTGGTAGCCTTAGACCCACAGAAGGCAGGCACACAGAGGAAGATAGTTCTTTCAGAACTCCTGAAGTTTGGCTGCTTGATGTATATCAAGAAAAGCAGTTTCACATCAGTTCAGTGGTTGACATTTCTGGGTGAAAGACGCTATGCTCTGCTTTTTTCCTATCTCAGTAACAGTGGCACAGATTGTGGAGGTTTTCTCTCCCAGTTTCTTTAATTTTGCTTGGTAACAGTAAGAAAGTAGATGCAACTACTTGAACGCCTGGCTTCCACCATCATACTTGTCTGATGGGCCCAGGGGCATCTATGCATTTCTCTGCATTGCAAGATTCTTCCTGTGACGAAGTGCCCTTCGCCACTTGTGCCTGGAGAGGACTAATTGCCAGCCTCCTGCCCTGCGACTATGGCCCCTGGAAGATTTTGCCCTTTAAAAACGTTATTTGTGCATATTGCATTCTATTGTACTCTGTCTGCCCCTTTAAATTATATTGGAGCAGTCTGCAGCTTTAAATTGTGAAGAAAACCCCTGTTTTTATTCCACCCCCCCTAATAACTGTAATATTTTCAAACAATGTCTGTCTTTTACAGAAAAAATCGTAATTGGAGTGGAACAGCGCTACAGTACTGATCACAGAGGTGGATGGAGCTGCACACCTGAGGGGAAGGGCAACCCTCAAACCCTTCAAAAAATCTGGGAGAAAAGGAAACAACAAAAATACAGGGTGCGCTAATGAGAGATATTAATAAATGAAAGATAATATTTACAAAGAGAGTCTCTGAAAATACAAGGTGGGCCTTGGGTAGGTCTTCTTAGGTTCTTGATAAGGTCCTCAGTGGTCAGTATGAAAAACAAAAGTACTTGAAAAAGCCTATTTTGGGCAAAACGCATTGTGTTTATGATCTTGTTATAATAAAAGTACTTTTTAGACTACCTATATTTCTATGGTCAGTCCTTCTACTTTTATTTTTGCTATTTTTATCCTGGTTGATTTACTGTTTTAAAAGATCCAGTACTACAAAGAAATCCTTAGGTGGGGATTATTCCACTCACGCCTGGTTCATAGAGCAGTGTGGCTGCTCTATACACTGTAAGTACGTTTCATTTTACCTTTTAGCACCAATTTTATCTACTGAGAACACTGTGGGCTCTCTTTTGTGCTTTTGTCTTTCATAAATCCTGCACTCCATACATCACCAGAAGGATATCCTACATGTGGGGAGTTTAAATACCACTGTATGCTGTTTTACTTAGAGCTGGTTATAGCTCTTTTTATTGTAAGTTGGCACTCTTAGGACTTCAGTGTTTGTCTGTAACTGCAGGTGTCATACATTAGTTATTGTCCAGCTATATCCTACATGTGGGGAGTTTCAAATACCACTGTATGCTGTTTTACCTAGAGCTGGGCATAGCTCTATCGATTGTGAGTTGGCATTTCTCTATTTCTGTGTTGTCCGTGACACCATCTCCTAACGGTTTTGCACTATTGGTCTTTCTTTGTGTTTACCGTCTGTCTTTTAACTGTCATTTTGTTTTCCTCTGCGGAGGAGTTGTTTTGCTGCATGCTTTTGTGTGCTCATTAAACAGACCTGCTTGACCCTTTCTTGAAGCCTTGGCTCATGCTTGGGGGATGGGATAAGTCTGCAATGCTGATGGTGTCGGTTGGAGTCCTTGGCAAGCACTAGGAGCATCGATTGGCGGAAGTACTCGGTTGGAGTGCCAGCGGGTCCGTCACACTTCCTATCTTGGTTTTACAAGAAAAGGATTATTGGAGCCAGCCACCGACTATGTCCCCATCAGTGGAGTTACACCTTACTTGGTAGCTGAAAAGAGAGAATATATCTCTGTGTTTCCAGTGAACAGATCCTCATTGGTCAATTATAAGCTCTGATTCCAGTTTTCAAAGATTGGTTGCACAGTGTTTGGACCATGTTGCACATTATTTCCATTCAATTGTATGGAATTACAAGTCAACTTCAGGGCTCTTCTTCATTTCAGAGGGTTGCTGAAGAACAAGTGGGTCCAAATTTTCTCAAATTTCAAGTAACTGTATCCTATATCTATTAAGATGGGTCTCACAGCTACGTCCATGGTGATCAGGGCACAGAAGAACAACCAGGGGCTCAGAATACAATGGCTGATTACATGTGCCGAATAACTGTGGACAAGGTGGAATGGCAACCATGTCCTGACGTATCCTTGGGGTTGATGCAAATTTGTCTGATACCCTATGTAGATCTGATGGCCATTTCTTGGAACTACCAGGTCCAGAAGTATTTTCTGGATTTTACGACCAGAATGCTCAAGCTCAGGATATGCTGACTCAAATTTTGAATTTTAGTCTGATGTATATATTTAAATACACTTATATAGTTTCTGGTTTTCAACTTTCCTAAAGGTAATTCAAAATGAGACCGTAGAAGGCCACATTGACTCTAAATTCCTATAATGAATAGATGATTCTGGAACCTCCCAGGGAAATTACAGACCTATTACAAAGTCCCTTGACACACCAAGATCCTCAAGTTCTGGTGTTGATGCGAGAGTCCCCATAAGTATGAGCATCCCTGACATGGTCATTGAGAGCCTCTTACCGTCCTATAGAGACTTTACGAAACATGGCATGCATTTGTCTGTTGGAATTACTCCTCAATCAGGCCTAGAAAGGGTCTGAGTTATAACACTCTAGAGGAGCACATATCTGCACTTTCCACATAGATGGGTGCCCATTGAACATTGGAGCCCCTGGTGCTTTGCTTCATGTAAGTATTGATTCAACTCAAGCCTCCATCGAGGCTGTTGAAGCCAATATGTGACGTACCACTGGTCGCACAGGCTCTGACTAAACCATAATTTCAACCTCTAGCAGGAGCTTCCATGGTTGTAGCACAGAAAGTGCTGGTGGCTAGTACCGCAGCAAGGTGAATGTGTGAACTCCAGGCTGATCCTATAAACCCCATTCACTAATCTTCAACAGGATATGATTGTCTTGTATTTGGCATCTGAGGTCCGACCTAAAAGCAAAGATTGATGCCATTCTTTACCTGTGCCGGAGGGTATCTGGGCACTCTCCACTCAAGCTGTTGCAGCATCGTGGACTTCCATGGCAATGGGTTCTGCTGACACTTTTTGTAAAGCTAGCATTTGAACCTTTTTAGACACATTTGTCAGGCATTTCATACTGTTCGTTAAAGCAGTCAATGATGCCCAATTTGGACGTCATGTACTTGACTCAGTTCATTCTTCTATCTATGTTGAATTGTTCTGATTGTTTGGCTGTTATTTATGTTTCTGTCCCTCCCTTTGTAAGCTTGTGTATGCCCCATGTGTATATGCTGCCATGATTAGCCAAGAAAGTGGAAAATACATTCATATTTACCGTAATTTTCTTTTCCTGGCTATTCATTGTAGCATATACTATCTACTGTAGAGCTTGTAAACTGACTGAGGACCTTAGGAATGGAGCCTCCTTTTAAAGCCTTGTTGATTTTCCTGTCCTATTGGCTGTAAGGGGTGGAGCTAACCCATGTGTATATGCTGCCATGAATAATAGCCAGGAAAAGAAAATTACAGTATATATGAATACATTTTCCACTATATTAAGCCACCAGCTCCTGCCCCGAGCTAAGCCTGGTAAAGCAGGAAATTTATCAATTGCTGTAAGCACTCTGCCAACGAGTCTAGCTCTGACAATTTGGCCTAGCACTGGGGAGCTAACAGAAGCTCCTTGCAGGAGAGTTCAGCAATGTGGGAACTCTGTGGTACCCATGAAGTTACCATTCTAAAATGGTTTGAATAAGGTTTCTGTGAGGAGGCCAGGCCCTCCTTGTAGCATAGACAATACAGTGGGCTGAAGTGTGTATGATGCTTGGAGTGTTCATTTGAGCTGTGTACCGATTTTTCTAATTAATGTTTTATATGTCCAGCATACAGGATGATCACACTAATTACAGAATCATTCAAAAACAGACACCAACTAATCAGACACATCATCAAATCTTTGCAATTATTTTACTACTAAACCTGGCTAAGCCATCTAACTAGATTTTCATTCCATGGGCAAAATAAATAAATTAGAATTTAAATAATTGCACCAATAGAAATGTGTGTTTACAGTTTTTCGAATAGTAGGGGCCTGCACCCTCTACATAAGGGGTGCTCAAAAGGTAGATTCCCAGATGTTTTAAAACTACAGCTTCCATGATGCATTGCCATTTAAAGCATTCTAATTGCATGCAAAGCATCATGTGAGTGGTTTTAAAACATCTGGGGATCTACTTTCTGGGCACCTCTGTTCTACATGAGTAAGTGCTGGCTAAATATTACAGATATATTATTATTAAAAAAACAAAACATTTCTGGAATAAATCTGTAGAAGAGTTGGCGGTATTTTTATATTAATACACTTAAGCAATTGCCCAAACTGTAAAATTCATTTATATATGGGTATATATTATGTTTAAGGGACACTGCACTGCCCAAATGTAAAATAAATAAAAATCACTGTTTGAGATATACCCAAAATGACAGCATACATCCATTTATTTGTGCAATTTTTTATTTGGGATATATCTAAATATCACTTCAAAATATCAGTTCTCTTGTCTGCATCCTTTGCACACCCACTCAGACTTTCTGTAGCTGTCCAATCACAGACTTCCCAATGCAGCTTAATGAGAAGTCTTTGCAAGGCAGATGCTCTGGGCTATTGCAGTCTCTTGAGCTAACCAAACCAGAAAGTAACATCGCCCGTTGTCTGCTTGAAAGTCAGGTGGGTGTTGCCAGGTTAATTTAGGGTCAATTTGTATTGAAAGCTGTACTTTGTGTAAATAGTGGTTTTTTTTTTCATTTTACAAAAAGCTTTTCAGCAAGCTAAAGAGGAGTCTGAAATGAAGCATATGTTTACTCATTGGCATATTTATATTATTTCCATATAAAGATAACACTTGGATATGGTCCCAATAGGGCACTAATAAGTGTATACATGTCACAAATATAAAATTTTCCTACCTCAGTAACAAATCATTAATAAAAGCATAAAATCACTCACTTTTTAATCCCATAACACGTTAAAGAAATGGGTGATAAAGTTCACCAATGTCACTATTGATAAATTAGTTTGTCCTGTGCATTTGCGATCAAGTCCAACATAGAATGTGACGGCAGATAAGAACCATTCGGCCTATCTAATCTGCCCAATTTTCTAAATACTTTCATTAGTCCCTAGTCTTATCTTATAGTTAGGATAGCCTTATGCCTATCCCACGCATGCTTAAACTCCTTTACTGTGTTAACCTCTACCACTTCAGCTGGAAGGCTATTCCATGCATCCACTACCCTCTCATTAAAGTAATACTTCCTGATATTATTTTTAAACCTTTGTCCCTCTAATTTAAGACTATGTCCTCTTGTTGTGGTAGTTTTTCTTCTTTTAAATATAGTCTCCTCCTTTACTGTGTTGATTCCCTTTATATATTTAAATGTTTCTATCATATCCCCCCTGTCTCGTCTTTCCTCCAAGCTATACATGTTAAGATCCTTTAACCTTTCCTGGTAAGTTTTATCCCGCAATCCATGAACCAGTTTAGTAGCCCTTCTCTGAACCCTCTCTAAGGTATCAATATCCTTCTGAAGATACGGTCTCCAGTACAGTGTACAATACTCCAAGTGAGGTCTTACCAGTGTTCTGTACAATGGAATGAGCACTTCCCTCTTTCTACTGCTAATACCTCTCCCTATACAACCAAGCATTCTGCTAGCATTTCCTGCTGCTCTATTACATTGTCTGTCTACCTTTAAGTCATCAGAAATAATCACCCCTAAATCCCTTTCCTCATATGTTGAGGTTAGGACTCTATCAAATATTCTGTACTCTGCCCTTGGGTTTTTACGTCCAAGATGCATTATCTTGCACTTATCCACATTAAATGTCAGTTGCCACAATTCTGACCATTTTTCTAGTTTACCTAAATCATTTGTCATTTGGCTTATCCCTCCTGGAACATCAACCCTGTTACATATCTTAGTATCATCAGCAAAAAGACATACCTTACCATCAAGACCTTCTGCAATATCACTAATAAAAATATTAAAGAGAATGGGTCCAAGTACAGATCCCTGAGGTACCCCACTGGTGACAAGTCCAAGCTTCGAATATATTCCATTAACTACAACCCTCTGTTGCCTGTCACTCAGCCACTGCCTTACCCATTCAACAATATTTGAATCCAAACTTAAAGACTGCAGTTTATTGATAAGCCTTCTATGTGCAACAGTGTCAAAACAGTAAAAAATATGTATGTAAATTTGGTTGTGTAGTACAAGGCAAAGTATTAACATGCTTAAAGGGACAGTTCACTTCAAACTCAAATTAATATTTAGTAGATATAGCCCAAATGAAAAAGGTGTGCATTTGTTTCACTAGGGGTTTATCGGAAAACCTATTACAAACACTGCTCGTATTTTCTCTGAAACTCTTGCAAGCCTTCCCCTGCTTCATAATTACCTAGCTGAAAAGAAACTTGTGTCCATCAAGTTCAGCCTTCCTCACATATGTTTTTGCTGTTGATCCAAAAGAAGGCAAAAAACCTAGCCTGAAGGGCTTCCAATTTCCCTGTATGTTATGTTTTGGCAAGTATTTATCCAATTGCTGTTTAAACATCTGTATGGACTCTGATAAAACCACCTCTTCCATATCCTTATTGCTCTTACTGTTCCTCGTGTCCTATGTATAGCCCTGCTTCCCCAGCACATACTTTCTGTGGCTGTCCAATCACAGACTTTCAAGTGCAGCTCAATAAGAAGTCTTTGCAAGGCAGTTGCTCTAGGCTCTTCATTTATCTGCACATTTTTTAAAGTTAAAAAAAACAACAATTAAAAACAACTTCAACAAGCTAGTATGCTTTAGAGGTGTGGAATGTCCCTATAACAGACATTCAAGTTAGCATTTACCTAATGCACTACTTGTCCATTTGCAAAGCAGACCTAAATGGAACTATTTAGATACGTTGCATGGAATCCTAATATGCAAGTATAAAAATCAGACTAAATCAGAGTTTAATGGATTTTATTTTTGAGTAAAATAACAGTACAATAAAGGGGGAAAAAATGCATGAATTTAGTAACTCTGAAATGTGTATCAGCACATCACTACACTATACTCTGGTACAAAGCCCTGGCACTAGAAAAAAAAATAAATCATTGCATAAGTAGAGAAGGATAAAATGCAAGTATTTGTCAAGCAATGTATTGTACTATAACTACATGATGCTATCAACTAGACAGTGGCAAAGAAAAAAAATAAAAAAAAAAGATGTGCTGCAATGCGTGTTAAGGGGGAGGAAGGGATGCAGTGTGTGTTTTCTCAACTGAACTGACCATAACATGGGAATTGAAGTATATGATTAGATACAGATAAAAGCAGGCATTGCAAAGGGATTTGAGGAATGTCCTTATACTTTATCTGAATATGTGAGCTTGCCACTAAATTGTGCTGAACATGGAACGGTTATGGGGAGAAGGAGATTAATCTATGGAAAAGCAGCACTTGAATACGTGACCATTCTAAACATAGTACAAGATGTTAGATTTTTATGTCTAAGCTGAAAATGAAGTGCGTTCTCATTATGTGATAACAGGTTTTGGCATTAAGTACACCCAGCTGTATGAAGACTACCCAAGTTGGTGATGTTCAGCAGGGATAATTAGCAATTGTGCATGCTAAAGGGATCACTCCTGGTTTCTTCATAAAAACAGGTATCACAGCAAGCAAAAACTCATTGCAAGTTGACCCGAATAACAGTATCTAAACAGTATCATACACTCTGAAAACCATGCTAAATCAAGGAGTACTTTTTCATTAAAAAGTCAGGGATTTAAAACAAATCTAAAAGAATGCCTCCGTGGTTATGGATTGTAACAGATACAAGAACTGGCTGACAGTATTTCACGTTTTTTTTCATTTGGTCAGTTTTTGTGAAAAACTCTTAAAATATGACATTGGACAGTGCCACTGAAATGCCCAAGCTACCATATTGATTTAATTTACACATATCTAAAGGAAAGTTCTATTTTTGAAGTGGTAAAGCTGGCATTTAGTTTTCACAAATTAGTACAAAACTGGCCATACAACATTTCTGAACGAAGTAGAAACACCTCCCCCCCAAATAAAAAAAATTAAAAAAAACAACTACTTGAGATATCCTGAAACACAGCTGTCAAAGGTTTGTACATTGTTCCTACAGAACTATTTAAAATGTATAAATTGTTGAACAGAACAAGAAACTTTGCAAATCCAAATGGGGTAAGTTATTTGGGATTTCTCTGTCTTTATATTGTCTTAGAACAATTAATATATATAATTTTTTTTTAAATGCATTTTGTAATGCAGAATGTGTTTTTAAAATTAGGTTTTGTTTTTTTAAGGTTATTTGGGAATGTTATGTAATGGGTGAGAGATTAAAATAACTGAGGATCTCCAGTTTAAACAGTAATGCAAAGCATATAAAATAAACACCCGAAATATGGGCTGACAATATTATATTATGGTTATTTTTGTGTGCATTGCACATGATCCCCAATTGTACTAGTTAATTTGCAGAGGATTGTCCCTTATGATGTGACTTGGGCAAAAAGTCTTCCTAAAATGTAAAACAGATAGATGATCATGCTTTTTTTGTTTTTTTGCTGGACAACATGCAGGGCAGTGCAGTGCATGGAGAAATTCAATTTAAATTCTCAAACCAAAGCTGCATCTTATTTTGTGATAATTTGTGTTAGAACTCTATAATCAAAAAATAATGTAATATTCTAAATTATGTTGAAAAAAAAAAAGAAGCTTTTTTTCTTGGTCTATAAAAGGAGTCATAGCTGCAGCTTTAGTAAAAAAAAAAAATGAATATTGGACTTGTGCAAAAATATTTTCCAGCCTCTTCGTCCAAATCAAAGTTCTTTAAATGCACTGCTGGAAAAACTGATTCATCTGGGATTTACCTGTGGAGTATTGCTAATTTTTGCACAAGTCTAGTGAATATGTGCATATATAATTCAACAGTGTATAAAAATTAATTTTTGGAAGCTACAGATTCATTTCAATGCTCATCTCACATTTTATACGACACCATAAAGTGCACTACTCTACTCACGGCAAGGTTTGTGGGTTACTTGGGGACATTTCTCAAAACCAGTGCCAAATATGTATACAAAATATTACCTATTAAATAAACAAAGATACAACAAAGTGACAGGTTTAAAATATCTGTGCATTTATGCATTTATGTAAAAAGCAAGAAGTCTAACATTTGAGAAAAGCTGAATAATACAAAATCACGTGTTTATTGTAAATGCACCTTTGTTTTGTAATGAGATGATACAGGAAGGATAATATTATACAGATGAAAAGAAAGGATTTTCCCCAGGAGCTTTCATTCTATGTCATTAAGGCAGAAGCAGCCATTCCCAAGTATAACAATAGTTATGCCAGCACGATTACGCCAACATCCACTATGAAGCTTTAATATACGGTAGAGAATGACATGTACTTTTCAATTTCACATTAAAGCAGATTCATCACATGAATACCAAATACTGCAAAAAACAAACGGTCCACACATTGCACTTTATATATACTGTTGAACAGTATAGAAACTTTTGAGTAGAATATTTATATCTTAAATATACCTGCTTTTTGTGCTTTGAATGTATTTCCAAGCATTCATGTGACCTCGTCTCATTTAGCAGCTCTGTCTATGGCAGGGCTTAACATGCCAAGTCCTACACAGAAAAGCAGGCGTTAAGAAATATTGACCACTGCAATCCTGGAGAGTCCATAGTATACTCACCATGGGTGAACATCTATTTGTCAGCCCTGATCTATGGATGGATGTGTGTGTATGTATATATATATATATATATAATGTATTAAGACACTTGTTGAGGGGAGGTGAGGGGGAGGAAGTGTAATATATAATATTTGTTTCCTCCCCAACAACTGTCATAAATTGTGCAGATAATGAGAAAGAAGGAATGTTGAATGTTTAAACTGCAGAACGTTTCAGAGAGAGGAAAAAAAAAAAAAAAAGGTAATATATAGACCGTTTTTGTTTTTAATTTTTTTTGTTTATTTTGTTGGTTTTAGATCCAGTTTTGGGGCATGGGAAAAAAAAAAAGTCCAAAAAGAGGCAATGTACAAACATGTAAGGTTAGATTACTAGTTACTAAAAGCTTCATACAGCAGCATTTTACAAGTTACTTGAGTAGTAGGTACTGTGATTAATCACTTTTTCCCCGCAACAAGGCATATATGAATTTTAATGAAATCCAATTTTGTGAAGAGTGTAGGTGGGCACTGAATATAACATGCTCATGAAATACTTAGAAGAGCATTAAGGGTATGGATTGCGTGATATAGAAAAGAGAAAAAAAAAAAAAAAAGGCAGTATTATATTTTAGGAACATATACAAATTTAATGCTCTGTAAGCGGCTGAACACACACAGGTTAGCACCTCTTATGGAAGTTAATTTCCTGGCTTAACCTTTAACAAGTAGGCTACAACTAGCAGGTTCAGCTATTTTGTTTTTTTGCATTCCTTTATATAATGAAAAGACAAAACAATACAAATTGGGTACATTCTAGTGGTTAATTTAATTAACTGACTGACTCTTAGAAACATGACAGTGTTCCTGCAGGTCTTTACGATTCACTCTTCTTTTTATTCTTCTTCAGGAAGGAGGGAGTGCGGAATTTCTTTTTCTTTTTAGAAGGAGATTTGCCCGGAGACTCATCACTGCCACCATCTGCATGAGCGGCTTCTGCTTGTGCCGCTTCTTCAGCTCCTGGCGTTGTGGGAGGATCAGCATTCTGGGGTTGTGTCTCTTGATTTTGTTCATGGGTGGACTCTGCATGGGCTTTAACTAGGTCTCCTTCACAAGACTTGCTTTCTTCATCTTCATCTTCAACTTCTTTTGTCAAAGCTGGAAAGCAGAGAGATTCTGAAGGTTCATCAGGGGTGAGGTCTGGAAGGGTTTGCTTGAATGTTGCAGCATCACTGTCATCTTTGTAAGTCTGCTCTTGTTGGGATTCTGAAGGATAGTAAGCAACAATTGGTAAACAATGTCCTACGAGATGCAATATTTACTGAATATTATTACACACTTAAAATGCTTCAAATAGTGTATACTTATTTTAGCATATTAAAGCCGTTTCAGGTATTTAAATTATATATAATGATAGAAAAAAAAATTCATTGTAATCTTTGTAGCACATAGCTAGATGCTTCTGGTGCTACTTTAAAAAGTATACATATATTTTAACTTAATAGCAATAAAAGTTGCGTAAATGTGTAATAAATTCAGTATTAAGCAGCTTAATCAACAAAGAAAAGAAAGGACAGATGGCAAAAGACCAAGTTTATCGTTTAAAAAGCTGTTAAAACTAGAGACTAGTAAAAAGCAAAATAGAAAAATATGAAAAAGTACATGGAATAAATAAAATATCCCAATTAGAAAATGGATAATGATAAGACATTAGCCCAGTATAAAAATAGAATGGTTATGACTAATAATGAAAGCATTTAAAAGCTAGGTTTGGTGATATTTTAGATCCATAGGCACACAAGCCTTTGATCACATTACATAGCAGAAGAAACCACACTGATTTTTATCTATATTAAAAGGATCCATGTGTGTAATGCCAAAAAAGCATTAAGTGGTAATTTTTAAACAATTTGTTTCAATGGTGTAACATTGCAACAGAATTGTATTGCACTCGATCCGCTGTTTGAATATGTATATAAAGACTGAATGTAGTCTTCCTGGCAAACCAATTAGAGAGAGTAGTTCACTTCCATAGCTCAATGAACACAAATCTTACATGTGACCCAAAGAACACGATCACCCTTTTCTTTATGCCCAAAACATGTAATGTATAAGAAAGCATTATGGTGCTACACAGCAATAAAACAGTAATATGAAGTCTACAAAAATCCACAAAAGAAAAACTCACAGTTGTGTTCTGTGATTCACTCGTGGACAGAAAACTACATGGCAATAAACCCAACAGTAATGCAATAAGCACAAGTATCACAGAGCAAAACAAAACGCAAAGTACTATATGTTTAAATTGTAGTAAATGTGTACTTTCTGGTTACCTATTCAGTTACACAGCAGACTAATGTACTTAAATATTTGGTATTACACTCCCTGCCCTGTTTTGTAACGGAAAGCAAACGAACAGCACAGAATTAAAAAGGATCAGGGAACACCCAACAATTTTGAGTGAACTGTAGCTTTGGTGCATTACCATCAAACTCTTGTGCTTATAGCACGGCTGGGTTATAAATGTAGCCAAGCCAGAGATTGTAAAGGGACACTATATGCACCCAGACTACTTCAGCTTATTGAAGTAGTCTGGGTGCAGTGTCCCTATTGTACTTAGTGCTGCAATGTAAAACATTGCATTTTCAGAGAAACTGCAATGTTTACATGGCAGCACTAAGTCTGCCTCTAGTGGCTGTCTACGAAACGGTCACTGGAGGCGCTTCCTGGATCCAAACGGACCTTGGTTAACAGACTTTCCAGCATAACTGAGTCTGGACATCCTCACTCTCTGCATGAGGACATCCAGCTTCAAATGTTTCCATGATTTAATACTTTCCTATGGGGAGGTCTAAAGCGTGTGCGGCATTTGCCACGCATACGCATGAGCTCCCACCTGTCGAGGGGTGACTGAGGAGGCGGAGCCACAACAAAAGTACAAAACAGCAAATTTGTGGGGTGTTTTTTTTAGACTTCTGCCCAGTACATGTATATTTATTTCACCTTCACTGGCTGCTTTTGCTGTACTTGGTTTCTTTAATGTGCATAACTTGTATCATAACCAGTAGGGTTGCCAGATCAACACGTTCGTTTGCGGGCAGATGTGAAGGTTTAATGCTTTGGGATAGTGCATAAAAACCACTGCTATTTTAAGTTAAAACCCCTTCAGACACTTACTTGAATCCAGCACCGATGTCCCTCAGCGCTGGTCAGGCTCCGCCCACGTTTCGCACGTTACACCTCCCCATAGGAAAGCATTATTCAATGCTTTCCTATGGGGATTCCGGCAACGCTGGAAGTCCTCATGCATAGTGTGAGGACGTCCAGCGTCAATTAGACGACCAAAAGTCATCTAAGAAGCCTGAAGTCCCTCTAGTGGCCATCTGGTAGACAGCCATTAGAGGAGGACTTAACATTGCAAGGTAATTATTGCAGTTTATAAAAACTGTAGTAGCAAACGGGTTTCAACTTATATTACCAATTTTTTTTCTGAATAAAAATCACGTTAAACTTCATGGTTGCTCATTGACACATTTCTATTACTTTATTATACATTATAATTGGAACACAATAGAATAATTCAACAGACCCATTGTAAGGGCCAAATCTTACAATGAATAGCATTAAAAAGAGTTATGAAATATAGAGGTAGGTCTATAACCCAACCCACATTTCTGCATAACCGTTAACCTTCATCAGCTTGGGTGTCTACCACTAAATCAGAGTATTTGGTAGTAGTTAATTTAATTGAAAACAAAGATGCGATAGAATGAAGCAAAGCACACAAGGATTTTGGGAAAATAGAAAACAGAACAGAGTTCAGAGAATGAGATGATACTTACTATGGTAAGAGGTACTCTTTAGCATATCCATCTCCTGTTTGTAAGGCAGCCACAAGAAAAAAGCAAAAGTAGAAAAAAAAATCTAATGCATTCATTGAAGCCGTAGTGTTAAAAGTCAAATGAATGGCTGGCACCACTCAAGATGATAAAGACAAGGAATGTAAGGGGGATGAAAAATCTCTTGCAGACACATGATATCAAGGAGGAGGAGAAAACACAAGACAGTGCTAAAAGCATGAAAGCTTTGCAAGAGAGAAATTTGGTCAAATATATAGTCTAGTGAAATTCCTCATTTTCCAATGGATGTAAATTGAATTCCCATTTGAAACCAAGTATTTAAAGTGTTCCTGCTGAAGCTAGACTTCAATTTATGGCACAGAAATACAATAGGATTATTGTCAGATAAACCACATTGTCATACCTCCAAACTGGAATACCAATAGGCAATAGTGTTTCAACACAAAAATACATTTTCCTCCTAAAAATATTTTTATTAAAATTTTTTTTTAAATTACTGATCAATACTTTAGCACTGGAGGTAAACAAATCCTTGTATAGCCTAAGTTAAAGCAATTTTGTACTAGTCTCCATGTTGGACATCATGGCTGCTAAATACTACATACATGTCTTAATGATTAAGAATTTACACACCAGAACCTCTCTCTAATTATATAGTAGGACAAAAAAAAAATATTCATATTATAGTATTACCTAAAAAGCATTTAGGTGTGCACTGACTATTGCTCATATTATAAAACCAATATTTACTAGCGTTATTAAGAATGGACAAAAGGTGTGACAGGCTAAGTCCATGAAAATAACCATTAGTCCTTTGATTTGTTTGGCCCTGAAGTTTTGATTTAAAATTCCATTTCATATTACCAACAATTTCACAAATATTTAAACTTTTGCCCAGTTTATGTGCCAATTAGAATGATGCTCAATTAAATTATTATGGTGCCTCGAGTCACCCAGCAGTTTTACCTGTAAGTATTAAACTGTTCTGAAACTGTACCTTTTGCCCTACTACATATACATATTGCCCTTTTCATATTTTTTCCCTTGTGTTGTGTGGGTTTTCTCTCTCTCTGCCTATATTCTGGTAGATTGTCTCAATCTTATCTGTAACATTACTCACCTTTTTATATTACTTAAATGAATGGTCTGGGGTCAGTAACAATTTAATCTCATTGAAGTTGTTATGGTGCCTCGAGTCCCCCAGCAGAGACTTAACCTTAGGTTTTCAACCTTTTGAGAATGACTTAACACTAAAGATCTGTCCACAGGAGCCAGTCTCTCACTTTCCTCTTTTGCTCTGACTAATGCATAAGAGCAAGCACTAGGAAGCAGCAGTGTCAGCTGACACTTTCGTCCTATCACTTGCCACTCCTGTGTGTTTAAACATAGGTATATTTATAACCTTTATGCATGATGAGTGGCCAGTTATTATCTGAGTGTGTCAATTACTGCCCATACTAATGCTTCTGCATTAACCCGAGTAGAAAAGGAATGGGAGAGGAAGCTTGCCGCACCTGTGAGGGACAGGCTCAGGTAAATAAATCTCACCTCTACCTGCCATGTGGCGACGTTACAGTTGTGGGTCTTTGAGAATTACACAAAGTCCCTAGACAGTAACAGTGCCACTTTAAGTAATATAAAAAAGACGAATGTCACAAATGAGATACCTACTGTGATAAATATCTACCAAAATATAGGCAGAGTTGAAAAAGCCACAACGACACACAAAACAAAAAAGATGTTTAAGTGTATGTAGTAAGGCAAGGCACAAACTTTGTATGTTTGTGTGTTTGCCCAATCCTGTAAAATATGCCAATTAAATATTAGATTAACAAACAACATACCTTCTTGTTTAATTGGTGTGCTGGGAGGGGTACGAGTTAAAGCATGGTCAAGGGTGGCTTCCTTCTGCTCAGTTACCTCTTCTGGTGGTTCTGTCAGAAAAAAAAACAAAAAAGTTATCAAAACATGTATAGAGTAGGGACGCAACAGTAGGTAGAGAAAAAAAAAATAAAAAAACACACACTATATATAAATAGAAAAATGATCTTGCACTCCATGCTGTATTCAGATACTTGCCCAGTGCTAGTCAGGCACAATGTACAGAAAATAATGCACATAGCACTCTAAGGTCTTTGTCATAATAAAACTTAGCTTTTAATTAGCTTGAGATACACTGATAAAAAGATTACTTTTTCTGGGAACATAATAGAAATCGCACATATTCATGACATGTATGCCACAATTTTTAGTAATGGAGTAAAATGATGTACTCGAAATGCTTACACGATTTAAACAATATAACATGAATTATTGAATTCATTAAACAATTCACTGACCACCAAAGAAAATAGATTTACAGGGTTAGTGCATCCACCCAGAGATTTGCAAATTGAAATTTAAAAAGTGGATAGAATCTCCCAAACTAGTTACCCAAAGCCTGTAAGAGTGATCACGTGTAAAGATTGCTGGAGCGGATTGGAGAATGAAGAGTCATTGATTGTGTAAAGGGTTCACAGTGTTTTCAATACCTGATGACGCATTGGGCAAGAAGTCCATGCTGGAGTTTAGTGCCTGTATAACAGCATGATGAAGGTCTTCATGGGGAGACTCTTCCAGAGTAAGTTGCATGATGTCTAGATTTAATTCTGGAGTGGCTTCTATTACAGGCTTCATACAAACCAGCTCAGGCTCGAAATGCACTCTAGTGTTTTCATCTTTTCTTGTCAAACTGTCAGCACAAGAGGTAGGCCCCTGTTCTTTCACTGAGTCTATGGGGTCATCGGATTTGTGGCTTTGAACCCCTGTTAATCTATCATTTTCATTATGCCTCAGGACAACAGAATCGCCATACTCTGAGAAACCATCTAGATGGGATGTTGCAAAATTGCAAATAAAATATGAAAACGATAGGAGAAAACTTCAAAAACTCACATTTCGTCACAACATGTCAGTGTGACAGATCAAATTTAGAATATAAAAAAGTATTGTGTGAAGAATTTGTGAGAATTGCGATGGGCACATTACCTGTTGCAAATCTCTGTAAAACATTCTTCATATGTGCCACAGTGCAAGTCAAAATGGCAAGGCTGAATATTTATTTGTTACACTGTATGACAAACCTATTTATCAAACTGGTGTAAATTCAAAGTAATTATTTTTTTTTTTTTTAAGCTTGTCATTATCCAATGCAGATTTGAACCTTTAGCTCAGTACACAAATGTGATCTAAAGTAGCCTGCTGATTGTAAGAAAACTTACTGTATTGCTAAGCTGGTAAATATTAAGAATATTCACTAAAGTGTGGATGGTTAGGAATTCAAAATGAATGACAAATTTAAAGCCAAAATAGTGATACTGGAAAGGTTCTCCTAGTCACCTATATTTTCAAAGCATCTACTTTGGTCCGTAATTAAAGTCTCACTTTGAATTCTGGCCAATTCAAATGTCTGTAAAAAAACCCATATTTGTTGAAACTAGAGATAAACAACCAAAGTTTGTGATTATAGTGGAAAGAATAAAGAAAATTGCGCAGGAATGAAATGTCACAATTGCTGTAAAACTGTAATATTCACCCTACAGCGGGGCGAGAAATTTATAGAACTCTGATATTTAAACATAAGGCCGGTAATAAAATTAGTTTAAAAAGGAGCATACATTCACTAAGTATAAGTGTTTAAAAAAAATTATGTGGCACTCATAAACCACGATACAAAGCAGAATTACCTTCAGCACTCTTCTGCTTGCGCTCCACTTCTTTGCGGTATTCTTCAAATTCCCGGTCTGTAAATTTGTTGAAAGGGTTAGGACCAGTTGTACTAACAACAACCCTTGGTTGGTACTCTTTCTCAATAATGGCTTTAGATGCTGTAACCAGTTCTCCCTATCAAATGCAAAAAAAAGAAAAAAGGTTTCTTGATTGATTGTTTAAAAAAAAAAAAAACAATAAGCAAAACCACTCAATTAGACATAACAAATACAGTCACTTATAAACATATCTCCCCTCTCCCCACCCAACTCAGTTCGTATTGCACCCAGCAGCTGGAAATATCAGGTAAAAGTAGCACTCCAAAAAAACAACCACTATAACTTATTGTAGTGGAAATAGTACACAGTTCTCTGGATTTATATCAATAACATTTAATAAAGTCCAAAGGATTCATATAAAACCTTCTCAGCACCCAGGGACTGCCTCATAAATAATGTGTAAATTAAACATTCACATAATCCTTGTAAATATTTTGAAGCTCCCTGTGTATACCCTCAGTTAAACATAAAAATAAATAAATAAATAAAAAAAACTAAAAAAAAAAACGACTTGTATTAGTCATATTTTTGTCTTCAGCATGCAAGGGCTCTACACTAACAATACTAGAAGGAAAAAAAAAAATGGAGGTTTGTAAACTCCTTATCCAAAGAGCACAAAAGCTCGATTTGACAGATGCAGGTGAATAATAATATTAATACCAAAAACAAGTCTCCTCCTTGTATTTATTTATTTTTAATAATAAACAATGGAAAAGCTGGTACAATGTCATAACACAAAAAGTGTATGCTAATGTTTCATGTACACTTGACAATTCCATCTGTCTGATATGTGAAAGTAGCCATTGTGAATCATCACCAGCATACAAAACCATGATTATTTGGAAATTTAACCCCTTTGTTATTACAGATATACTGCTACAAATTGGCGCACTTCATGTGAAATTACACTAAGAAATCCATAGCAAAAAAAAAAAGGTAAAATTGATTGCGTTATTAACTGATGAAGGGATAAAACATTCCAGTCAAAATAATATCCTGCAAAATTAAAAAAAAACAACTTAAGAGATTTAATTCCAGAGTTCTAATCTATTTGTGGGATACTGGTAAGGTGAAATATAAGAGTGGGATAGAATATAACTTCTAACATGCCAAGAGAGAGAGAAGAGACAATGTAGAAAATGCAAGGCCTTTAGTTAGCAAAAAAAAAAAAAGATTGACCCACAAACGCTTTCAGGGACAATATTCACTGGATGAAGTTTAAAAAGGAGGGATAGAAGGAAAGAACAAAACAAAAAAAACAAAACTGGACAGGAGAAGCTGAATGCAAATGGCAGAAGGACAGAGTATGAGGTTTCAGTAAGTAATTTAGCATGATTGTGAAAGGAAAGGGCACACAAAAAGACAATGTTTCTGTAAAAGCTGTATAAATGTTATTGGCTATGAGATCATCTTGAACGCTGCATTAGGTCTTTATATAAACTAGGAAGTAATATCGAACAGTCATAAAGAGGGAAGGCTTCACTTCAAAACCTGATGGGTACATCAGCAGAAAAGAGTGTGTTATACAATATAAATACTAAATCATAAAACACATACAGTCGACCGAGAGCATCAGTGTAAGCCCTCAATTTATCTCTGCTGCTGTGAGGTTTATGGAATTACCTAATGCAGCATCATGGAATATATCCTACTTTATAGAAGCCGACAGGATGATACACATACATGTACACACATACTATAGTATCCCTTGTTATTCTAAATATAACATTTTAATGATTGGGTAGGGTGGTTGCTGTTCCTGCTAACACACAGCAAGCAGAAGCAACAGGCAGTCCTCTTCAGGCTAGTAAGAGGTTCACCTGTTGGAAGCCTCTCTTTTGGGTTGATGGGATTTTTTTTTGGTTATTCTTAAACCTCAGTCCACATTAATGGGGTATGTAGTAAAGCGCTTGGCCACATTTCCACTCATATCGGAGAAGGAGAAATGCTGAATGGATGCCATAGCTGCTAAAGGTTTATTCGTAGCTCATTTCATAATTCTGGGATTGGGGTTATTACAGCAGACTCCTGTTGCTGCACCTGTGTGTAGCTACTGCTTGTGCTCTCTGATATCTTTGAAGAGGAGAGGAGTGTGCAAGCTGCATGCATAACATTGGTAGGTCTTGGAATGCAAAAGGATATTAAAAAAAAAAACAAAAAAAAAAAAACTGCTAACCCAATAAAAATCCTCTTCAAACAGAACAACACTATAAAACAGCATATAGATGCTGTAAGGAGCCAATTTCAACCCAAATAAAATAACACTGTTAAGGATAGCAGTGATATATTAATGGACAGTGCTCTGGTACAAGGACTAGACCAGCTAGATGTACAGCTATGGAGATATAAGTTTGAAAATATCCCCATGCAATGACAGGTATTTGGATATGAGGACATATGAAGAGTGGCAAACATGTCCTTTCACCTTTGTTTTTACAATTACAAAAGTAAGAGATGTAGCATTTCTTTATAAGAAAATAACTTTTAGTGAGGCACCGTATCAATTCACCCCCTCAATAAAACCACAACAAAAAGGGTTTGAGAACCAGTTTTACAACCGTGTGAAGATTGACGAAGTGGTCATTATTTTTATTAATTTTTTTTACCCATCCCAAATTCATACTGTAATTACAGGGCAGTATATACCTTTCTAAATGAGAGGGTTTTAGCTGGACTAAAGGAATGCTCTGTGAAATCGAGCCCTTCAATAGTTTCCGTACAGTCTGAAAGAGGCGCATCCTGCAACAGTAAATGTAGTAAACACAGCAAACCAAGCCTCACGTCAACCATAACACATTGTGGAGCTAGAAAGGATCATGCAAAAAACTGGAATATGAGCAAGGTGAAGAGCTACATGCGCGCGCACACACACACACACACACAGTACAGCAAAAAGGAAAAGTGAATAGGTGTGAACAGAAATGGCTAGTTTGGATGGAGACAGGTTACTCAGACAGATAACAAGGTCACACAGAATGCAAATGATTTATCCTCATGGTCACAAACAAGAAAAATTAAAATAATTATGTGTGTTGAGCTTATGTGCTGTTTTACATAAAATATATCAGTTACATTATTAAAAGTACTGTATCGTTTTAATTTCGTGTTTTTATTATTTCTAAACAACTCTCAATGCCATGCCACTGCTATAATATGCCTGTTGAAAAGCTTGCTCTATGATTTGGGTATCGCAAGCCTGTTTGTAACCTACTGCACAGAGAAAAGAAAGAAAGATAGATCTATATATTGATATACATACATATAGATATACATATATACACACACACACAAACACCTCTTTCAGTTTTGAAAGTCACACTGACTTTTGAAAGTCACAATATACCAAACATGCACAATCTGTTTAGAACCCAGTCCATAAAGACAATAGTGTAGGACATATTATGAATCACAAGATAAACAGATAACCAAGTTAGTTTCCAAAGCATGAGTCACCCAAATATGTAGCTTTATGCTAAATTTATGGAAGTAATCATTAGTGACCTCCAGACCAACACTGTCAGTTTAAGGTGTACCGCACAAACCTATGGTTATCAGAGGAAAGAAAGCAAATAAAATAAGCACTAAATCAGAGTGTCTATTCTGATTTAGTGTTGTTGGCCTAAGATTTGCAATTAATCAGTTCCTCGAAATTCCTAGTTTTGTGAATAAAACTCAATTTCTGCAACCGCTAAAATGTAGTAGTTATGATGTATAAAATGACCCTTTGACGAAGAGTGCAGAAGAGAATCTGCAAATAACAGCTGCTCAAAGGGATTGCAACTCCCACTAATCCTTAGTCATATGCACATTTGGTGCTGCTCGAAGATTAAAAGAAGCCCAGCATTTGACTTAATATTGTATTATGGGCATATAAAGCCCTCTTTGTGGGGATCACAGAGACATTAGCCCGTCAAGTATATTGAAAAGAAAAGAAAAAGGCTTTTTGGAAAAACACTCATCAACTATGATTATCTTCTAAAAGGTATGAAAATAGTTTGAAAGTGACCTGTGGGTGTCGGTCTAACACAGACTTCCAATCCCCAAACCATGACAGGTTCACAATCTTTATTGCCCAATTGGAAGCATATTTATGTGAGAGGATTAAAGCTTAAAAGCTAAAAAGTATTTTTCCTTATGGTTTTCCTTTCATTATCCCCCTGTATCGAAGGCATTATAATTCCCCCTTTTGCCAATTACCTTTATTTAGGTTCCTTTTTTCCTAGCAAAAGATCTCAAAATCTGGGTGTCACTATTTTGTTCTTATCTGTCCATGATGCCTGCAGTTTATCCAGAAACACAAGGGTCAGTATGTGACAAAATAAACTGTGAAGTTATAGTGCCACTTTAATTATGCTACAACCACAGATGGATTAATTATTTAAATAACCTTATAGTAACATGCCAATATTTGTAGTAACTTTGACAATTTTAAAGGTTAATGCCTGTGCCAACGGTTTAAAGAGAAGGGCTATCCAAATGGTTGTTTAAAAAACAAAAACAAAAAAAGTATATGAAAGGACTTGAGACAGATTGAACACAACCCTTGGAACCCAAGTAACCTCATGCTAGCCCTAAACAACTGATCAGAATGACTGGATCATTTTAACGCAGGCTGGCACTTTATGCAAGAAACTCTACACCGCTTCTTGCCCTTGCTTACTAATGATACACATCTCATAGATGTGTTTAGCCCATAGGCAAGCATAACAGCACAAAGGGATAGATTTTTCTAAATATTCCTGTGCCCAGTCATTAGCAACTAACAGCGAATAATATAAATTGGACACCAAATTCCCTTATTGATACATTCAGAAATGGGAGGTGCATTGTATGTATATACATAAGATTCTAAAATTGTTTATGACCGTGAAAATATAGAATGTTTTTAAATCGAGTCCATTCTTTAATTGTAACACAGCGGGCCTGGTCTACCTACTTACCTGTAAGTGTGGTAGTAAATATGGTGGGTAATATATTTTTTGCCCCTTCAAAGAGCGCATTAAAGAACATGATAGATCTGTCAAAAACCACACTGATACTCCTCTCACCAGGCGTCTTAAAGGACCACTATAGTGCCAGGAAAACATACTTGTTTTCCTGGCACTATAGTGCCCTGAGGGTGCCCCACCCTCAGGGTCCCCCTCCCACTGGGCTCTGTGGGGTGGAAGGGGTTAGACTTGCCTCTTTCTCCAGCGCCGGGCGGGGAACTCTCCTCCTTCTCTCCGCCTCCTCTTCGGCTGAATGCGCACGCGCGGCAGAAGCTGCGCGCACAGCCAGTCCATAGGAAAGCATTCACAATGCTTTCCTATGGACGCTGGCGTCTTCTCACTGTGAAAACCACAGTGAGAAGCGCGGAAGCCCTCTAGCAGCTGTCAATGAGACAGCCACTAGAGGCTGGACTTACCCTAATATAAACATAGCAGTTTCTCTGAAACTGCTATGTTTATAGAAAAAGGGGTTAAACCTAGCGGGACCAGGCACCCAGACCACCTCAATAAGCTGAAGTGGTCTGGGTGCCTATAATACCTACCATGCTGTTTGTGCCAAAGGTCTCAAATTTTGTTGATTGCAATTGGCCAAGAGACCAGAGATGGGGGAGACTATAAGACCGTGAGATTGCCTATAGATATACAAGTTAAAGAGCTTCTATCCAAGAGGACTTAATGAAGGCATCTATTACACAATGTTCCTTTAACTAAATTGTATTTTTGGACACTACATTTCATTCCAAGTTAACCGTTGTAATTGCTTTACTTTTTCATTCAAGCATATGTACTTTGCACCAGAAGTATGCCTCTCCAGTTTGGTTTATCTATATGTATTATTTTTTTTTTTTTTATTCTTTTATGGTTTATGATTGAATGTATGACCGCCCATTGTGTTAATACGCATCCCAATTTCTTGTAAAATACTTTAAGAATATTGCTTAAAATTCTTTAAGTCCCACAAATTAGAGTCAGTCTGTTTAGGTTCTTATTATCTTTAATATTTGCATCTGGTAGTACTACTGTAGACGCATACATTTTGGCGCTTTATGGTTTTATGTTGCTCTTCAGATTAGGAGATATTTATCTCATCATTTGCTTTAAATAGTATCTGTGCAGAAATACAATCGATCGCTTTATCTTGGAGATGTGACCCCCCCCCCAGTACTTTATAGATATGCATCCGGTTAGGCTGTATACAGAGCTGGGGTGTTTGCATCATAGAAAGCATAGTTTCAGCTGACGTCTTATTTGATGGGATGATATCAGTAAGGGGTGGCCCTCACCTCTTTACATTTAGGAGGGCAGTTGGGCGCAGCTGTCAATGTGTGTAGATCCGGATGAAGACGCCGCCATGCAATCTTTAGTTGTTTGCCTTAATCTCGCTTGCACTAGAATGGGGAAGTTTCTATAATACGGGGACAGGGAGTTATTAGTGCCAGCTTGTGGAGTGACAGACGTAATTGATAGATAAGCAATATAGAATATCACTGTTCAGTATACTCTTATGTCCTAGTCGACCTTTAAACACTTGTGATTGTTTCCTAATGCTATCCCATACTACCTAGCTTACTTACCCATACTTCTTTTGTATAGCTGGAATTTAAGCTATAGTACATTTGTGAGCTTTACTTTATGGTATTTGCAATGAGTATTTAATGTTTATCGCAGCAATAGTTTGCAGTCTACTTTATTTTACTAATCTACTAAATGACAATTTACTGTAGGTTTTACGATTAGGTTGGAATCTACAATTTATATAAAGCAATCTCTCTGTATGTTACTTATATTAAAAGACTATACGTTACTTTTGCTATTAAGTTGCAGACCACTACTTGCCTGCTCTGTTGATTACAACAATTTATATATACAAATATTTGAGTCCATCATATGAGATCACCTCTTAATCTTTGCAAAAATATGACTTAAAAAAGTCTCTACAGGTAAAGAAAAATGGTCTATATAGCAATGAAATTAGACAGGATTTTGTTTAAAGGGACACTATAGACACCCAGACCACTTCCGCTCATTGAAGTTGTCTTAGTGCTATGTCCCAGGTTCCTTAAGCATGCAAACTCCACCTCTAGTGTTCAGTGCCCCCCCGAAAAATCCCATAGGAAAGCATTAAATAAAGCTTTACTGTGGGAAAGTCCTAGTGCAAGCGTGGCCATCACCGCATATGAGCTTTAGGTCTCTTCCGCCGGCTGATGTTGGCGGGGGAGGAGCCGAAGTGGAGCAACATCAGCGCTGGAATCATGTAAGTCACAGAAGGGGTTTCCTTTTAAGAAACAACAGAGAGACTGAAGTGGCTTTTACATTTTTTGTTATGCACTATTGGGTCTTTGGTAATTTTCTAGGTGTTTAAAGTTACACTCTAGGAACCCCCCCCCCCGCCCCAAAAAAAAAAGTGGTTAAAACGTTATCTCCTGGGTTACCCCAAAGTTGCCTCCAGCGGCAATGTCCAAGCCCGCCTGGCAGCATCTGTCTTTTGAATTTTGAGATTCAGGAAGAACAGAGTGCTGCCAGGCAGGGGTGTCACAGGTTGGCTGAGAGCAGTCAGCTGATGCTCTCAGCCAATCAGTGGCTCCCCATTCACTAAATTGGCTTGTAAAGAAACATACCTTTTCCTTTCCAAATCAGTTTATTGAATGGCAAGTCAAAAATTGTCTGAGAGCGTCAGCTCATCCTTCATCCAATCGGAAGCACCCCTGACTGGCGGCACTCCACGCTTCCCATTGCTGAAAATAGAGAGTCTTCTCATCATGAGGAGTACCTGAAGTGTGCTTTTAAGTTTCTTTTTATATTAATCATAGTTAATATTTTTATGATCAAAATATTACTCTTAACAACAGTAATTGTATATTGTGCACCCAGGCTGGCAACCTTAGACATCCATGACCACAAACTAGTGATAACATGTGGTGGCATGGATAGGATTACTTTATTTAGTTCAACTTCACGTCATGGAAGGTATAATAAGTTGATGGCATGCGTCTTATGGATTCATTGTATTATGCCCACACTCTCCACTGTCTACGTGGCTTCCACACTTATTTACGGGAGAAACACCATACGATTATGACCATCAATGTCACTTTCATTTATAGCCTCAAAGATCATATACTACCTGAACCATGAAGACATGGAGAGGTTGATGATAATGAAATTGGGCGGAGATTAGCAACCAGGTTTTTGTTTTTTTCCCCCTTTGTTTGTTCTGACGAATAGAATTCGATAAGAACCATCTAAATCAGCTGGTTTTAAATACATAGCCTGAGGTAGATAGTGTAATGACTACCAACTGCAGTTGACCAGAGGAAATAAATGGGGTGTGGGGACGACAACAAAAGTTATTTAAAATAAGTATAGATAAAATAGGGAGAGAACAAGAAAGTGAGCTTGACCTTGAGGGCTTGGTGAAGTTTGCTCTGGGAAACAAAAGGTTTGGAGCATACATACTGAATGTGCCAAGTAGCCTTGCTAGATGTCTCCATAACTACTGGAAGGTAATAAAGAAGCATGGTCATGCATGGCATTCAGCAATGGAGCTTGAAGCATCTGTCACTCACATGCTTATACCACACACAGAAGCTTGTGTCTACAGTAATAACCTACACATCTGCAGAGGTTAATGAAGCCACCGTTAAATGCTTACCTTATACACAGATAATTTCTGTCAATTAAAAAATACGATTAGTGAAGTACAGTAACAAAAAAAAACTACAGAGCAGGGTTTTTTTTTTTGCATTAGTTGCCTGGACACTGACCTGCACGATGCTCCTTTCCATTACCCCTCCACACAACACCTGTGACTGAGGACCTGCAGTCTTAATATCCTGAAGATTCTGTTCTCTTATCTGAGATTTAAAATAAAACAATCTAAGAGTTAAGTTTTACATGAAAGTGTAAAATACATCTATTTTGCATCATTTATTCAATTACAAATAGCTAAAGATCTGTTCTCTATAACTTTAAAAAAAAAGAGAATAATATAATTGAGTTACAGATCAACCCTCACAAAACTGGGAGGGAATTCTCCCTAGGCTATTCTACAACATGGCCAACAAAAAAATAAATTAAAAAAAGCTCCCTCCTACAAACAAATGCCCTGGATGCCTAGTTGGTCTTAGCAAGACCATGTGCAAATAAAGTACTTTGAACACAAATCTGCAAAGGAAAGTATATCAACGGTTACTGTAAAATGATGGGCAGGACATATACTTAGTGGACATTTGTGTAAGCTCTGACCACTCCAAAAGAGAGTGCACTAAAGCCCTATTGTTATTGGGGAGGGGGTCATTTTCTATCAAATCAGTAAGTTGAAGGAAGAGACTCAAATACCCCAAACTTTATATAACCTTGGTTAAATAATATACACTAACGACAGCTTACTCTTTTATAGAGAAAAAAAATACATACTACTCATAAAAGTAGTGTTATGCACAAACGTGAGCGAGGAAAATGTATTTCTGGCTTTAACAAAAGTGAAGTTAAAGGAGCACTCCAAGTACCATAACAACTGCAACACATTTATTACAAGTTTTGCTCCCTGCCTCCACTGCAGCCTCCTCTGCGCCAGAAGCTCTCAGCTATGAGCAAAGGCTGGTTGTGCAGGGCTTAGCTCAGAAGAGTCAAGAGATTCTGCATAACATGAGCGTGTGTAAAGTTGGGCTTGTGGATGCCTGGTCAGAAGTCAAACCATTATCAAACAGATTAACTGCTTACATTAGGAGTGTACCAGGGTACTCCTGGTATGCTGCAGTGGAAATGAGGTTTGGAGAGATTAAGGTTAACGGCAACAAAGTTGCTAGAGTCTTCATTACTATACAGTATGGTTCAACCAAAAGAATGTAGGTAGAAGTAGTGCATCACTAATAAATACAGAACCATAACATCATCAGCTTACTAAATGCCAATATATCTATAAAGCATTATTGCTACTATCCAAATAAAAGGCAAACCAAAATACCTTGTTTCTCATCTCTTGTACTTCCTTGGGGTCTGTGTTCAACGGGACAAACAGACTAGGGACAGCAGAGGTGGCGGCTTTGAGTCCATCCTCTTTAGTCCACTGCAAAGGTAAAACAACAGTTAATTGATTAGTTTAGCATTAACCATGCATTCAATATGGAACATAAACTTTACAAATCATGCATTTGACAAGTAAAATAGGGAAAATGAACCAATGAATATTCTGCAATTAAGTACCTTGTAGTATGTTTCAAAAACAGGTAAATATAAGATAAACCTTTATAAATGGACATAATGATCCTTGGAAAATGATGCTACAGAATTATATAGCAACGATTCATAGGACGAGTTCGAATTATACTAGATTAAACAAGATTTTTACAATTTAATATTATAAATCCACCAGGTAATTTGCTCCCTGGGGCTTTGTATCTTTAATGTGGTTAATTCGGGCAATTAAATACCACTGGGCAATGAAACCGTGCTGGAAATAATATTCCAAAAAATAGCAGGCTCTTAAAAAAAAAAAAGTGTAATTTAATAACTTTATGCTAAATTATTTGTCGTTTAGATGGCTTCGTTTATCAAATGTCATTAACTGTAGGTCCCAAAATATGGATATCAAGAAATAAACTGGACACACATCTACACAACATTTGTCATGTTGATTACTAAATTAAATAAAATGTTTAGCAAAACAGATATCATTGATTCACTCTTCCTATTAAAGGAAAAACAAAACAATGCACCAAATGCAAAAATTGGTAAGCGAAAGATGAAATAACAGCTGAAAACAATACAAATTCACTCCCTGGACTTTAACCCTTTTGTGGAGATGGAGTCTGCAAATCGTCACTTTAAAGTTATTTTACAGGACTTATCTTGCACAAAAGGGTGCAGGGCATCTTTTAGTGAGTGGGCATCACCAAAGTTTGGCATGAAATTAAAATAAAGGCTACAGAAACAGCATGGATACTCTGTTCCACTGGAAGAAAACAGGCATGTTAGAGCAAAATAAAAGTAATTCAAGCTAATTTACATTAATAAACAACTTTTTTCTCGAATGGGAAAATAAAAATAGAAAATGGAACTAAAATAGAACACAAAAATCTGAAAGAGAAAAGTAAAAGCAGCGACAGTACGTGGAAAGAAAAGGGTTTATACCATTAGTGCACATGGCTATGTGCTCACATATATGCATAAGTCTTTTCTCTCTCCTAGGATTGCACTGAGAACCCATTGCCTGAATTACATACAGTTCAGCAACTTATGTCAAGAAACAAGCGCAAGAATAAAATTAAAAAAATAAATAAAATGTAATCAAAGAAAGTATATTTTGACAACCGCAGGAAGAAATAAAATAATGTAGAATGAATTATGTAGTCAGAGCATACTCACTTCAAGTCTTCACACATTATTATTGCACCCTAATTTTGTGTTTGTGTAAAGAGACAAACACAAAAATAAATTGACAGAGATGTTGAGGCTTAAATCCAATCAGATCAAATTGCAGGCTGCAGACAGAGCTAGAATTACCCCTTCATGCAACATTAGGCATAGGATCTTTGGTTCTTGCTGAACCCCTGAACATATCAATTTGGAACTTGAACGATTTGTGAACATTACAATAGTACAGATTTAAGAGCAGTCATGCATACCAACAGACGGCAACCAATTCTATGAAAAATACTTTAATTTTAACTCTTATATAATGATTAATTGGAATTTGAAGATATGAGGAACATGCCAAGATTGTATAATGGCAAATCCAGCCCCGGTCGCATGTTTCACAGGGAAATATCCTTTAGGACTCAATGCTCTAAGTCTCATTCAATTCACACAAGTTTCATCAACCATGGTTTCCAACTCATTTTCACCAACACCATCAGGGTTATTCAGTATAGTGAGAATTCACTGAATTTCAATTTAAGGTCAACATAGTCTAACTGGATAGATTCTGTGTTAGCTTTGCTTTTAATTCGACTATTCTGGGCCTAAAATGTGAAATTAATTTTAGTAAATTATCTTGCCTGGTACACATACCGCTCAGAAAGCTCAGATTAGTGCAGTCTATCTCACAAGAATGATTTAAATACATTCCAAGCTTTACCCAGAAAAGCACATTCATCAAATACTGAAATTGTACGTCAAAGGTGCAAAGAGAAACATGGGAATTACATGGACAGCCAGGTTCCAGCACAAGTAATGTTTATTCAATCCACTGTGGCAAACACAGGAATGACTACACCACCACCAGTTTGTAAAAATCAATTTATACCATTACCGATTATTAAGAATAGTGGTCTCTATAACATAAGCCTATAGAAATCTGATTTAATGTATACACGTCATATTGAACATTTCGTTTATAGGTAATATTCTACTAAACAGATTTGGTTACCAAATTTTGACATTTGAGAAGTTGCACTCATGCTGATTATTATATTATTTAAACCCTGTAGAATGGCTTCTAAATTTACATTTACACAATTCCAAGCCTCCATAGGCTTGCAGCAGCTTACAGATTTTACATTAAATTAAAATGTATCCCTTACCATACAGTTTTAAAGTCTAGGGACAATACAATAGTTAATGTCAACTAAAACTCCAGTAAATAAGCGGCCACTAAGCTGTAATATGTGATAAACTTAATTAATAGCATATATATTACTAAATGTTCGTATCCGTTTAACTGCTGTATACACATTTTTACTTTACTTTTTTGTGGCTACTTCCTACAATACATCTCTGTGGCTGTGTAGAACTCCATGATGCATAATGTAGCAACATTGTTTTAGTTACTACTTTATAGCAGCAAAACCCTCAGAGGAGCATACGAAAACCTGCTCAATTACATAAATTGGATCATCAATTATATAGCACCAACATATTCCTCTGCGCTTTACAGTTATAGAAAGGGAATGTTTGAGGGAGAAAAAGGGCCATCAAATGGGCTAAATTCACATTTTAAGAGCGCAAGTATTACAGATGGCTCCTAGAAGATTCAGGAGAAGAATTCCTTCACTCATATCAACTGTCCCTTATTCAACAGGACTGCAGATTTGTACCAGTGTCCTGCCATCCCATGTTATTTTTGGTAATGTCATGGTTTGATAGGATGTCATAAAAAATCAATGATATATGGTTATGAATATATGACTAGATTGTAAACTTGTTTGAGTAGAGACCTCTTCAAATATCCATTTTCTAGCTTTGTAAAGCACTGCAAAATATGTTGGTGATAGAGATATATATATATATATATATATATATATATATATACACATACATACATATACACACTAACTGGAGTGATCAGTGTATCCCCAACAATTGCATGTGTACAGCTGGAGGGCAAAATGTTTATCAGTGCTGGCAAATTAAAAAAACAAAAGAAAACAACTATCTGGTCCTGTTCAAAATATGTGAGGTTTGCACTTGGCTTTTTCCCTAAATATAAACGCTGTCATGACAACTTTCTAAGTGTATTGTAAATAGTATAGAAAGGGAGGAGAGGGGGTCACTAAAACCATAAAGTAGGAATTGATAAATCCACTATGCTCAAAATGGGGCCTGGCAGCAAGAGATACAAGATGGCCTAACTGTTCAAATTAGCAGTTCAAAGTGAGCAGGCTGAAGACAGCTTTGTTTCTCACCTGTAGTCCTGTGTGGCATACAAAACAAGAACATGATATGTTTTATCCTTGATCTTATAACGGAATGTAAAGTGCTAGGGTACTCGAAAACAGGGACCACAGAGTAAAAACAGTGCACTTTCCCCTAAACACTAAGGCAGGAAAGAGCTCTCCACCTGCCTTAGGAATGTGATGAATGGAGAGAGTGGAAATAAATGACAGGGTGATAGGACAGAAATGGAAAGGAAACGCAACTAAGGGGAGAGTCAATAGAAAAATAGCTGGTAGTGGTGGTAAATGATCTCTAAATAAATTATGGTACTGCACCTACCTACCCAGGGTCACAATGCTGTGGGTTAAAAGTGCACTTTCATGCTTCCTCCTGGAGCATAAAGCAGCACTTCACTTCCTCCTGGCATTCCACTGTCAATATGCCCTGTCCACTCAGTAGACCCATAGGTAAACCACCCTTCTTCTGCACACCAAGAATATGTCAACCAAAGGGTGGCTAAAAATATTGTGGATTTATTTCTGTGTGAATGTGGCAATGTGTGTGTCTAGAAGTGTGTGTGTGTGTGTGTGTGTGTCTAGAAGTGTGTGTGTATCTAGAAGTGTGTATCTAGAAGTGTGTGTGTGTGTGTGTATCTAGAAGTGTGTGTGTGTATCTAGAAGTGTGTGTGTGTGTGTGTGTGTGTGTGTATGTGTGTATCTAGAAGTGTGTGTGTGTGTGTGTATGTGTGTATGTGTGTATCTAGGTGTGTGTGTGTGTGTGTGTGTGTGTGTATGTGTGTATCTAGAAGTGTGTGTGTGTGTGTGTGTGTATCTAGAAGTGTGTGTGTGTGTGTATGTGTGTATCTAGAAGTGTGTGTGTGTGTGTGTATCTAGAAGTGTGTGTGTGTGTGTGTGTTAGTCCCAGAGGGCCTCATAAAACAGTTTAGTAAGAGATCTGTGAATTACAAAGTCAGTCCTGTAGGTCTTCGGGCACGGAATTATTTTAGTAATAGACCAAGTTATCTAGAATAATTTTCTAAAACAGTTTTGGAACTATACTTTTAACATAATCTCTAATTTCCTTTATAGCTATAGAAGTCATAAAATCATATAACACACGATAAGCTAGGAATGACCGGGAAACAGACTTTTCTTAAGAGAGCCATAGCGACCAATATTGTAGGGTCAATGGAAACGGACAGCTTATTCAAGCACAAGCTTTAAATGTGCCAAAAATGCACAAGGTGAAAATGGGGCAGGGGGAAGCTGCCAGTCTAAAGTATGAATCAGAGGTAAAAATTAAAACCACAGGGATTTATCCCGCCTGCTTATAGGCAATAAGCAGGCGGGATAAACCAGTGTAGTTTTAATTTTTACCTACTTCGCTATGGAAAATTGGACTATTTTGTATATAAACAAGGATACAAAAGCTGAAAGACTAGTCTAAATTCTACTTTCCTTTGATTGTCGCCATTTGCAACTGTCTCGTAGCATGAGATTATTTATAACAAATAAATAGTATATATACATATACACATACACACGTATAGTCTGCAAGCGTAAGTTTAGAATACCGATTCGCATAACACAGCATACCAATCATCGCAGAACCAAACCATACACAAATGAACATTGTGACAGTGCTCTCACGTAGTGTGCGTGTCTAAAGAACAAATGACTATATATTAATTTAAACATATTTTCAGATCCGCCATTTTCAACATAATGCCAATAAGAGTGCCAGTTGGGAGACCAAGCTGCACTTTAGTCATGCCGCACTCTAATTGTACGGTCAATCATCAGGTATGGCCATTTAATAGCATGCAACAAAAACGTGCAGAAGGAAACTGGCTTGAAAATCGTGAAGGCTTTGGGAAAAGTAGCTTTGAAGAATCATAAGAAAAATATCTAAACATTAAATTAGGTTAGCAAAGCAAACTGCTTAAGAGGTTAACTGAGATATGGTTAGTAAAAGGCACAAATCTCAAGCCAATTTCTAAAGGCATCATCATAATCATATTTATTAATCTGAACTGTGAATATGTACACATGAAAGGTAAGTTAGACAGGAAAGTCTTAAGCAGTTTAAGGCAGATTTCAAGATTTGTTCTACAGACTGATTTTAAGGAGGTATGGTTAAGCAACATAAGGGTTAGCAAAGGCCACAAAGTAAAGGAAAGAAAAAAAGTTACAGTATTCCCAAAGCCTCCAGGTGCCAGACACCTTAGGTTGCTTTATATCAACTATGAACAGTAAGGTAGGCACAGACCAAGCAGTTGGTAATACAGCTTGGCACGCAGACACCGGACGAGAGAGACTGCAGCAAGGGTTTCACGTGATCGTGTGTAATGTTCGTCCACACCTTAGTCTTCGACTTGGGGCTGCCACCGTTCTGCCCATCTTCGGAGCCATCATCAGCTTTACCAGAATTCAGCCACTTTGTCTTCTCCCGTTGCTGTTTTTGAAAACTGTGTCTGAGAGGAGAACACGTGCCAGAGTCGCCATCGCCAAAGGAGTAACCTGTAACGCTTGCTGGGATTTCTACATCACTGTACTTTTTGACCTTGTCGCGTAGGGCAGGACATCTATATGGATAGCCAGTTCTGTAACCCTGCAAAAAGGTACAGAGAAAACATCACTATTTTAGGCATATGAAGCTCCATGTTAGTATTTTTATATGTTAACCAGCAAAAAAAAAAAATGCAGAATTTTTGCCTTCAATGCAGAAATTTTTGTTTTAACGCCAAACAAAAATCCAAATTCTTATAACAGATTCTGCTCGGTCTCACTACTCTGGCTCTGCAAATAAGGATTAAGAGGGGGAAATAATTTGAGTAGAACTGCTGTACCATGTTCTAAAAAGATGTGCTGCCTTTCCATAACAAAACTTTTAAATGCTCATAATGTGTAGTTTTGCTTTATTAATCCATTGTCATTCTAGTCTGCAAGAAAAAAGCCACTAAACATTTAAATAATAGAAGTAAAACAAAATTAAATGTTTACAACTTGTTGACATTACTTCCAGGGATTTATATAGGTGTGCAAGTCAAGAATATATCCAACATTTCCTTTACTTACATGCCAAGGAGAAGAAATATATATTTCTGGTTGTTTATGCATTAACAGTTGGTATAACTGTGCTTCCAGATGGTTGAAATGTCTTATGCTAAATCTATGAAAACGGCAGCACGCCGTCTCCTTAACCCCTTAAGGACACATGACATGTGTGACATGTCATGATTCCCTTTTATTCCAGAAGTTTGGTCCTTAAGGGGTTAAAATTATCTTGAAACATTTACCCACATGGGGATTTTACACTCTGTGCCAGCCTGTCATGTGTACACTTCCCTTCAAACATAACTGTATATGCTGGAATGAAATTTACTACAAGACCTAGGCTCAGAACCAGGGTTCCAGCTACCAGTCGATACGCAACAATGTTTTATCTTACACGATTTCATTTCACATTTTTTCACTACCACTGAGCTTAATCCAAGAAAATGACATTCCGGTCTACAAGGATTTTTTCCTAACTTGTTGCAAAATTGGGAAGGTTTCAGATTAGGTAAGTAGCCTTTTTTTGGTTTAACAGCAAAAATAGATGTGAGAAAAGCTGAACTTAATGGACGCAAGTCTTTTTTTCAGCCTACGTAACTATTTAATATGCTAAACCCAACAGCAATTAGTGTAAAACAAATGAGGTGCCTCTATACCAAAAAAAACCCACAACATTTTAGCTTTATAACATGATTATTCTTAGTTGTAAAACCATAAAAACACTTTTGTAATTGCACTTTTCTACAGTTATGTCTTACCAGGTTATCCAACATGCGCATAAGGGCTTCAAACTCTTGCTCCCCAACAAGCCACTTTGGATGAGGTGCACTCCCATCTCCAGATGGCGACTCAGGTGAACGGGATTTTTTATATTTCCCAGGATCCAATAATACCAAGTTATCTGGTCCACCAGCACTGGCAAGAGTGCGTACCTAATGCAATATAAGATAGTAAAGGGAAGGGGGGAGGGGCATAGCAATTGATGAATATGTTACTTTGAGAAAGAGAATTCCACTTACATAGTTTTGTGACATCACTACTTTAAAAAGGTCTTCTAGGTACCAACACGTAAGGTGAAATGTGTAAGTTTGGTTACAGTTAGGAATATATAAAAAAAAAATTAAATAAATGTTCCAGCACCAAATTCAAACATTTAGGCAATCAGCCCCACTGACATTAGCCAATGAGTCTTTTGAACGCCACGATCCTCAGTCACAGCAAAACAGCACAGTAATTGTGAATGAATCATATAGCATCAATAACTGGTACAAGAGGAATACTCCTGTAGTAAAAACTGGAAACTCTCTGGACACCCCCCACCTTCACCAAACGCGTTTTGGGCTGTACTCGGCAGGTAATCATAGGTATATCAAAATGTACTTGCAAAGTTCAGCACAAAACTCTTTAGGTGGGGATACGGGGTCTTTCAATGTATGCAATTTTTACTTGCTTTGTATCAAACAAAGAAGACTTATGTGCACGAGCTGCCGTATGGATATTTTGTTGCAAGTATTCCTTTTGTTCCAATTATTGATGCTACAGTTCGTTCGACCAAAAATTTTTCTTCTTGTTTTAGCTTTTTAAAATAGTGCCTTAAAACATGATCCCTGAAAATGAATTCAGCCAACATGTCACTCCAATAATTACCTGAATCTCACAGGCAGACATAAGATTGTGAATATAATAAAAAGCCTCTTCGATAGTTTCTCCCATAGTTACTAAGCCATGATTTCTGAGAATAAGCACCTAAGGGGGAAAAAAAAACAACCAATATAGATCTACCAAAATAATTAAAACACACACACGAATTAGTCATGCACTAAGAAAAAATAAATGACAAATACTCACTTTGCTTTTAGGTCCCAAGTTCTTCTGTATTAATACTTTTTCTTCTTCATCTACAAGAATGCCATGGTAGTCATGATAAGCCACCTCTCCTAAAGACAAGGCTTCTGGAGAAAGAGGCAATAAGCCACATTTCATAGCAGATACCTGTGTTCATTAAAAATAAAAGTGAATAAAAAAAAAAAAATACAATTAAAATAAAAGGGAAACACAAACTGCCATTATATTCAATGTTCTATTACAAAAAAACCTAGAGTATTATTTGCATGTGATCATTCCTCTGCGAGGACATCTGTCTATATCCATTACCTCCCTGTCAATCACTGTCATAAGCTCTGTCCTTTGCCCCTGGCACTCAGCATAGAGTAAGCATATGAAGTTAAAATGTTTCTACTTCAGTTTATTTGCAAAGTATGCCCTGGCTGGGTCTGGACAGAACTGGTGATAGATTATACCAGAAAGTGAATATTGGCACTTTCCTGATATTTTTGTGATGGATGGCTTGATCGTCCTGATTTGTTTCGCACAAGCCGTAAGCTCGGAGCGCAATTTTGTGAATCTTTTCAATGTACATAAGCATCTCTGTATTGTGTACCTGTATTGTACACAGAGCAGTATGTGTGTCTCTAGATGCAGCTGTGGGTCAAGAGAGGGGAAGGGACAGCAGCTCTCTAGGCAGACATAAAAGTATACTCAGGTGTGAAATGCATTTTATAGGTGATCAAGTTAAATGTACTGTAAGTGACCACATGCTGTGGGAGCCAGCCAGTCTACATGTTATCTACTACAGCAAAGTGCTGTGCCAATGTAATCAGAGATTGTTTTAAAGGGACAGTCAAGATAACCATTTGTTGTCAGAGTGGGCTTGCACATGGTGGGCGGGTTGAGGAGGAGGGGAAAGAACTAGTGTAATTAATCACTTTGTACCCTGTTCTGTATTCCATTGGTGAAAATGTTTGTGCAATTTATTTTTTTATTTGTTACTGTACGCTGTGAGCTATGTAAGCTGTTACAGGGTTTGAGTTCTTATGAATTGACAAGAAAGAAGCTGGTGTTGTCTCTTCATTAATGTCTCACAAGATATGGCTATTAATTGTCCTCTATATAGAGTAAATACTACTGAGAGTATTGCCAGAAGACTAGATGGTCCTAGCATTTAGTGGTGCGGGTTATGTAAAAAGAAACCCACAGATGATATCGTTGCTTTAACTGTTGCGCTTTCTGTAACAGATCCCAGGGTACAGTGTTGCAATTTTGTAACATTATTTAGTAAAGCAGCTTTAAAAAAAAACACAAAAAAAACAAAAAAAACACACCATTCCTTGGGCATTTAAAATAAAAAATATGCCCTCCATGTTTGGGTGATACATCCCTAATAAAATGGGAGTGGAGCAATACAGTGATTGCCCTGGCAAGGTCTGGACAGAACGTAACTCATGAAAATTGCTAAATCTTTAATATTACTTTAGAAAATGGAGTATATCACAGAAAACATTAAACGGACACTATAGTCACCTGAACAACTACAGCTTAATGTAGTTCAGGTATGATCTATAGCTCCCTGCAGGCAATCTAATGTAAACACTGTATTTTCAGAGACGGCCACTAGAGGGACTTCCTATCATATAGGGCCCTAAAAAGACCTTGTCCACGTCAGACGTATTAAAATACATTTTGACGAAATAGGGGGCGCGGCTTCACGAGGCTTCCGGCGCTGGAACCAGGTGAGTAAAATCATCTGCCTGGAGAGTCCCTTTAATACAAATTATAGGTAATTTTTAATGTCTAACTCAAATCATAAAATATCCTGATAAGTGATAACACCTTTTAAATGGACAGTAACATTTGCCTAATCTGTACTTCCTACACCTTGTACAACCAATTGTTTACACACAAAAAACACAAACCTAAATTTGCCTAAAACAAGAAGCCAAGAAAGTATGTTTGACTACACTGAACTCAAGAACTGTAAAAAGTTCAGAAAATAAGAATCCCAACTAACCCAGGCACTGCAGACATTTGGCTAAGCAACAGAAAATATATTTTTTCCCAGCTGCCTAGCACAATCATAATAGCAGTGAGTATCACCAAGACCCTACACAATGTCTAGTCAAAACCCATTAAAATAATTTGTACATTATACTTACTGCAGCCCCAGCAGGAGTGTGTATATGAACAATACATTTCACATCAGGTCGTGCAGCATAAATGGCCGAGTGTAACGTGAAGCCAGCTTTATTTACACCCAAGTTTGTGCTCCCACGATCAACCATGTCCCCTTGGAGATTGATCTTAACCTTGAAGAAGAAGAAGAAGAAGAAGAAGAAGAAGAAGAAAAAAAAAAAAAAAGATTTACAAATAAAATAAAGATAGCTAACACACACACACACACACACACACTTTTCCCCTGCTTATTTGTAAACTCTAAAATAAGCTTGCAGGGTACATAGTGAAAATACAGAATCTGATGGCGCTATATAAATAAAATAATAATACATGCAAATAAATCAAACCAATATACAAAGTAAACTTTATTTATTTCAAGGAGAACGTCTGACTAAACCCCTTACAATGGAGAGTTTTTATAATAAACAAACTTTTCTCCACACTAAGGAGTCTTGGCTCATACAGTAGTCTGTGCACTTAGAGGTTAAAGGACCACTCCCTTCCCCCTAAAAGCACTTTAGCTTGCTGAAGTGTTTATGGGTGAGGTGTAGACTTGTTTAATCACAGTTTATAAAAGTGCTGATTTCTCATAGAAATCAGCACTTTTATAAATTTGCTAGGGGAAACAGGCAGGGAGGTTTGCAGACTCCTTTCATTAGATCCCCTGTGCCAACGGACGTGGCAGGCACGCTGTACTTGAGTGCCTGCCTCCCAACTCACCAGTTCCACACCTCAGAACAGACGTGTGCACACAAGATTGGTTATTTTCCAGTGAAGAGACTGCAAGTCTCTTCCAGGAAGAAAAGAGGAGGGCTTCCTAAGGCTGCAATTCACTAGAAAGGGAGCCTTTGTAAGCTCTTAAGATATGCCCCCAATAAATACACGCATGTATTAATGGGCATATATCTACTAAACAGTGATTTCATTTCCACCCTCCCCCATGTGGGAAGTGGAGTGCTCCTTTCATATAAATTCAAAGCCATGTTTTTAAGTTTAAGTTTTTGTTTTTGTTTTATAAAAACATAAGAACCAGCAGGCCATTGTTAAGAAATCAAATACAAAATACAGAAAAAAATTAAAATAGACACCAAACACCATAATACTTTACGTTTTCTTTAACAAAACAATAAGAACTCACCAAACTAGATGCTGTAACTTCACTATAAAGGAGTCCGAATGGTACAATCAGGAAGTGTTCTTGTTCTGAACTCAATCTGACCTGTGCAACATAAAATCAAAATGTTATTTTTACACATAGATGACTCGTTTCACGAATTACACATAAATACTGATTTTAGAATATTGCAGAGCAGGAAAGTAATAGAACAAAAAAATAAGTTTATTTCACAAATTAAAAAAACATGAATTACTGCGTCACACACTATATATTCATTATACACTCCTAGTCTGTGTAATTGTGAAAAGGGTAGGTTACAAATCTAGTTTCATTCCTGCTGTTCTTACACATAATTTCAGATCAAATTCAAATCTGGAATACGCGAAGCAAAAAAATGCCTGGACCTAATGCAAAAGGATGTTTTAATAACATTTAATCTTTGTTAGTTAAAAATAGCTTTCCTATCATGAAGAAGACCAAATAGATATTTGCATATATTAACAATACATACATCAAAAAGAAAGTATATACAGAAACCTGTTCGAATTACATAGCAAGATCCCAAAAATAGAGAGACAGCTGGTCCAAAGTGTGAAAAAATATATAGTGGTTCTCAGTAGAGCTATATGTAGGTTTTAAATTGCAACAGAATAATGTTTAATCCCTTGAAAATGGATACAAAAAACAAAACAAATTTTAGCAAACTAATTGGTCAAAGACACATGAAATCTAAACAAATAACATTTAAAATCTGAAACGGTTGACCATAGTCTAGGAAAGGGATAAGCAACCATGGGCAAGCCTGATCCTGGACTATCTCCCATAATGCTTGTGAATCATGGTGGATATAGTTCACATCACCTGGTGTGCAGAAAGCTGCCTACCTCCCGGTATAGAACAAGCATGCACAGGTATACATAAGAGGTACAAACATGTTTGCTTAATGAAAGATTCCCACGATAAGCTAGTAATGAGAGTCAAAACGCAAATGAAATATTGCGCAATTCTACATTCTGAAATATATTTAACAGTCGGCATAGCTGGATACTCACTGTAATGTGATTGTAGATCAGCTGAGACCATCCAAACAGGTCGGCTAATCTATAAAATGCCGCCAGTTTGCAACGCAGCAACTTTTCTCCTTTTTCGTAGGCAATAGAATCTGATCCTCTGAGGTCATTTACAGGAGTTACCATTCCAAGGCCTGAGACAAATATAAATAAAAAATAACAGATGTGGAAGAATACAAAAGAGAAAATAAAAGTAGAGGCTATTTTGATATGTTTTACTCACTCAGGTTTAAAGCTGCCATTCCTCCTTGAGGTGCTGAAGGATAAACACTTGGTACACTTGTGGTCATGAAATCTGCTATTTGTTGTAATGCCAATAAGCCTGCAGGGTTCTTGCCTTTCTTGAGTTGGTCCTGAATCATGCTTTCTAGCTCATCACAAAATGCCTAATAAAAACAATCATAATGATTTTAAGTTCCTTTGCACACTCATAAAATAAAAAATTAAATTAAAAAGGGGCTTATTTTCTATTTCACAGTGAACAACAAATCCCTTATCTCCTACTCACTGTTCAAAAGCTATGAACACAAAACAGCACAACAAATTTCACATTAGATGTGAAACCTAGAATTATTTCAATTTGCTAAGAATTCTGCTACACTGGATGTTTATTTTCTCTGTACACATATTCCAAAAAACAACCAACTGGTGAATAAGTACACTATAAAAATATGCAAGAGAAATCATACATTATACACTAATTCCTGCTAATAACTTCTCTTCAACAACTTTTAGAACATGTGCAATTTTGTTACTTATTGATGCATTTTAGATTATTTCTCAATTTGTTCATATTTTTGCAATACATAAAGACACCGTTGTGGAAACCATGTGTCACTAAGCTTGCATTTCTCTTCTGGAAGAGATTAATTCATGCATTTAGTATTGCCCCCTATATGTTGAGTAAACCAAAATTCATCATGGACACTTAAAAGTTTACTACTTTGTTTTGATGGTTCAGTGAAAATATAAATAAACCAAAAAGAAAAGAACACTTCAAAAAAACGAACCAAAAAAAAATAAAAAAATTAATGAAAATGAATAATGAAATCTACAAATAAAGGGTAGGTGACAGGCATATGGAATAAAAAAGGTAAACGACTCAAAATTATTCAGAAATTGAAATGAACAGCAAATGAGTGACATGACAGCAGTGCAACAGTAACCCAGTAGTGAATATACAACTCATATGCCAGACATAACAGGAGACATCCAAGACAAAAGTGCAGATCAGATTTAAATATATGGTAAGAAGGAAGGCATTAACACCTTTACAAATAGGACACACACACACACTTTTACATATCTACCAGGCTCCTCAGAATCAGGTCTTAAACAAAAACAAATCACAAAATCTTCTTAATACCCAAACAAGTAAAATACTTGGGTTTTGTTTTTGTTCTAACAGTGAGCAGCCACTGGTTGATCACTGTTTACTAGACATGCCCCTACTCGCAGTATAGCGAGTAGGGGCAGAATTTACTAGTCCTAAGTAATCTTTACTTTGTATTCGCAAATTTGTCTGAAAGACAAATTTAGGTCTTTCAGCCTTTTGGTAGATAGCTCCCTAATACCGTGGGAATTAGGGAGTTATATACCAAGTAGCTGCAAGATGCAGCCGCGGCACGAATAGGATCGGAGTTTCATTCATTAGAATGAAATTCCGATACGAACAAAGTCCTGAATTGCATCTTAACATGAATGAACAAACTGTTCTCATTCTGTTAGGACGCAATTCGGTAGTTGCACTGACGTTCTGTCTAAGTGACAGGACGTTTGGTAATACTGACAGGAAGCATCACAAAACTTGAGAAGACAGGAAGAAATTAACAGATCCTGACAGAGGAAGAGAAGAGGAATTGATTAAAGAAAGGTAAGTTTGACGTGACAGTGCCTCTTTAATACATTTTATATAGTAAAAATTAAACCTTGGTGTACGATGTACGGTACTTTTCATGCTTGCAAGTATTTGTTTTGTTTTTTTTACCTTTAATTTCTGATCTGGTATGTGTTTAAAACAGACTTAAAGGGAGATGACCTAAAATGAAGTAATCCCATGGACACAGCTTAGCCTTGAATAAACCTAATTAGGGCAGATGTCACAAAGCAAGGTTTCTGCTAGCCTATTAGTCTAGCAGATTAGTTAAAATGATAAAACACATTCCCACTATAAATTGTTTATGCATTAGGTCAGTAAATTTCATTAGACATTATTGTTGTTATGAACAGTAGGCATTATTCACTTGATCACAAACTATGGATGAGAGAGCGAACTGTAAATTTAAAGCTAAATAGCCAAATCAGAGACATTTAAAAAAAAATTTTTTTTTTTACATTAGAATATGTACATATTCTTCATGTCTGGCCCCACCCCTGATCCACCTCCTTGGCTGACATCACAATTGATGGTCCCATAGCAAAGCATTGGGTTGGCTGTGATTTTCAATTTTGATAGTGTAACAGTCTCACAAAAACTGGGAGTAACTGTACAAATAGTTTCCTTGTACCATAACGCAGTGAAGATAAATTCAAGAGGCAGCAACTGTCAAGAGCACCTGTCTAGCAAAGTCTTCTCATTGAGCTGTATTGGGAAGTCTGCGATTGGACAGCCACAGAAATTCTAGGCGGTGTTCGAAGGGGAGGGTTTGCAAAGGCAGCAGACAAGAGTCCTGCAGGTTTTGCAAGCGGTTTTTAATATTTTCCCAATGAAAACAAAATGCTAATGAAATGCATGCAAGTTTTTATTTGGGGCATATCTACTTAACAGTGTGTTATTTATTTTGTACTTGGTTAGTGGAGTGTCCCTGTAATTGTGATGTCAGCCAAGGGGAGGATTAGGGGTGGGGCCAGACATGAGGAACACAGCACGTCTCTGGAAAAAGGTGAGTAAACCAACTTTCTAACAAGAGGTAAAGGGGGTGCAACCACCTAAACAGTAGTATTAGAACTATAGTGGCAGGAATACACTTGTGTTCCTGACACCATACACCATAGTGCCCCTTTAACATTCAAACACCAGACCCCCACCCCCTTTCCCCGAAAAGTACATAATGATTGTTTAATTACACATGGAATAAAAACACTTACGGGGCTCTGCAGTATCATTGAGACCCTTTTCTTTTGCTCCATCATATTGAAGTCTTGGCGAAGGTCCGGTGCCATGTTTCTCTCCCGCAAGTACTCCGGATTGTTTTCATCTACTCGATCAAAATATTTCTCTTTGTGAGGAGCATTTGTTGGAGGTGGTGAAGTTACCACCCCGGCACCTGAATCACCATTCATTGCACGCCCTTATGCTGCCCTACACAGAAAAAAGGAAGGCAGCAGATTTTAAGTTCTGGACAACAAAAAAAAAAAAGGAAAAAAGCAATGAAAACTGAATTCCCCCCATTTAAAAGTAAACTCACTGCAACTCGCCAAAAATGCAAAAAAAGATGACAAACAAACCCACACACAGTCCACTGGTTTTGACAGCCTGTATGCACTATACACGCTCTGCAATTCTGACAGTCCGAAAATAAAAACAACCCCAACAAATTAGTATGCGAGGAATGTAGTTTTAACGCATACCAGTGCAAAACATGACCTGAAGGTCATTACAGTCAAGAATACTAAATTAACCAGAGGTCTGCATTAGGCAGGTTTACACCTGTCATAGAAAAAATATATAGAACAAAGACTGAAATAAGCAAATGTTTTACTTTATTGCATTAATGACTTGGCACACAAAGATGAGAGGAAGTGGCCTAATAAACCAAATACAGGATTTTGCACTTAAAAATGTTCAGGAATTCAAAGCGAATTTGGAATCTAAGGCCAAAATTGCCAAACTGATAGCATAGTTGCCTTACAACTTTTTCCAGTTTTGCTATTTTGCCCTCAAATTCACATTAAATTCCCAACAAATTTCACCTGAAATCTTAATGATCTCAGCCAATCCAATAGGAAAGGAAAAACTCCACACTGCGACAATCCGCATCTCCTCCGAGATTAATTGAATCAACGCATTTCTATGGAGATGCTAAACGTAGGTCCTGCACACTGTACAGCACTGACCCAGGATGCATTTGTAGAGGCTGTCTGAGTGACTGTCACTAGAAGTGTTACTAAACAACAATGTAAATGCTGTCTTTTCTCTGAAAAGGCAGGGTTTACATTGAAACGTGTGCAGGGACAGGTTATAGACACAAGAACTACATTAAACTGTATACTATACATTAAGCTGTAGTGGTTCTGATTACTATACCGTCCCTTTAAGAATTGCACATTTTACATTGAAAAGCCTGGCTCCTAACTTTATTTGCTGGCTCCTAGATTCCAAGCAAATTTGTCAAGCCCTGCTTTGAGACACATTTAAAAAATATTCTAGAAGAGTTCCAAGGATATCACCAGAGCCCTTAGCATTCTAAAAAAACATGTTTACAAAATATATATATCTCTATGAGTTGTCTGTAAATAGGTGAAAGAAAGTTAAACAATTTGTTGGATGCCCAGACGTCAACCACCAAAGTCCGTATATCATAGTAAAACTTATGTTCCATATTAAAAAGGGACACTATAGTTCTCAGAACCACTAAAACTCAATGTAGTCGTTCTGGTGTCTATACCTGTCCCTGCAGGCTGAGCACTGTAGACTCTGCCTTTTCAGATAAAAAGCAGTGTTTACATTCCTGCCTAGGAACACCTCTAGGGGCAGTCACTAGAGGTGCTTCCTGGGTCAGTACTGCACAGTGTGCATCACTGGCGTTCAGAGTCTCCATGCTATGCACAAAGCCGCCGAACGTTCCCTATAGAGAAGCAGTGATGTTAATGAATCTCTATGAGGAGATGCATATGTGCAATAACCTCCCAATGCTTTCCAAGATTGATGATCTCTGCCATAGTGGCAGAAACAGCCACAGAGAGACATGTCCGGCGTGGGTGGAAATGTATGTTAAAACACCGTTCCCATGCGATCTGAGGGGTGCTGGGGACCCAAACAGTTAAATACTATATAGTGTCTGAAATACATGTTTATAGTTTAAAGGGACACTATAGTATCAGGAATACAGAGTACCACTGTTATTAAGAGTCAGAAATGTGTTTAACAAGCAAATATGTACAGGCTCGAAAGATAAAGAAGATTTACTTTTCTTTTAAACTATACATGCTGGTAGTGAATATAGAATCACTAAAGAGAAGAAGAAAAAACAAACAAACAAAAAAAAAAATAGGTAGGAAACTTGATTTTGACAAAGCACCTTTTTCTTACGCCCAAGATCTGAAGTAAAACAGCTGACATAGAGGAATTTTATTATTAATATTAAATTGGGATAATAGCAAACATTATCCAAATGATCAAAAATGATATATTACACAGCATTATAATCCAATTAAAGAACTTACAATTAAACCTTAGAACGCCTGAATGCACCTATTGCATGAACTACATTTGTAACAAGTAGTTTATTAAAAGGGAAACTAAGCATCAAAATAACTTTAGTCTAATGACATGATTTGAGGGTATAGATCACGCACCTGCAATCTCACTGCTCAATTAAGATTGGAATAACTTTCTTTAAGCAGCCCTATGACCCCACTCCTAACCGTGACTTGCACAGTCTCCCTACACACTTCCTGTAAAGATAAATCTACTGTTTGAACCTCCTTTATTGCAGTCTATTTCTTTGCATAGAGCAGGAGATAAAATTTAAAATAAACACACTTTGCTCTATGATGTGATTGAAATTGAAAATCATATCATGGGGGCTGTGTGGGACACAGCCAAGGAAGGTGTGGCTAGGGATGCATAGACAGAAACAAAAGTGATTGAAATCCTAGATGACAGAATATAACCGTAAGACGGCAGGGGTGTGATCAATACACAGAAAAAAAACATTTTAATATATTATGGGTGTCAGCGTGTTTAAAGGGACACTGTAGGCACCCAGATCACTTCAGCGAATTGAAGTGTTTTGGATGCCAACTCCAATCACCCTTAACTCTGCAAGTGTAATTATTGCAGTTATTATAAACTGCAATATTTACCTTGCAGGGTTAAGTCCTCCTCTAGTGACTGTCTACCAGACAGCCACTAGATGGACTTCCGGGTTCTTAGACGACTTTTGGTCATCTAAACAACGCTGGACATCCTCACGCTATGCATGAGGACCTCCAGCGTCGCTGGAATCCTCATAGAAGAGCATTGACTCAGAACACTGATTGGTTGGCTCAGGAATGGGGGGGGACAATGGGTTATAGGCTGGGGTCCCCTCTTCAGTTTAATAGCCCCCACTCGCACGGCGAGTATTTTTATTTATTTTTTTAAACAGTGAGCAGCCATAGGCTGCTTAATGTTTACTAAACATACCCCTACTCGCGATATAGCGATTAGGGGCAGAATTTACTAATACCAAGTAATCTTTACTTACTATTAGAAAATTTGTCTTGAAGACCAATTTAGGTCTTCCAGCCTTTTGGTAGATAACTCCCTAATTCCCACGGTATTAGGGAGTTATCTACTAAGTGGCTGCAAGATGCAGCCAGGACACAAATAGGATCAGAGTTTCATTTATTCTAAATGAAATTCCAATCCGAACAAAGCCCCAAATTTCTCTGACCACCGGAAATGGAGCACACTTTGCTCCTCCGCTGGTCAGACATGGTCAGGTGTCTATCAAAATAGCTAAAATGAAAAATATTCTCTAAACCAGCTATGCTCAAACTTGGCTACTTTGGCTTAAAATGTAAAATTCACTAGGAATTCTCGCTGAACAATTAAATACAAATCACAGCATAAGATAAATGCCAGAAAACCAGAGTTAAAACTGATATGCGGGAGTGTGAAAGCTTGCCTTTTCTGAGCAGTTAAAATGAACCACTTGCCCCTCGTTCTAAAGCTGCAAGTGAAGACATTTAACCCTGCAGGAATGATGTTTAAAATGTAGGGTTCAAGTGCCTCCAGTAGCTTTCACTGACATAGCCAGGTGAAATTCTGCTATACCAATCTGATTTACGCAGCACAGCGTTTTGTTGCACATGCGCACTAGCATCCCAATGCTTTCCTATGATGATCTCGTTTGAGGAGGCAGGCTAGCCATTGAGCGAGCAGCACAGTGTGGGATAAAAAGGGATAAGGAATACCTTTTTAACCATTGCTGGTGATGACCAGTCACCAAAGCCATGACTAGCACACTACAGTGTTCGTAATATACATTTGTATTCCTAACTTTATAGCGTTCATTTAAGAAGGCTCTCTCAACATTTATATTATGTTTAAACAATTCCAGTACATAATATGCCAGAATGCATTTGAGAAAATTTTAAAAGAATAATTCTGAGGGGTCGGAGCCTGACCTGTATGGCAGTCAGACGTGCAGAGTATGAGCACCTCACGAAACTAACAAAACTAGCCCCAACAGGGGAAATATACTCTCAGACGGTACCCAAGAGACTAAGCAACTGTCCCTGCATGCGGTGGGGCTGTGTCATGCCTTTCTGGAGCCTTATCTCACAACTCGAGGATTGGAGTGTATCGAGGCCTAAGCCTGCAGTGATCCTTGGAAGGGAGACAGTCGATCCCCGGCCTGGACCTGCTAACGTCGGCAACATTTGATGCGACTGCACTGTTACCTTCCCCCTCTGGACCGGTGGGAGTTATTTTAGTCTCCCATTGGGAGAGCAGCACCGAATCCAGCTAAGAGACTCTGATAATCTGGGGGTCTCGCAACCGAGGCCTAGCCCCAAAGATGGCTTCTGGAATGAAACCTACAGGTACGCCTGCACCTGTAGTGCCTCCCATACCATGCTGAGAGAATTAACCAGGCCTTTGAGCGATTCTGGGCCAAAGTGCAATCACGCACGGAGGGCTCAAGCTCGACTGAAAGCTCCCTGCCCACTAATCCAGGACAAACGAAAACACTACGGTCGGCTTTGGGAGGCACTATTGCGACATCACCTGCAGTAAAAGTGCGGGAACAAGCAGCAAAATCCAAGATCCAACAGGCTACTACTAAACATACCGCTAGACTGCGACCTCAGCCGATACATCATGCAGCTATCCAGGAGACACGGAGGCAGAGAGTGAAGAAACGGAGGAAGCTCCAATAACCAAGCAGACACCCTGCCACCCACCAACACTTGGGCCTCCGTCCACTGGAGGTTACCCGCCCAAGCACAGCCCACACTCTCTGGACGAATTTCCTAAGGGACATGCTCGATCTGCAGGGAACAGATCCTGAGCCGCTGCCCGTAACATTAAAGGCGAAGGATCAATGATGCAGACCTAGATAAGGGAGGACACCACACTCAACTCCTGCTTCACAGAGCATCCGGTCATCCACAACTGAACAAACTGGACTAATCATCCTGAGCCCACTACTAGTTGCCATACAGTTAGCTCCTACCTATGTGCACTGTTCGCATTTTTATTATGTTTTGCCTTACCTATTATTTTGTGAAGTATAAACTCGGAGGAAGACCTCAAGGAGACCTCTCTAGCTAAGATGTACAGCTACTGTTTATTTTCCATTCTAGTCATAGTATAAGCGAGTCAAAGCACCAAGCATAGTTTAACTACTCATTGATTGCATTTATCTTGTATGCATTAATATAAAGCTGTGCATGTGCCTCATAATTCTTGTTCAGCTAGCGTGCTAAGTAGCACTTAAAAGTTCTCACAATAGACATAACTTGGTATCAAACATTTTCATTAGTTACTTTTTAATACTTTTTTCTTTTTAGTACCTTTGTCTAGTTTTGCTTCCAGAATGGCTACACGTAATTTGATATTTATTCTAGACATAGATGCCATGCCACTGTCATAACATGTTTGAAAAACCTCTGCCGTCGAGGTACCAAACTTCAAAAGGCAGTATCTCTCCTTTACCAACATTTGTTGGTAGGAGCCTCATCGGATAATACCTTTCAAAGGCGGTGGGAAGCACAACTGGAGATACAAATCATACCAACAAAATGGGGAACAGCATTGCTATGGCAACATAAAAGTTCCTCAAGTTCCTACTACCAGGAGGTCAACTATAAATTGATCTCCATGTGGTATAGGACCCCAGTCGCATTACAGAAGATTTTCCCGGAGGCATCCCCAACGTGCTGGAGATGTCAGGAGACAAGGGGCACCTTGTTACACCTGTGGTGGGAATGTCGGGCTATCTCGCACTACTGGGATCGCATCCACACAGAGATAATGGCAATCCTGGGGGACGACACAGAATGGTCCCGAGAACTGGCCCTATTACATATCACCTCGCAATCCATCCCTGGATACAAGAGATCGATCTTACGCCATCTACTGAATGCGGCCAAATCCTTGATCCCCGTCTATTGGAAGAGATCAGAAGTTCCCACTACGGAAGAATGCCTCCAAAGGGTTGGGGATATACAAGCGGCGGAGGCGCTGCGGGCATCCCGAGCGGGGCGTTCAACAAGACACGCGGAGACGTGGCGATCCTGGTTCTCGTATCAAGCGGGTAGATAGTGGGCCTTCATCACGCACATAAGGAGCGGAGGGCTGGTGGGTGGATCCCAGATACTTCCTATTACTGGCCATGACCCTCCCCCCCCACCCCATGGGACACCTTGCCCCGGTGGGAGACAAAGCTCATGGAATCACACACTCCCTTGTTAACATAGATCTTTTACAGGACACACGCGCGCTGAACGAACGTCAGCACAGCGTTACATAACCCCACTCAATAACCGCACGGACGGTTAACGCGTACCTGGAATCCCAACGTAAATTACGGGACACAGCACACCGACGGGCGACCAGGGGACCAACACAACATGCTAGTCCAGACCCCTGACATGCTTATAGCGGGAGACAGTAACCCGACAGCGGTCTAGACTACATTACCTTACACACTCAGTACGAACCACCACAACACGACTGGATAATTCCCGACCACCACGTACTGACTACTCACCCACTCCGATAAGAGGAGGAAATGCGGAACCCAAGGAAGGACTCTTCTAGGCCTACGAAACCTCTCTCCCCCTTTCATTTCTACTTTCTAACACAATTACCTCCCCCCCCATTTAACCTATCCATGGCATAGGAACACGGGATCCACACTGGATGACTAAATGCGGAGTATACAATCACACAGGAGGTCGCGATAAGAACATGGAGTGTAACCAACGGATACATATAGGGTTCCATCCCGAATCTGACCATTGGGAAAACACCCTCATACCATAGAATTGCATACCGCATATACACTAGTCATGTCTTATGCTTATCTTATTACCTTAAAGCCGCAAATGTTACATATCGCAATAATTTGTTGGATATTATGGACTGCTGTATTCTGCATGTTATGTTATGCCACAACGTTTTACATGGAGGCCTGCGAACCTCATTCTCTATGTCTCCTTTTTTTTCCTTATTGAACTTTCCTCAATAAAATCAGATTTACAAAAAAAAAAAAAGTTTGAAAATGCATTGTTTGCCCCGCTGTCGTGGCGATGCAAGCTTATTTTGTATATTATCTGCACAACAAAAATAAAGAATTTGAAAAAATAATTCTGATATTTTGTTTGCAAGCAAACTCTTGCAGGGTGTACTTCTAGCATCAATTAGTGATAAACACAACAAATAAAGTTGTTACAAAATACAGTGGTTCTCATCCTGGTTTTTTTTAACGGTTAGGGAGGTCTAAATTGTTAAAACTTACTGGTAAATCCCCAACAAATCCAAGTTTGTAGAATATCCATGTATTATCCTGTTGATTTTTTTCTGATTACTGGCCATTTATGACATAAAAAAAAAAAAATCTTTAAAGGCCATTATGTTGTAAATATACAGGTATTCAATAAACCTTTACGTTGACACACAAAACAGCAAGATATCGGTTTGTGGAAATGGTTTTAGACACTGTGATATTCAGGGATCCTATGGACACTGGCAGATGGCACAGAGATATGTATATTAATGAAATGAATTGGAATCCTAAATTGAGATGCAAGTAGATTTTCTGCTTGGGTGTAACAGCTGCTGTCTGTATATAGCCATTTATAGCAAATCAAAATAGAGCCCATTCCTTCCCAGGGCCTAAGAATAACATAAATAAAGTGAGTAATCAGGATGTAAAAAAAATAAATAAAAAAATAGTGAAAGTGATGCAGAAGTAGAATTGGACAGCAAAACTGCATTATCTAGTCTGAACATTTGCTAGCTTAAAAAAAAAATATGCAAGTCAGTTTGGTTTTGATTTTGAATTTTTGCTCAGTACCGCACAATCTCTGTTCCAAGCTCTCTTGGACACTATATCATTACTCTGCCACCTCTGCTAGAAAACTATACTACAAATTATTTTCTGACAAGATGCCTTTGTTTTCCTTTAACTTTATTGTTTAGGAGGTTCTTGCTCACGCAGCTACGTCACACTCATACAAGATACCTCCCAATTCTGGCATCCTGAGTGGGAGGGAGGTAAGCGGGGCTGACATGCAAGAAAATGTACAAATTGTGTGCTAAACAGAATTATATATAATATACAACTAGAGAAACAGAAAAGGTTCTGCTCAAGTGTATACAAAATAGACTATATAATCATGACATTGTCAAAACGCCTCACTTGTCCAGGATTTTAATTACTTTTGGACTTGTATGACAAATATTACATGGAGTGAGCTATTGTTTTATAAAAGAAAAGAGGGGGCAGGAGGGGGGGAGGGAGTTTAGAAAATATGGCCTGCTGTGACTAGAAGGTTTATTCGGTCACATAAATCCAAGACAACTACACAAAAGTATTTGTAGGAACTAGCCACCCTAAAGTATCTGAACAAGCATTTTGATACTGTTCATTTAAAGGAACACTACAGTCACCAGAACAACTACAGCTTAATGTATTTTTTCTGTTAAGTATAATCAATCCCTGTAGGCATTTTCATGTAAACACTGCCTTTTCTATGTAGAGGGATATGTTCACTGCCCTCTGGAGGTGCTTCCAATGTGCAGCACTGTCGTTCAGAGTCTCCACACTCTGCATGGAGACACTGAATTTTCATCATAGAAATGCATTGATGTAATGCATCTTTATGAGTTTTTGGATAGGCCAAAAATCTAATTCTGATGTCAGCAAGGAGGCAGATCAGGGGTGAGACCAGCGCCAGCAGACATGTGCGGCACTGGAAATAAGCTACGTTTATTGCTCCTATGGGGTGGTTCTAACACTACAGGGTCAGGAATACATGTTTGTGTGTTCCTGACATTATAGTGTTCTTTAATAATGTCACAGAACTTTCCAAATCTGCGTACATATTTTGTGTGTATTTTGTATTCTACTACTACCACCCTCGAGTACAGCAATACTCCTGATGTAGATCAGATGCTTGATAAGTTACATGGTTTTACAGAAATGCCAATTTCAGCTTTCAAATTTTAAGTTTTCACAGATTCCTTAACTGGGCACATGTTGCTATTGAGCAGTAACCCCTTACAGCACTTCACCGCCATGACATACCCTTTGTAAAAAAATGACAACTTGGACAATTCAATATGGGGCATTTTAACTATTTTCACTAGGCTTTTTCCATCACAAATTTCTCCAAAAGATTGGCTGCCAAGACTCATTATATTAAAAAAAAAAAAAAAAAATTTCATAATGAATACCACAGGCCTTATGAGTCATGGTACTTCAACGTCCCGATTTATATTCTGTTGCATCCTAAGTACAGCATTACCAAACAGTCAAGTCAACTTCTATGAAAAACCAGGAGACATCGCCTAATTTTTACATGCCTTTTGGCTTGCTTCTCAGATTACTTGTTTGTTAAAGTGGCACCACCTGTACCACCATACCGATTTGCACCTTACTTTGAGGCCATTTGTAACTCTAGCCAACCCGAACATCTGTTTAGTACATTAGGCATTCGGCTCACTGATCACTGTGAAAGCCAGTCACAAGGATCACATTGCCTTAACTGCCAGCTAGGGCAAGGGATTGCTGATACTGATCACAGGGTGATCATCCTAATAACTAGTCATATAAATTATAATGGAGGTCCGCCATGCTGCCTGCGAGCGACTGCCTTAGCATTTGTGGGGACGTCTTGGGGAACCTCCATGTGGATATTTCTTTAAAGAGTACTGAGGCATCAAGAAAGTCTGGTCTCAGGAATGGTTACATGATCGGCTTTGACACCATGAGGCATAAACAGCAGAGCTGTAAAATGTATGGCAAGCAATCTGTCCGGTTCCAATTGTGTCAAAACATTTGACAGATCAGACAACCAGCTGGAATTAATCTGTTCTACTAGAATGCATTTAATATCTTACAATTGATATTACAGACAAAACAGAAAAGAAACTGATAAAATATTTTAACAAATTAAATTTGCAAACAATTTACAGATGCGCTTCCTGTTCCTTTCAAAACATCAGTGTAAACCAAGCCTGTTCAGCAGGAAAAATAGTTCACCTAGTTTAAATATTATCTTCTCCCTCTCCTTTAAAAGACCCTCTGTGATTACACAGCTGAAATCAGGATAATTGTATAAAGTGCAGTTTATTAACGCAAATACTTAACAGATTAGTCAGAGCTGCCTTTTCCTGAGCCACACTGACCTTTTTATGTGGTAGTTTGGGGAAAAAGCATTTAAGAAGAGAACACTAATGAAAAATCAGAACGAGGGCTGATTTATAGATCTCAATATAGCTAGCATGCAGGAGAGACACAATTGGACAATGACAAGAGAAAGTGAGACCCTTTAAAAGACTCTATACAGCAGAAGAAAAAAAAAAATACACTTTTCCACATCTTGATCGGATATACGCAAGTTAGCAGTAAATCTAGAAAATCTGGAACAAATGTCTGTTGTTACATTACAATAAGAGATATCCAGCCATTTTTTTGTATAAATAACTTATTGTGTTCTGAAATAACAACTTAGGTTGAATGCACCATGACAGGTACATGTTAAAGTAAGAAGGCTGTTTCTCATGTTTTATACTAAAAAGGCTGCAGTGAAATGGTGGCCAAATAAGCAGTATGAAATATTCACCAGGCATTACCTTAAAATAGTTCCTTCTCATTTATTTACTACAATATAAATAGTTTATTATGCTATGACAGTCCATGCATCAAGAAAAGGCTTGACAAGCAACAAAGTGAGATCCAAGTAGCTCAGCAGTAAATTAGGTCACTGCATGTCATCTATTACAGCTTCAGCCTTGCCCACTCATTCTTTTTAGAAGTATGACATACTGTACATTCCTATAGACTGTGATATGACCTAACACTTGGTGAGAAAAACAGTTATACCACAATTTAAGATATCCACATCCTAGAGGTCAAGACTATGTCAACTATAAAATGCATTCACACTATTTACTCTGTACAACAAGGCTTTTTACACTGACAAGATCTTATCTTATTCTCCAGTAAAGTGAATTACACCTAATTAACACTGATTTTTCTCCCAGAATAAATTGTTTTGAATTCAAAATTACTCACTGCAGGAGCAATGAAACAAAGTCCATGTTTTTGTCTGACATGCTGATTACATTCAATGACTAGCACACAGGGAAAAAGATATGTTATGACTGTTTATTTACACACACACACACATCCCAACTTTTGCACATAATAAAGGGCAGTTAATGTCAATAATGATATGTATAATCAAGTAAGATACAGAATACTCCACTTTTAACACAACTGACCAAAGGTCTCTAAAAAATACCTGGCATGTCTTTATCATGATTCTGACAATATATATGATTATTTCCTTAGTAGTATAAATGCTTAAAGAAAAAAAGAATCTCAAAAGAGCCTATTGAAGAAACCTTATGCTAAAATACTAAAACCTAATGACTAGAGACTAACAAATAATATTGCGAAATCTTACTTTTATTTCAGTCTGCTGCCTCTGATCTGCCTGCTTGGCTGACATCATGATAAGTGATTCTCTCTTCTCTTTCAAATAGGAAAGCACTGGATTGGCCAATAGGAAAGCACTGGATTCTGTCAAGGAAACAGATCGCTGCAGAGCCAGCAAAAGCCAAACACAGCCCTGGCTCATCAGCATCTCCTCATAGAAATGTATTGAATCAATGCAACTCTAAGAGGAAAGTTCAGTGTCTCCATGCAGAGGGTGGAGACACTGAATGGAAGTGCCTCACTGTGCAGCATTGCCCCAGCAAGCTCCTCTAGTAGCCATCTGAGGAGTGGGCAGTGGAAGCATCCCTAGGCTGAAATGTAAAAACACTGCTTGTTCTCTGAAAAAAAACATGGTTTACTGCAAAAAGCCTGAAGGTACTGATTATACTCACCAGAACAAATACAATAATATGTAGTTGTTCTGGTGACTATAGTGTCCCTAGAAAGCCACCACAAAAGTATTTAAAAAATAAAAGCACAAGGAGATCACGATTAGGTTATCCACCCATTACTTCTGTCCAAGGTCCCATGGGAGGGAGTCTATATCCTAAAAGGTGAGCAGCCAGCAGCTGCTTAACTGTTAACACTACATCCACTGAGCTCCAACCAATGAATCATGTCCAAATGCATACTCCATACAATGATTAATATGCAAAATTACTATATGCACTGGTATGCTAATGGTGATGTGAATTGTTTTAACTCTGTAGATGAGGAAGTGTCATCATAGTAGTGAGACAGTGCATGGCAGATTGTAAATAGTTATATCGTTACAGCTTCCTCTTCTTTATCTTTAATGGATAGGATGTCTAGGTATAGGATCATACATAAGTGAAAAGCAAATGACAATTTTTCAGACAAAGAGGAAATACATACAGATTATGGAGTAACAGTCAAAAGGGAAAGAAGATTTTTTTCCTTTTTTTTTTGCATCCTCGACTGAAATGAACACATTTGCTTTAAAAGTTATTTCCTTCCTAGTCAGTGTTTCTGAATTGTCATGTCAAGAGCGCATTATACCACAGACATGTGAATGATAGAAATATTTCATAGAACTGCATTCTATGCCAACAGTATCCAAGACAAGCATTTCCGACAATGTAAACTTTCTAGCAGTTACTTGGAAAAAAAGCTACAGAGTCATATATGAAGATAAAAAAAAACAAAAAACACACACACACACACACACACACCACCAATGTAAACAATCCAGTCAGTAAGAACCAGTCCACATGAGAATGCCAGAATTCCATTTTCCAAGTACCAAAACCACTACTTGTGTTTAGGACGCCAGGAGTACCTTGGGACTCTCCCAGAGGAAATAAGCTAACTGTTTTAGGCCAGTTTGACAACTTTTCTTGGTCCCCCAGTGCTCTCACACCGTACTCTGCTTCAACTGGAAGTTATGGAGGTAATTTTTAAAATTGAAGAAAAACTATAGAACAGGTCTACGATCTAATGCCATGTACATGGTTGGGTACTTGTCAAAAAGTTAAATAATCAGTGTTCTAGTATCAAAAACAGATTGTAAAACCTTGTATTAAGTTATACAACATAAACTGGATTCCTAAACAGTTTCCTTCCTCTCCAAGTGAATAATGTAGCTTTATATTTTTGGACAAAATAAACATCTATGCTGTACACACGATCCAAGGAACTGAAAAGGATTATGGTCAATTTTTATCATTTAGAATTCCAGCAGTTATGCCCTTAACAGTATAGTGTGAAACTGCACAATTCAAGAAGCAAATCCACTAAGTGTGTGAAGAATAAGGTCAAGAAATGAGAGTTTTGTCTGAGTGTCCCAAAATAGGTTTTTATTTTGGTGTTTTTAAGTGGAGGCATTATCACCATGATGGAACGACTTCAGCAGAGTTTGGTGCACTTGTTCCTGCATAATAGTATGATAGTCATGAGCTTTTTTCAGACAATGCAATTCACAGCTGAAACAATTCTTGTGAATGTACAGCTTTTATTAAGACAGGGTCACAGAGGAATGTATTAAATTCCATGTCAAATGAGCACTCCAAGCAAGATAACCAAAACTGCTCCAGCTCAGTGTATAGTGGTCAAGCTGCCAAGAAGCTACAAGTGCTGTCTCCCACTCATTTTGTCAATATGCTTGGAGACAGCGGGTGGGGTGATGGATTAATAAAATATTATGTCCAACCTGTACAATAGTGGTAAAATGAGAGCACTGAGCTAACCTGTCCCCACCATGCAAAGCTTATCACTATCAGTTTGGCTAGAATTGATATTGATAATGCATTAATCTAAATTTCACATCATCAAGTTGGCGGAAAAGGAGGCAATATTTTGGGACATTTAGCACGTATTCTGTAAAATACCTGTCTTTGTCCGAGAACAAGAAGTTGCAGTTGATCTCCACGTGACATAAAAGGTAATTCGTTTTGAGATTGATCTCATTGCAATTAAATAATTTTTGGATTTTTTTTGTTTGCGGACCTGCAATTTAACACTAGCTACATGGCCAGTAAATCAAGAAAAAATATTGGTAAACAAGTGAAAATGTTTTGGTTATGCTACAGAAAGGTGGGGGGTTATAAAAATATAAAATCCTGCAAGTGACATTTTCTTTTAAATCTTTAATCACAGAATACATAAGAAAACATAGCTCCTCTGCCTTCATCCCCTCCTGTCTGTATAGGACATCTCACTGCAGTCACATTTCCACTACCTGATTATATAAGGATTTCAATGCATTTGTTTTGATTACTTTTCTGTTGTTTTCCCTCTACTTATGCATACCATGCTATATCTCTTTTGATAAGTCGCTATAAGCATGTTGCTTTTTCATGTCACACAAACAAAAAATGATGTATGATTCTTGTTGCCAAGGTGTCTGACATGCTCTTTATTGCATAGACTTTGTAATACTATTTAACTTGATGTGAGAGCTAATGCCTGAATTAAAAAAAGCAATTGATGGCAAAAAAAAAACAAAAAAAACAAAAGGCACAGCTTAAATATAATAAATGGAACAATTCAAACACCATACAGCCTGCTGTAGAGTTTATTCCATAACACTGTAATTTGTCAGACCATTTTGGAATGGTTTGACAATTTACCTGGCCCTCGTCAGTCTCATTGTGGCCGCACAGCCTGCTTCTGGATTTTCCTTGTAGAAGAATTTAGTTAGCTCCACTGACCGAAGCAGGGCTTTGCAATTAGTTTTTACAGCATCAGCCAGGCATAGCACGAGAAAACAGTTTGACAAAAACACTAAGAGGGTGCTGGGACACTAAAGCAGGATGTAGTGGCTATGGCACTTGAGTGCTTATTTACTATAAGAGGACAGGAGACATGTACTAGTACAATGCTTCTCACAGCTATGGAACTTTTAAAACTTTAAGTGAAGTGTGGCTAAAGAAAGGAATCCCCATATACTAAGAAAATGATAAACTGTGTTGTTTAAACTTTAAACATGACTATTTAAATCTCTGAATAACACGTTTTAATTTTGATCATGATTTTAGATTATTCTTGACCCCCCCCCCCACCTTCCTCTTTAAATGACTTTTAGCCATTGTTTGTTTCCTTCCATGTTAGTGTGTGTGTAAACTAAACAATTCTCCCTCCCCCCAAAAAACAACACAAGAGACAAATAGGTCCCCCTTTAGAAGATCTGCAGGACAAACTGCACTAGCTGATCAACTGCCTGATTGCTCTAGTCTAAATGACTACTGTGTGCTGATAAAAATATCAGAGATCAAACTGTTTAAAATTGATCCTACCTTGCTCCACTATATAGATTTACGCATGTGCTTAGACTCAGATTCTCCTTTTCCATTTTATATTCTTCAATATGCCGAATGTGACAACTGCCATTTTCTGAGGCATATAACAGTCCTGAGAGCAGCAATACATACTCTGCTTGGCTGCACACAGGTCAGAATCAAATATTTTTAAATACAAAAACAACCAAAATTTTTTACAAATGTAATACCCATTTTGTAAACTGAACACCCTAATGAAAGAACCATCGCATTCCTTCACATATGATTCCAAACATGCAAATTATGCAGCAGCTACTTTACAACACATCAAACACCAACCCACACACAGACCTCCCACACACACAGACCTCCCACACACACACACACACACACTTTAGCACCCAACGTAGAGCACATCTTATTTAAATCAAAATCCTCTCTCGTTCCAAGCATAATTACATATGACTACAAAGTGTAAAAACTAATGTTGTAGAGATCATGGATCCTGGGTAGTGGGTACATTTAAATAACATGTAAACTATTGATACTAATCTTGCTTTCAGATTTATGAAACATTTTTTTCTTCTAGTTTCAAGAAAAAATAAATAAAAGACTGAAAAACAAAGATGAGGAATTATACACACCCAAAACCAGCAGCTACATCATAAGGTACGCTGTATTTCTCCACAACCAAAGCATAAGGGTACTTACACCACACCTCCGCTAGCACAATAATAACATCCCAGGCCTAGCTACCACAAGTATTGGATGATTATTCATTACTGAATTTATTTGCACATATAGTCATTGAATGCCAGTTAACAATATGCAGGGCACATGTTTATACAACACATACACACATTTAAATCCAATAACAGGTCACCCAATCCATCAATTATTGCATTGACTTTATCCGCTTGCAGAATATAGTCACATCATTAGCAAAATATGAAACCGTAAAAGACTGTCCTGCAGCCATCTGAGCATCATAGGGACAGTAGTTGGCAACAGACGGTGTACCAAAAGTTGACCATCACAAGTGTCACTGGCTTGTACGAAAAATGTGTCACCCAGCATCCTGTCATTCCTCTGCAGTGAATATTTCCCTACGAGTCTATTATGAGGCTGCACACTATTCCTCAGATGGGCCTGATTACCATCCGATGTGTAACCAACATGTTTATAACCAAGAGCTAAGGATGTGTCTCTTTTGTAAAAAAAAATTATAAAAAAAAAAAAACAGCCTCACAGATTATAAGCATAGTAAAACCCATCCATGGTTAAACAAATGTCACTGAAACCCCCATTCCACCGTTTACAGCCCATTGTACATCCTGTACCACCCCATTTTTATTTTTCTCCACACCCTGCAAATTTTGCTTCCTCTGCATTACTATCAGATACAGTCAATAAAACCAACATCTTAAACACACCGTGCAGGGCCAACAATTATATAGAATTTAACACCAATATACATCTCCAATTACACTATGGTGTAGAATGAATAACAAAATAGTCAATACAAGTGTGAAACACCCTGTAATTATGTAATTGACATGACTCTACATGGTAGACTGTTCCAACCCTCAACTTTCACTCCAAAAGACAACAATCATCACATATCAACATACTGTCAGTTAACATTAATGCTTTGCTATGCTAGTCTTAACCCCTGTACCACACCAGTCAGCACCTCAAGTGTACCCCAATATCAGTAAGCCCCCATAACTAGAAGAGTGTACATCAATGGGCATCTCACCAACTCATTCCCAATGATGCATTTTTAAACACCCATCAGTATCATCCCACACCAGTAAGTAAAAATCAGCAATAGGCAATTCATGTTACAAACCTCAACATGTACCGCCAGGACAGACAGTAGCCCCTTCCTCACCACTAAGCCCCCCTCTTCCCCCGCGCGCACCAGCCACAACCACTGTGCAGCCCCCCCGCGCACCCGCCACGGGAAAGGGGACTGGTCCGTGGGTGCAGGCTGGGGGAAAGGGGACTGGTCCCTGGGTGCAGGCTGGGGGGGAAAGGGGACCAGTCCCCTTTTCCCCCCAGCCTGCACCCAGGGACCAGTCCCCTTCCCCCCCCCCAGCCTGCACCCAGGGACCAGTCCCCTTCCCCAGCCTGCACCCAGGGACCAGTCCCCTTCCCCCCAGCCTGCACCCAGGGACCAGTCCCTTTCTCCAGCCTGCACCCAGGGACCCAGTCCCTTTCCCCAGCCTGCAGGGACCGGTCCCCTTTCCCCCAGCCTGCACCCAGGGACCAGTCCCCCCAGCCTGCACCCAGGGACCAGTCCCCTTTCTCCCCCCCAGCCTGCACCCAGGGACCATGTTTCCCCCTCAGTGCCAGCCCGGTAATGTGAGCGCCCCCTGCCATTCCCCCTGCCAGGCAGTACCCGGGGCCATGCAGCCAGGGCCACCTACCGTCACGGTGAGAGCTGAGAGCCCGCCCTGGGTATCAGAGTGCAGTGCAGCCTCCCTGGCCCTCTCCTCGGTAATATGTCCGCTCCTCCCCCTCCACTGGGATTGTATGGGACCCCCTCCCCTCTGCGCATGAACAGCTCCCCCTCCCCTTCCAGCACTGGGGGCCGGACCCGGCCCGAGGGCGGTGATTAGCACACAGTACTGGGCCGAGTTACCTCACACCCCTCTCACACCGCCTGACAGCCGGCTCCACAGCGCCCCCCGCAGCTCACACAGCCAATCACACAACCTCTCACCGCCCGTCACTCAGCCGCAGCCACGCCCACTCCGCCGCGATAACACGGGCGCGGCCTTGCAGGCGAGCAACATCGAGGGCACTGATTGGTCGCCAGAGGCTCAGGGCAGACCATGGGGTGCGCTGATTGGCTGGCTGTAGAAGGCGGGAAAAGAGGCGGGGCGGTGACGGAGAGTTTAACTTTCATGTCCCACAAATGTTATCCACAGTGTCATCAACTGGGGCGTCCTCCAAATCCTATAACACAATATAAAATAAAAATGTTAAGTTGCTCAGTACCCTGGTATAATATCCTTCCAATGTATTAACCCCTTAAGGCATTTTTGTGGTGTTTGTGTTTAGCTGTAATTTTCCGCTCTCTCATTTACTGTTCCCATACAAATTATATATTGGGGGTTTTTTCAGGACAAAAAAGGCTTTCTTTACACACCATTATTTATATAATCTCTTGTAATTTACTTTAAAAATAAAAAAATATGATGCAAAATTGAAAAAAATACATGTTTTTTGATTTTTACTTGAAAAATCTTTTACTCATCTACAAAAGCTAATGAAAAAAACTGCTAAATAGATTCGAAATTTTGTCCTGAGTTTAATAATACCCAGTGTTTACGTGCTTTTTTGCTTTTTTTTTGCAAGTTATAGGGCTACAGGTACAAGTAGGATATTGCGGTTTCAAAACATACATTTTTAAAATTTATCAATAGTGACATTGTAACACTACTATCTGTCATAAATCACTGTTAAACACCCTACATGTATATAGTCAAAAATGGGTCGCAAGAGAATACTGAGAACGGGCAGCAGCTGAAATAACCTGCCCTTCGGTCGGTCCCCGCTCAGTTCTCAAGCTGATTTTTGCTCATTTTTGCTCATCTTGTGCCATTACAGAGAGAACACATCTTGCTGGCATTTCGGATCTGGACTGCCCGTATGGGTGGGACCAGTCTGATATGCTTCAGATATGTTCTCTCTGTAATGGCACAAGATGAGCAAAAATCAGCTTGAGAACTGAGCGGGGACCGACCGAAGGGCAGGCTATTTCAGCTGCTGCCCGTCCTCAGTATTCTCTTGCGACCCATTTTTGACTCTCTACAAGTTTAAAGGGATAATCCAGACGTGGACCCCTTGCTCACGGTGCCTAGGGAGATATCAGCTATGCCTCACTGATGATGCCTAACAAGGCTGAAACGATCGTCTGGGGTTGCTGTATCTCTCGTGCAGAGAGAACTTGCTGGCATTTCGGATCTGGACTGCCCGTATGGGTGGGACCAGTCTGATATGCTTCAGATATGTTCTCTCTGTAATGGCACAAGATGAGCAAAAATCAGCTTGAGAACTGAGCGGGGACCGACCGAAGGGCAGGCTATTTCAGCTGCTGCCCGTCCTCAGTATTCTCTTGCGACCCATTTTTGACTCTCTACAAGTTTAAAGGGATAATCCAGACGTGGACCCCTTGCTCACGGTGCCTAGGGAGATATCAGCTATGCCTCACTGATGATGCCTAACAAGGCTGAAACGATCGTCTGGGGTTGCTGTATCTCTCGTGCAGAGAGAACTTGCTGGCATTTCGGATCTGGACTGCCCATATGGGTGGGACCAGTCTGATATGCTTCAGATATGTTCTCTCTGTAATGGCACAAGATGAGCAAAAATCAGCTTGAGAACTGAGCGGGGACCGACCGAAGGGCAGGCTATTTCAGCTGCTGCCCGTCCTCAGTATTCTCTTGCGACCCATTTTTGACACCCTACATGTACATATTTTTTTTAAAGTAGACAACCCAGGGTATTCATCTCAGTATATTTTGACACTTTCTATGCAGCCATTTTACCACCAGTCTTTGCCAAACTTCATATATTTTTTTTTTTTTTTCTTTTTTCACATACATTGCAATTCAGGTATAAACTTACAGATCCTGTTACGTGTTGCTGCCAAAGAACACACTAATATATGTTCAGCAATATCTCCCGAGTACAGTGATACCACCCATGCATAGGCTTGTTGAGTTGTTTCGGGGCTAAAAGGCCACATTTGGCAGGTGCGCAAATCCATTTTCCAACTTGGAATTTTGACATGTAGTCAACCTGCGCACATGTCCTATTTGGCACATTTGTAAGGCCGACCAATGTATTTTACCCCTCCAAACCATATATTTTTGGAAAGTAGACACCCTAGGGTATTTCAAATGGTGGTATTTTCACACTTTCCATGCACTAATTCTACCACCAGTCTTTGTCAAACTTTTAGGTAGTAATTTTTTGTGTGTTTTTTTTCACACACATTTTACTTTAGGCATGAATTAACAGATTGTGTTATGTGTCACTGCCAAACAACACCCCAATATGTGTTCAGCAACATCTCCTGAGTACAGTGATACCACCCATGCATAGGCTTGTCGGGTTGTTTGGGGGCAAAAAGGCCACATTTGGCAGGTGCGCATATCCATTTTTCAACTTGGAATTTTGACATGTAGTCAACCTACGCACAGGTCCTATTTGGAACATTTGTAAGGCCGGCCAATGTATTTTACCCCCACCAAACCATATATTTTTGGAAAGTAGACACCCTAGGGTATTTCAAATGGTGTTTTTTTTTAACACTTTCCATGCACTAATTCTACCACCAGACTTTGTCAAACTTTTAGGTAGTCATTTTTTGTGTTTTTTTCACACACATTTTACTTTAGGCATGAATTAACAGATCGTGTTATGTGTCACTGCCAAGCAACACCCCAATATGTGTTCAGCAACATCTTCTGAGTACAGTGATACCACCTATGCATAGGCTTGTCGGGTTGTTTGGGGGCTAAAAGGTCACTTTTGGCAGGTGCTCATATGCATTTTCCAACTTGGAATTTTGACATGTAGTAAACCTGCGCCCCTGTCCTATTTGGGCCAGTGTATTTTACCCCCATCAAACCATATATTTTTGAAAAGTAGACAACTCAGGGAATTTTAAATGGTGGTAGTTTAACACTTTTCATGCAATAATTCTACCACCAGCCTTTGGCAAACTTGGGTAGTAATTTTTTTCGTGTTTTTTTACACACACATTGTACTTTAGGCATGAATTAACAGATCCTGTTATGTATCACTGCCAAACAACACCCCAATATGTGTTCAGCAACATCTCCTGAGTACAGTGATATCACCCATGCATAGGTTTGCTGGGTTGTTTGGGGGCTAAAAGGCCACAATCGAGACTTGTACAAATCAGTTTTTCAACTTGATATATAGGTATGCAGGGGAGGGCTGGCAGCCTTAGGCCTGGGGGGCAAAACCAGTCAAGTGGCCCATTGCACCACCAAATCAGTTCACCATCCATGCCCACCTTTTCCTGGTTTTATAACGGATATTGATGTTATGCTAATCAGTAGCTCTTTGCCATACCCGCTCCTTCACGGCTCCAGGCACTGCTTGTTGTGAGTGTGAGCCACTGTAAATTAGGGGCAGAGGGCACTTGCACTGCGGTAAAGATGGGGCTGGACAGGAGGAGAGTGCAGTGCAATCAGTGCACTCCCCTCCTGTGGGTCACCAGTAGACTGGTGCACCTGCCCAGGATCAGTGCCGGTGCAAGGATTTTTGCCGCCCTAGACAAAATAAAAATTTGCTGCCCCCATGTGACATCACAATGCCCCACCCATATGAACTAACGCCAGTGCTGCACACAGTGTGTGTTTACATTAAAAAGCCTGCAGGGACCAGCTATAGACACCAGAACCACTTCATTAAGCTATAGTGTCCCTTTAATGTGAGGTAAATTATAGATTAGTGTCACTAATAATATACTAGATTGCCTACTTACAAGCAGATGAGGATGATGATGGGCTGCAGTTTGGCTCCACTGGTCTGGTGTAGAACAGGATCTCTGGAGGCTGTTTGCAGCTGTGGTCACAAAATTCAATGTTCTGGGAGAATTGGAAGCAGCTCCATTTTTTGGGGCCCTTACACAGCTCAAGGTCTGGGCCCCAGGGCCTGACGGTGAGTATGCCCATAAGGCCCACTCATAAGTTCCACCCACCCATGAGTTCGCTCACAGGGAGTGGAGTGTGTAGGGGATGTTATGTGTTATTGTAGAGGATCTAATATGTGTGCTTATGGTATGTAGTGTATAGGGTTACCAGTTTGTGCAGGTGATGTAGTGTGTTTGTGTGTAGTGGAAGCAGTGTGTATTTGTGTATAAGGGATGTATTATGTTTCTGGTTGTGTGTAAGGGATGCATTGTGTGAACCTGTGTTTGTATGCATAAGGGATGCAAGGTGTGTGTCTGTATGTGTGTGCATTGAGTGTAAGAGATGCATTGTGTTTCTGTGTGTATGTAAGAAAAGAAGTGTGTGTTTGCATATGTGTGTACGGGTTTGCATTGTCTGTTTCTGTGTATGTGTGCAAAGGATGCATTGTCTTTGTGTGTAAGGGTTGCATTGTGTGTGTGTGTGTAATGGATGCATTGTGTGTTTCTCTGTGTGTAAGGGAAGTATGTTGTGTTTCTGTGTATGTATAGGGATGCATTGTGTGTGTGTGTGTGTGCGCGCGCGTAGTGTGAAAGAGCTCCCTGTCTTGGCCTCTGTCCTATAGAGCTGCCCCTTCTGTCCCGTAGAGCTCTCCCCTGCACCTTAGTGGTCTCTCCTCTCCCCCACCCTCCCCTAGCGGCCTCTTCTCACACTCACCCACCCTCCCTGTGCTCTTCTCACTCCTCCCTCTATGTGTTCTCCTCACACCCCCTGTGTTCGTCTTACCCCCCTCCTCCCTGTGTTCTTCATACTTCCCCCCTTGGTCGTCTTACTCCCCCACCTGTTCTTCTTAACCCCCCTTCTTATTGCTCCCCCTTCTTCTTCTTCCTCCTCCCCCTTCTTCTTCTTACTCCCCCCATTTCTTCATACTCACCCTTCTT